AAGTTGAGATCGAAAAGGTAACAGGTAAGCCAAATATTTCTAAGGTGCGCCAATTATTATCGGTCCGAACTAAAATCAGACCTTAGATATGCTTGCAAAAAGATGCAATGTTAAGCTCGCAATTAGCACTAGTTTGGTAGAAAAAAAACCGTTATTGAGGAACACCTGCAAGTAACTTTTCCCCCCAAAAAAACGGGGTTAAGAAAACTGTATGAATCAACGCTTTATCGAATCGTGCACAGGTCCTTTAAGCGTTCGACCGCTTACGAAGCGCTTTCAACAGCAAAGCTTGCTTATGCATTCTCTGATGATGATAGTGATTATTGCTGTTGTTGCTAGAATCAAAAGGAGTCTTCCAAGAAAAGGACCACCATGGTTATACCTTGAACTTTTTTTTGTGATTTCACGGGAGCTTTATATTCTGGACACGACCATAAGTTCGTCCGGGAAATATTATTATAGCAGATTACTATTGTTCGAAGAAGAGGATAGGTATACGGTTGGATCAAACGTCAAAAACTTTTTAGCTTGGAGAGGGCAGCTCCACTGGTCGACCTGGGTAATGTCTTATTTCATAAGAAGCGCACAAATTAGTTCAAGACTGTCCATACATCTGCTGGCAGCACTGTCTGGCGTGGAAGACGGGCACAGAAGCTTACTATGGACGCATCGATTGCTTTGCAATGAAAACATAGACAAACCTGGATGCAAATGCATCAAACTAGCATATGTTAGCTAGTATAAGAACCAAATCAAATAATAAGATGTGATTCGTGAAGCACTTGTTGATAAGCGGCAGCTGACAGGGTGTACACGAAAAAACACAGTTTTTCAAAAGAAAATGAATTAAATTTCTTTGTAAAAAAACATACGTGACTATGTGCAACACATGAGCTCAGCATTTGTTGTACATCCTGAACGTTGTGTCACTCAAGGTCGGCCTTTTATGTTTCAACTAACTAATTCGAAAATTAACATAGAAGATTTCATTTTCTTCAATTTCAAGATATAGCGCACCGGTTAATAGATCAACTGCAAGACAAAACCTGAACGTTACATTCAGAATATCATTGATTCAAATCCTCTAACACGCATATATACATGCCAGTAACGGAGGGTAAAATGAAAGATCAATATTAAGATCTCCGCGTTCTAACTGATGCTAATTCTCCTATTTATCATTGCAATTGGCGGCGCGGTCTGCCTTCGAGAAATTTTTATTCAATGACTATTTACATTCATTGCTTAATAGCTCATTTTCTGTTAGACAGTGAGAAGAGCCTCAACTCCGTTGAAGAAAGTCCACTTAAGTCGTGTATTAGGATCGAAGGTATAAAGCGATTATATAAAGTGAAGGTATAAAAAGAATATATCCAGTTCACAAAGTTATTAATGCGTATCAGCTACTATTATGATTATGAGAACACGGACTAAAAAAAATTATGTAAAGAACCTATGTCCTGCCCTAAAAAGGTATTGGCGTTCTCTAAGGTAATCTCATCGATTTCCTAATGCAATCTTTAATTCTTAATAACAATATCTTCTACTTGCGAATATTTTTCTTTGTGTTTCGAGTTCGATAGTCAGTATCGTTCCGATTAACAGGCAGATACGTTACCCCTTAAGCTGCCACGGGGACGATTTTTTTGACCTGGAAAAATTAGACAACATTCAACGTGGAAATTCAAATATATTAGCAGTCATTTCACACTCATAATGCTGGTTATCATCGCTTTCGTGTTTAAAGCTGTATTACTTAAAACTCTATGTTTAGACAATTTTACTACGCTCTATAAGATAATTCAACTTAATTCCTAAGGATATAAACTGAACAGTAAATGCTCGTATAGAAAAAAAATGGATACTCTAACATGATAAATGATACATAGGTAAGTTATCACGTGTCAGTCACCAGTGACATTTATAATGCTTAGAGGTCGGTCACATACGGATATAGTCACCAACAGCTCATACATACAATTTATATATAACATGTTAGCATCGGAGGACTATGGTGCAGTGAAATTCCTTTGCTATTCAATCATTTCCAACTGTATGCGCATTTGTCTTCGGTGGCAGGCAAGGTTATTGGCTCATAGCAGCAGTGTCCAAGCCCAAGAGCGGCGTTCCTTTCCCGATTACTAGATTCTTTTGTACAGCCCTCGTAAGCGGAGCTCTGTATCTTTAATTCACGGTGACTGGTATACTACCGTAATCCTTACTCAAACCTAACCTTACCAAAAAAACGGCGAGGAGGTACTCTCGGGCAGAATAATCCGTTGCGAGATCGAATAACTAAGTACAGTAAAATGATAATAATCGAAGAGCCAATGTAATCACAAGCTATCAAAATTGTACAAAAATAGACAGTATTTATAAATATGAAGGCAAACTCTTTGTGCAATTGTGTACACAGCTCCTGGTTGTGCACAATGGTAATGTAATTGTTCACATGAACACATCGAGCAAACGAAAATGATCGTGACCAATATTTCGGTGGAAGCATTCGACTACAATGAACCAACTACGAACGTTTTTTTTTTTGTGTTTGGACCGTTACCGATCGGCGTACCTTCATTCATACTCAGAGGCTGACAGCATAACCACTGCAACAATAGCTCATGCTTATATTGGCTATCCGAGTATTATTCTACTGATAGGGTCATTGTGTCTAACAAAACAGTATAAATTTTTTATATATTTTTTAATTTTTTGCATTAAATTTTTTGCATTTGGTTTTGCCTTGCAACTGATCTATTAACCGGTGCGCTATATCTTGAAACTGAAAGCGATTCAGGGAGATAGACGTTTATAAATTAGGGGACGGTCGTTTTTAATAAATCGATTATCTGTTTGCATAAGGGTTGCAACACATGCTCTAATACAGATGTGGAGTTCGCAGAATCCTTCGTTTTCAAGACCCGCCTCTTCAGGGCGTTCTTATTAGCTACAATGCTCCTAACCCAAAGCTTAAGCTGATAAATTATCTCTCTATTGAATAAATCAAATTATTTACCTTGGATGTGTAGCTTAACACTGTTCTAAAAGCAAATTTGGTTTACGTCGTCTGTATTCCCGTCTTCCCTGCTCCCTTTACTACAGATTCAGAATCTACGGGTTACGGTTGCGATCAAACGGTATATTTGGTCATTAGACATAACAGACCTCATGTTTGGGCTGCATTATAACGATAAACATACTCTCTATTATTCAGTCACTTAGCGGAAAATACAGACGATTTGCTAGACCGATGGGCCTACTCTTAATTAATTTAGTTTTTCCTTTATAAAAAAATTAATTGAACATTAGTAAATTAAGTTTGAAATATTACCACTATTTGGGGATCAAACATTCCCGATTTCTCTAGATTAGTATGCTCATTGTATTTTAGTGTTACATTTCAGAATCGTTTTGTACAGATGGCAATCCCAGCTTACGGCACGATAACTCCTAAATTGATGCTGCCAAATCGTAAACGAAACACTACGTTATGTATTATGCCATCTCTGCCTATAAATAAGCCCATGAGCATAAAGTACTAGTAACAAACGGTAACGTGAAATCGCAACTGAGGTTTCACGAATCAAGGGGCCCCTTAAAGATGACCAGGTATGCACAAACCTGTGCACCCTCTTGGACGGTCGAGTCAGTTAGCACTCATGATGACTCTAAAAGCCCCTCGCCACTGATACTGTGGCGCTTGTGTGGTGAGAGCCAGGGCAGAAATTGAAGTGCTCGGTGTGATTAGCGATCAAGTGCTGAAGCTGTATCAGGCTCTACTTTTGGGTGTTATTATTAATCAAGATGACTGCGTTAATCTACTCAAAAATGGACGTGTGCTCAGAAAATAAAACAGTTTCAAATTAGATTCGTCCCACAGTTCTTCACAGTCGTCCATCATTTCTTCTTCAGGTTAGTTGACAAGTCTTATCTAATTTGACTTAATATTATGTTCATGGCAACTTTAATACAGCCCTTTTCCATTGGAGTCACGACCTACGATGCATACAGTCCCAATCTGGATGATAAAGAACTCAATTTCGTATGCTGCATCTATACCCTATATGTATTTACGACATCTCGCTAAAAATTCGTGATAGATCCCTCTTTAACCGAAGCGTTCGCGATATGCAATAGAAGCTGCAATGTGACATATGCAGTGAAAGCTATGTTAACATATAGGCTAAGGTTTAAGATTTCTAAGGGTACCATTTAGTTTACTTCTTCTGAGCTTAACTTCTCCAAGGTATGACATAAACAAATACGTCGTATGTATATTTGAGAAGTTTAATTCCGCAAAGGTTCAGACATATCCGCATTTCGGGATGAAGATCTGAAAAATTAAAAGAAAAAAACATCGACGATGAATTTGCTAAATGTTGGGTTCAAAGCTGCCATATTTACATTATAGAAAAAGACTGCATATTAGACATTTTGATCCCTTCTAACATATTATATTTTAAATCGATGCTAAACTGCAGTTTAGTGGATCTAAGTCCATATAGATACTTATAATAGCTACTGATACAGCTCATACTAGTGATGGTACAAGGCCATACTTACAATGATAGAAGCTCCTTATGGTAAATTGGTCTGGTAAAGGAAACCACACAATTCAATTGTCTATACAGGTTCGGCTTTACTCGTAAATACACGAAGTCATGACGAATACATGAAGCTACATTTACGGCGGGAAGTAGTACGGCAACACGCAAGTTATCAAAACTGGGTACAGAGCGTAGATTAGACAGTACAAGAAGCAAAATGAGGACCACAGCACGTGGAAACAATAAAAACCTAAAAGAGAACAACGTGTATCGCATATATACATAGCAGAGGAAGCACGCGGAAGAATACTGCTTATTGTATCAATCAGTGAATACTTGGAGCCTGATTAACAAGCGTATTGTGCCAAGCTTAATATAAAGGCGGAGATAATAGAACATATGGTACTATTATGTAATACTAGACGCTAACCTGGGTGAGCAAATATCCCGCAGTCCATGGGAAAATTAGTTAACGTAGAGCATACTATCACCCTTAGGTAGACAAAAAGCATACTACGCATTCGGGTTCCTGATGCGTGAAGCATCTGCTAACCGATAACTTGGCTGGCCTTCTGCACGACTATCTACTCTGCCATCATGGTATATTTTTTATAATGCCCTTATCCTCCATCGCGTCGGCTCATACGAATATTTCTTCATATGTATCTGCTTTTACGTATTCAGGTTTGTCTTCATGATGTTTCCTACACGATGCGCTGTAATAGCAGCACTTTTGATACATACTGGTTTTTTCTATTGGTTAAGCTCTTTGGCGTCATTACGATGTAGTATTAGAAAATATATTCTTGATGTGGTAATTCAGTGAGGCCAGTAGTACTTTGGAGGTTCTAACGAGTGAGCGGAATAACATTAGCCAACAATTCGCTAATGATAAAATTTACCGCCTTAGATGTTCGCAGTTATAATATTCTAGGTAACGGAACCGTGTACGGGAAGACCAAGTCGATCATGGCATGGATGATCAAAATGGTTTTAGGTTGTTAGTTGTCGCTAATGAGAACTAACAACGGAGGAACAGCGACCTTCTTGTATAAGTGGCCGTTTTGTAAGCAGGCGAGGACTCTTCTACCTCACAGCAGCAACATGACTCCAATACGATATTTAGGGTTAACGCCCTTGATAGCTGCATTTTTTTCAAGATTGGTTAATGAAAATATTAACTTTCATAAGAACGGTCTAAATATTACTTATGACTACATCGTGGTAGGTAAGTTTAATACATATGGATAATTGTAAATTCATAGATTAGACCATTTTTAGCTTAAGAAACTAGATAGATTATTAGTAAACTGTTATATATAGATCCCTCAAATTTTAGTTAATTTGAATTAATCGGTCTTGATGATGAATGATATTGCACATTCATTCGACTAGAAAGATTCACTATATTATTAAATGAAAATTCTATAGAATAAGAAGTTTACACAAATTACACTTGGATATGACTCAGAAATTATATTATAATCTTAAACATTTTATTAGGTCAATTTTACACACAACGCGTTTACAGGAGGAGGATCTGCTGGGGCTGTCGTAGCAAGTCGATTGAGTGAAGATTGTTCAAAGACGGTTCTTCTGCTCGAGGCTGGGGGAACGGAGAATCAACTCTCAGATGTTCCCCTAATCGCAGCGACTTTGCAGGTGACATGTTACGGTATAAATGTCATTAGGATGACAGAATCTGTTACTTTCACACTGTGCATTATAAATTAAATTACAAACTAAATTATACAGTAGCAACACTTATTAAAATGCGGAAGCGGTCTTCGTGCTTTGTGTTACCGCACGCCATCAAAAGCCATCAATTGTTTCTTTCGGAGGAACTGTATTGCGTTTCTTGAAGTTGCGACTGTGTGAAAGCGAATATCGCTTTTTGCTATGTTTTGAAGCTGTTTAATGTTTTAAACAAGTTCTCAAGTAAGCTAAACTAAAGGACACTAAAATAAATTCTCTATTTTCTACTCACGCATTTTTAATATATCTTGTTTTTCTATTTATTCCTATATAAAAAAGACGAACAGTTAGTTTCCTGTCAAATTCAGAATTCACTCAATGACCAAAGTAATGTTAGCTGTGGCTAGTTATTAATCAAGTACGAAAACCCTGTCTGGACCTAGCTCTAAGCAACCTAACTGTAGCCTTTAGCGAAAAAAATACGTTCGAGGATTCTGCTTCGAGTTTCGGTTAGATCAAGTCTCAACTTCACATGAAGCCGTTAAGCAACCCTTTTTCCTTAAATGCGATTCTATGCATTATCTTTTAGAACAGTTTTCCTTTACGTAGAAGAACTTACAACTCTAATCTAACAGAGATTGTATAACTCTTGTTACAAGGGATCGGCACTTGACTGGAAATACAAAACCGTGCCACAAACGAAATCATGCTTTGGCTTGTCAGGTCAGCAAAGTTTGTGGCCACGTGGAAAAGTCCTTGGCGGCTGCAGCGTGCTTAACTACATGCTGTACGTGCGTGGGTGTCATGAAGACTATGACAGATGGGAGGCGCTTGGCTGTGAAGGCTGGTCGTGGAAAGATGTCTTTCCTTATTTCGTCAAAAGTGAGGATAACCAAGATCCTGATATACGAAATAATGGGTGGCATGGAAAGGGTAAGCTTTATTATATATCAACCAGCTTCTGATTGCGACTTCTTGGTGAAATAATTTCGTACTGTTTGAAACTTTTATTATTTAGCTTCACAGAGAAAGTTGCACTTGTCATCAGTCCCACTCGTAGAGAACAAGTCCAAAATGATAATTTGGTCATTTAATCAAGAAATCATCTTTTTATCATGCTCAAACCTCTAGGTGGTTATTTGAACGTACAACGTACGAAATACAACACCGACTTGGCAAGAGCTTTTATTGAAGCCGGTAAACATCTTGGCTATTCGGAAACGGATATTAACGGCGCGCGGTGCACCGGGTAAACGATATAGTCCTTTACATTATTTTTGCCGTGTAGGTTATTAGAGCTCTTCAAATATCGTTTCTCAGTAAATGTGTCACTAAATCCTTCAATGTAGAATATTTCTGACAAGAGTCACGTGCATGCTTAGATCTGGTTATCAAAGTATGCTCGAAGCCTTTCCGTTGATACTTAATAACTTTTCGGTTAGCGTGTTATCATTTTGTTCTAAAGGCCTTAGGAAATGTAGTCACCATGTGTACAATATTAACAAGATTCATGTGTCGTTTGAATAATTATGACGTTGAGTTGTTTGTAACACAACACACTCTCACGGCTGATTATCGAACATTGTGCTGCAGAATCATGTTTTTACTCCGTTTATTTCCCTTAAAATATTGTATCAACTATCATAAGCGCAATATATTTTTTCCATCGATTTTGTAACTTTTAAATGTGAGAGGTAATTCTAAAGACTTGCCACTAAAGCCTACTGTTAGCAAACAACTATTAGCCGTACTGCGTCATTTTTGCAAATTATGAACTGTTTTTAAACCACTAAATTCAGATTTATAAATGTTCTATCAAAAACGCATTGGTGACTAAACACAAATATTTCAGCTTCATGGTGCCCCAAGGCACAGTCCGTAATGGATCGCGCTTATCAACTTCGCGAGCTTTCCTCGAACCGGTCAGGGATCGTCCTAACCTTCATATTTCCCTGTATTCAATGGCTACAAAAATTAACATAAATCCTACTACAAGACGTGCTGAATCCGTACTTTTTGACCGCTTTAACGTCCCCACCCTAGCTTACGTCAATCGGGAAGTAATTGTCTCAGCAGGGGCCATAAATTCGCCACAGCTCCTTATGCTGTCTGGCATTGGTAAGTCAATCGTCGATATTCTTATAGACGTTAACCTAGTCTTTGCGACCAATGATAACTACCGAATGAAAGCACACAAATTGTAGTTGGAATAGAGTGCTATCGATATACTTAAGCTTCAAGTTTACGACTAGCCCACTCAACAATAGTTCACTCACCAAAACCTTTCTTATCTTAAATTAGATGTTCTTTTTGTTCAACTTTGTTTTACATAATTAGGGTAAGTCTAAATGGATTTTTCTAGTTTTACATCCAATACTATTGTTAAACACTGTTTTAAACGGCTCACTCCCAACATGAAACGGAACGTGTGCCTGGCTTTGAACCCAGACAGTTTCACGAGCTCCTAAGTTTGATAGGCAAACATGTTGCCATTGCCTCACTACGGGATCTAACCGAGAGCTAGACCTAAACGAAGTTTATTGATTCTGGATTTTACTGTCGTGCTTTTTTCTCTTTCTTTCTATATTGTTATGTGCCGCAAACGCTTATTGTTTGTATCAAATAAATGGGGCTTTCATGAGTTCAAAGAGGAAGGCGAACCGAAGCAAACGAATTAATTACTAGCTATTCAGCTAAGGTTCCAGCAGTTATCGAATATCACAAGTACGTATCTAAAAGATGCAAAAATTATTATTATTATTCATTACATAATATTTTTCGACATATAACTTCTATTTTCAACAAGTAAGGAAGTTGACACTGCATGAGATCCCATAATCCATGATGCAATATTTCAAGCTTGTGAAGTCAGATTTTTTAATATCTTGCAGGTCCTTGCGATCATCTTTCTTCCTTAGGCATAGAATGTTTGTTTGATCTCCCCGTGGGTGAAAACCTGCAGGATCATATTTTTGCGGGAGGTGTGAACTTCCTTTTGAAAAATCCTGCTTCTGTCGTACAATCTCGTGTTTTCAATGTAGAAAGCATGCAGTCGTATCAAAACAACGGTACTGGACCACTTACTTTACTTGGAGGAGTAGAGGGCATCGGCTTCATTAACACAAAATACGCCGATCGATCAAGAGACTGGCCGGACTTCGAGCTACATTTTGCTGCTGGTTCACCTGTGTCCGATGGAGGACAAAGCCTACGGTTCGCCCACGGGCTCCAACCAGACATTTGGAGGGACGTCTATGCAGAACATAACTATGAAGACACTATCTCCATATTTCCTGTCATGTTGCGACCAAAATCAGTTGGTACGTCCTGTCATTACTGAGTAGTTTTAATGGTAATTAGGTAAATAACATGTTTCTTTAACATGGTTTTGCGACAAAAACCTCATTGTCAACTTCAAGGCAGAGTTGTCTACTTAGATGAATTATTTTGTGCTAGAAAAAGCGCCAAGATGCTTTAAAACCCATTTACTATCTCAGATGCAAGTGTCAGAGATCAATGGCACTTGCGACCAATAACGACAGGATCATTTCCAGCAATCTAGAATTTCTGTCGTTAAAAGGAAGCCTAATTTTGGCTCTCACTATCAGGTTGATTAAGCATATATCTTATAAGGGCTGACTAGTTTGTATTGTGGACTCTTAGTTCAAAGGGGCTTTCACTTTCTTTAAAAGTTGGCTTAACTAGGGCAATTCAGAGGTTACGATACATTATATGAGCCTACAATTGAATAATCAAAGAACCTACCACAAGATCTTGCAAGCAACTGAGTTCACCCTTTTTAATATCTAGCTAATCTCACGTAAGCATTATGGCTTTGTATAATGAGCAGATAATGAGTGAAATGAATCAGAAATAAAACCGCAGTAGCTTCAGCTAATGTAGAACAATGGAACTTACCTAGTTATTATTGCGCCTTACCGCGTTAATCGAAGAAAATCGTGATAGTGAGCAGTGTCTCGAAACCTCGATGCGAGTTATCAACACTAGTCATGTTTTTCCATGATCTGCTTGTTATCCCATGAATTCTAATTTCAGGATTTCTCAAGCTAGCTTCTGCCTCGCCATATGATCATCCCCTCATTGATCCGAAGTACTTCACTGATGAGACCGATATTCTGGCCATGGTTGATGCCATGAAAATCTGTATTCAACTTGTGCAAACGCCGGCATTCCAGAAATATGGCCCTGAATTATGGGACAAACCATTCCCAGGGTGTAAAAGTTATCCAATGTACTCCGAGGAGTATTTAGCGTGTGTTGCACGGACCTACACCTTGACACTGTATCATCCGGTAGGCACCTGTCGAATGGGCACCGCTGGCGACCGACGTGCAGTAGTTGATTTTCGGCTTCGGGTTCAGGGTCTCCAAAACCTACGCGTGGCAGATGCTTCCATTATGCCGGATATTGTTTCAGGTTAGTACAAAGAAATATCGGGGAGGTACAATAGAAAGGTGCTTTTGATGCTATCATAATTACTCATCATGTCATTTAATTACTTTAAAGAATTGAAAATTTCGTTCAATAACTGTATTTGCAAGTAGTATATACCTTTGAAATGTTCTCAACTGACCGTTGATTTAAAATCGGTCACTAGGAATTTGACGATATTGAAATGAGTACTTTGCAGATCGCGGGCGGAGTCTTTTCGAAAATCAGAAAACATTTACATAGGGATTGCTTTAGATATAGAATTAAGCATACAGCGGCTTAAGAGCAGAGTGTGGTATACAATTTTGTGTCTCCTTCATTAGGTAATACCAACGCTCCAGTGATTATGATTGGAGAAAAGGCAGCTGATATGGTCATCCGAGATAACATCGACTCGTAACGGAATTGGACCAGAGTGCAAACCCAAAACACTAAAGTTGATGCGGTAGGATCTCTTTTCACCGCTGTCTCACTTTCGTGTCACATTACAAATCAATAGTGAATCCACATATATCAAACCCTGAAACAAAGATCTGGCATGGAACTGGATTCAAATAGAATTCGTTCTCTCAAAGAGGTGTGGCTGTGAAATATTGAGAACTAAAATAGAAGCATTCTTTTCTATATCTAATTTTTTACTCTCTTATATACCACTAATCAGCATTTATTATTATATAGTGCGGTGAATAGGTCTGGGCGTTCAAATGTTTCGAGTTCGAACACAGTCGAACTTATGGCTTATGATATCAACCTCGCTATTGCCTTAGTCAACATCGAGACTATTCGCACGAGCTGAAACCTCTTCACACCAACATACCACAACATGCACGTTAAAGAACTTCATTAACTTAAATTGAAAATAACTCAATAGCTCCCACAATTCTTTGTAGTTCTCCGCTTGCAAAGACTGCCTTGCCTACGTTGAACAACTTCACACATATAAAAAGTCTATTTGCTAGGCAAAAAGCTAGTTTCAGATAATAAAACGGAAATTCCTTAGAAATCACGACTGTGTTGCTTTCGGACGTTTACTTCAGCATAGAATTATACTTGCAACAGATATTGTTCATTATAACGCGGATACATTTTATAGGCGCTGATATCACTGACGTCTAGTTTTTCTTCTGAATTAGGGAGCTAATTTAAGCAGTAATAGCTACTAATAATAGCTCTTAAAGCTCTCCTATATGCGTTTACTCGAAGGTTTTATTCTATACGATTAGTTAAAAGATTTCAGCTTAAACAAACACGCAATAACACTACGACGTATGTTTCTTTACGTATGTAATGCTGTTTTATTGTTTCACATCTTACAATTATTCCTTTCCATTACAGCTGTTAGGTCGTATTCGCTATTACTATTGTGTTTTTCATAAAATTTGAACTGGCATTCGCTTTGCCCAATCTTTAATAGATGAAGTTTTTCAATGGTACTTGTATTTCCTGTGAAGCTTCAGTTTAGAGTAGTTGAGATAGTAGAAAAACAGCGAACTGACCACAAACATTTGTCCGATAGGAGTAAAGTTTGAGTACTTTGGATGGACGTACTTATGCATCCACCTCCAGTGAGCGCGAGAAATAGCAGCAACCATCGCTTGGGGACTCTTATTGCGGCGGCCCAGCCATGCCCATAGCTCCGACAGGCGTACTTCGCTTAGGGGTGTATCAGCTGTAAGAAACACCAGCGTAACATACAATAAATTTCCTAGTAACGAGAATATGACTTCTTTTTCGAAAAAGAGTTTAAACTAGATGTTGTACTAAAAATATACAGTTTTTGTAAATGGTCCGGGATAAAAATGGTGAAGCATGTCTACATCATAAAAGTACTTGCCAAGTCAGGTTATGGCGAAAAGGAAAGCTGATTATTAATAAATTTGCAATATTTCTGCTCTAAAATAAAGGTTGTATTAATTGCATTATTATATCCGCACAGATAGCATTATGTGTGTCTATTTATAACGACGTTCAGGAACAACTCAACATTTTTCATTAGCCCTTATCATTAGAACCGCTCTTCGCGCCATTATCGCCTTGTTATTGTCGGATATCAATGAAGTTTGATATTACCGGATAATTGGTGACTACTACGCGCACTAAAGCTTTCCTTAGAGTGCGATTCCAATTTGAACTGAAGGAATAGACTATCTCAATTTACCCAGCACCAGGAGTAAACAGACTCTGCACTCATGCAGTAGCATCGATTCGTTCCATCATATAAGGGTGCTAGATTTCTGAAGAGCCCAAATTTGCGAGAGTTCTGTTAACTTTAACGTAAAAAAACGTTTATATAACTACTATTATAAAACGGCAGGTGGTACGAAAGCGAAATCTATAAATAGGGGCGTATAGGCCTATTTCCCGAAAAATCTCTTAAAACGCATCCAGCAAGCTTTTATGCAGCTTTTGAATTACACGCGGCTAGCAAATTATGTTCCGCTGACAAATTCTTCAGTCTTCTATAAACTTATGAGTAATTGGAGTAAACCGGTTGAGTATTCTAGCACAAATTAGTTTTTCCAAAACACGAAACTTTAGTTTCGAAAGTCAACGCTCTATAATCAAGCTCTTGTTTCTTAAAGGTCAGGGTGCCACGAGAACTTATTGAAGATTGGTACTGATAGTACTGAAAAGATTGTAAGCAAAGATGTCCAGATGTTTCAAACAAACAATGAGTATTGACGACCAATGAAGGCTACCAGTTGTCTGGATTTGAGGGACAAAAATACATTGCCGCGATCAAAGAGGCTTTCTGCGAAGGCAGAACTTGAATAAGGGTTCTGTCGGCTACATTTGCGTTTCCCATGTAATCGGTTATAAATTTATAACCCAAGTGCTGAAAATGAGGAAAATGAGTAAAAAATGGATCTCTCGTAACCATAAATCGAATTCAGGCCAGTTAGAAATGCGTATGATGCTCTCCATGTGCAATTTGCAGAGCTTTCATCAGCAAAAAACCCTCCGTGATATACGGCCGCCATAGACAAGGCATGTCTCGATCCCCACCGCCAGCCGGAAAGACCAAGTTGGCGAACGGCATCACCTCCGAGAGGAATCAAGGTCACTAACAGTGTCCAGTAAATTCGGAGATAAGGTGATGATAGTACGTGCAGTCGACATCAGGTACATATGCTACCATAAAATGAATGAATACAGCCCGCCATCCCTAGCCCCTCAAGGGTCTCATGGGTAGTTGACAGGGCGATCGAACGGATGCAGTCTGATTACTTGATGACAGCGCTAGACCTCATCACCATGGCTACAATACTTCCTGAATTGAGCAAAGGAATATTCTGGAAGGGTCAACTTATTCTTCCAATCCTCTGATTACGAGGCTTTCCATGCCCTAAAAAGGCAACTGGCGGTCAAGTATATCCCGCTCCCAATTTACTTCCAGGAGTCATAGGGAAAAAAATTACTGGCAAAAGCTGCTACAACGCTGGGACTATTGTGTAAGAAACTGTATTTCCAACACGTATTTGAAAATTATATATTTAATCCAACTAGTTTTTGTTCAGTTTCAACATCCACCCATAATGTAATGATGTAGTAGTGTAATGATTGATTCCGGGACACAGATAAAGCGAATAAGCCGGTATTTAAAAGAAAAATCTATTAATATTGTTTTGTGAGAATAACAGATCAGGTTTAATCTTTGCCTATTGTTCCTTTCGATAGGGTGGCATAGGTAGCGGGCCTACCCGCAACAGAATTTTTGTTTCAAAGAAGAAGCAACTGTCTTGCTGGAATGACAGCCCCGATTGATTGTCAGTTTGTGCCGCTAAAAGAAGAAAAACATCTTCTGTGCATATGTTTTTATTTACTAAGAAGATACTTGTGTTATCGAAGTCTTTAATGATATTTTTTATCGTAAACGATTCTTAACACGCAGTTTGGACTAATCCAATTATTGTATTTTCTTTACTATGAATTGTAATAAAATACTATTAGGCTATAGGAAGTCGAGTTCTGAACTATCCAAAGATATCTAGGAGTTTTAACTTATTTGAATAATGTGGAAAGTGTGGATGTGACTGCCGCCCTCCAAAGCCTAACTGATCGCATCTAACTTTATGTGAGTCTCGCGATTATCCATATTTTACAGGTATGGCTTCTGTGAGTAAACGCGAATGGTCGCGATAAATGGCCGAAGACAGTCTTTGAACATCCCTTGTGGTTTATCGGGGCATTTTTGCAAAATCCTGGCTTCAACGGGTACACCTATCAGTATATTATTTTTCATAATATACCATAAACTGCGTTTTCATTTGGGAACACGAAAGTGCGCATTGTAACCAGGAATTTGCGTTTTTTGGATGACCTTTGAGCAACTAGTCTTGTTACTTTAGGCAGTCACTTTTGAAGGATCTATTACCGTATGAAGAAACGGCTAGCCTAGATTAAAAACGCTTCGAACAGTAGGACAGGTAATTTCTAAAGTCTGTTCAGATTCTCGAAAAAAAAAAACTAATTTCTTCTATAGTAAAGCTCACTGTAACTAGGATTTTTCTGGGTTTGAACAAAGAGGTTAATCGTGTCGCGCAAGGAAAGCCATCATCGAATCCTTCCGTGCACGTTACTTGTGGCTCCAACTGCCCGGGAGGTTTATGCTCAGTTTGCTCGGCGAATTCATACGTAATTTACCTCACTATGAGCATTATATGGCCTTGGATGGTTCATGTGTATGAGCTATGTTATTCGTATAGCCCCTTGACATGTCTTAAACGCACGACGCAAACGGATATATTTTGAAGCGAGCTTACTTAGAGAACCGCGCTGCCTCCCTAATGAAGATGCCTCTATCCGCGATAGCCACAGCTGCTTCTTGCACGGTCTTGAACTACATTTTTTTATGTACACAACATTTTACACACAAGACTTCGAGACTGCCACTAGCAGCTAACCGCTACAGCACTTTCTGCAAAACAAGACAAGAGGTGTAATCTTGGTCGTTCCTGCACAAGCAGTTAACTGATGCATGGTGGCACTGCTTAAAAGGAAGCAGCGCTAAGTTATTTCTATAAGAAATCTGATACATTTTATCGCTAACATTGTGCTGTCTTGACAATACCCTATAAAAATATGATCATTTCATTGTGTTGTTAAATAACTTTGCTGAATGAACTGCAACTAAGGAGCTCGCCTCTAGAAGTTTGTCCATTATTCTACTTACATTATTTGAACCCTTAGTGAATCGTCCTCAGTATCAAAAATAGCGTGTTTATTCAAACATGTTAAAATTATTCAGTTTTAACAATAGTGTTCCCCTTGATGGTGCTCTCTACGAAAAAGCCGATTCCAGTTTCTTTCAAATATGTTATATGAGTAAAAAACGTAATATGAGTTAACGTGTTAACTTTCCAACGTCTGCTTTCCGTTTGATATCGAAAATGTTACTTTAGAAAAAGCGAAACTGCGGTCGAAAAACAAAGTGGTTATTCTACTTGTACTAAAATAAAAGTTACATGGAATACACAAAAAATACATAACTGTCCCGTAAAGCCCATTTTTGGAATTTGGTCAAAAAAATAAGTGCGCCAAACTTCAGACTCGTGTGCATCGAAAAGATTCTGAAACTTCAGTATTAAAATTTTAAATTAACGTTACATTGTTAACAAACGCAGTCACCTATGTAGCCACTGTCTCATACATACATTCCTATATCCATTATTTGGAATAACACTGGTAGATCAAGTTTTAATTCTTATTACTCTGACCGCCGATATGAAAATTGTCATATTCAATAGCTGAATATTCAGATATATAACCGAATTATATAATTAATAAGAAGAATAATTTCAAAAAATTCGGAGCATTTGCATTGTGGTTGAGATTTCACTTATCAACTTACAAGTACAATAGCCAGATAGATGAGTGCTATAATGAGCTTCAGAAATACTGAAGCTAATACTGTAGTTAAATTTTTTTCTGGGAATGTGATTATGCTTCTCAAACACGACTGAATGGCACAACACTTAAGTGACCCTTTAAAAGCTAGCGACACAAATCGAAAACTCTATAAGGTCACTTGGCCATCTGTGAAAGTATTAGCACGATCACTGATTGGAATGTTCTAGAAGTAAATAGCACAATAAATTGAGAAAATTCACAGCGTAATAAGCAATAGGCTTTTGTACAAGGGACTCAGCTCTGATTTTCCAAGTGTGAGACAGAGGTCTTATGCTTGTTTGGCGAATTTGCCTTACGAATAGTCGTGAATGTTCGTATTTTTCCTTGAATCAATAGCGAGAACGTCAAACACGGCGTGAATATCAACAGTGACGTTTTTTAACTAAAAAGTTTTTAAGACTATCATTTCAAGTATAACGCCCTTTTCTGTAGTATTCTCGCTTCTTAATAAAATATTCTAAGAAGCTGCTGCGTCGCGTATTCAACTTAGAAACACTTACGTTTTCCATAGTAGCGTGCCGGATCATAGGATCCATGCACAGCCCGGTTGTATTCGGGAGGATAGTCGCCAAAACCCATTGTAACACCCTTTTCTTACTATCTACAAGCGACTCGAATGGCCGTGCGCTGATCCACAGTATTTGCTGATTCTCACATGCTAAGGTGACCGGAGGTGGCGAGCGGTCGTTTAGGTTCGAAACTACTGGGCAACCCCTGTCTGGGATTCGACCAGTTATACTGATTAGCGCGTTATCGTTTGCATTTGCAGGTCAGTGAACAATTGTCATACAGATTAGGATAAACTATTGCCGGGACAGAGCATTCGAGATAATAGATATAAACTTGTGACAAAAATCACAACTTCATTGAGTCGTAAGCACAAAACTAGACACACTCATTAAAAACAAACCCTGTTTTGTAAACAAAATACGATCCGCTTGCGCCTTCGGCAGACAGTCACTCCCTGTCATTTTTAAGCTAACTGAATTATAGTACAATAAAGCAAGAATAAATTGCCACTAGTTAATTTATAAAACCCCTTCTTTTTTGCGGTTTAAGAACGAGTACAGATGACTTCAAATCTTCAAATCTGGCTTTAAACGATTTCGGAAGTGTATTTAAAGCTGATTCGGAACAAAATGAAATCATAGTCGTTACCTCCAACTTTGCTTCGCTTCTTTTCATAATAATATTATTCTTCGGCTAAGTTGTCCCTAAACGCCAAGCACTGCGGGAGTACTCATTGCGAATCATTGTAAAGGATAAAGCCAGAATGATCGGTGACGTGGGACTTTTTGTGTTCAGTCTCTTCGACACAGGAGCACTTCTGTTTCTGACTGTATACGTAGTAAGTGTGATGACGATGCCTATACTTAATTTCTAAATATTGGGTTGTTGAAACAGCATTGCCGATTTTTCTAACTAGATGGCTATAAGGTCACAAATCTTGGCGTTGCTGTTAGTTGGAAGGTGAGATTTGCCAGTAGTAACTGTGCTAAAATGGTGGGAATGCCTTTACTTAAATTTAATATAGAACGCCTCGAAGTGAAACGTCTACAAAAATTCGCTCTATTTTACAATTCTATAACAATAAAAGCACAAAGGTCGCCCAGATCTATGAAAAAATGGGCGCCGGTCATGGTCACCATGTGTTAGCGGAAGAAATAGCTCAAATATAGTTCCGGGCGTTCATTTTCGTCCGATGTGAAAAATGCTTCTCCTAGTGATTGACGAATTAATGAAAGGTTGATTCATTCACTGGGGAAATCAAGAAGACTGACACGTGAGTAGACATGATATCGTTAAGAAACTAAATACCCACTACCAAACGGCTGTGAAGCATTTGAAAAAGCTGGAAACAAAAAAATGCTTGGGTGCCACACGAATTGACGCAAAAATCAACTCTTTCGTATTTTTATCTGCAAGAATGCAATAAACTTGAGCCATTTCAAAAGCGGTCGATCACGTAGGGTAAAAAATAAATCACATATAAACAATAATAAAAAACCAAATCAAAAAACGCTGTACAATCTGTGGCAAAAGCCAGATTGACGCCAAAAAAGTGATGTGTTTGGTATTATTGGAAAGGAATCGTACATGAGTTGCTGCGAAACAACCCAATCAGGCTTCTACTGTCAACAGGTAAAAAGATCACATACATATTTACCTAACCAGCAAAAATTCAGAGAGCTTGGATGAAAAATTTTAATGCATCCGGTATATAGTTCGGACCTTGCCCCATTAAACTACCATATGTTTCGCTCTTTGGAAGAATTTGTCGATGGTATTAACTCAATGGAAGATGCAAAAATGACTGGCCACAATATATCACCCAAAAATTACAAATGTCCTGCAGTTTTCTTCAATTTTTTCAATTACCTAATATTTTCAATCAAACGTATCCACACGTTTTGAATTAATCCTGTTTTTCGTAAGGCATTGTTAAGCATTCAGCGCTGCAGTTAGTTTAGTCTTCGTAAGTTGGCACCTAAGAACAGCGGTTAGGAGTTATAGGGGGTAAAAAGCTATAGGGGTAAATTAGTTTATTTGCTTTTTAAAAAATATTTTGTACTAACCGCTATTATTAGTCGCGGGAGGGTACGTACGCTAACACTCTGTTACGAAAAATAGCTACGCATCTCTTTCATTTTTTTTATTAATAATGCGAACGACCCATCTAAAACACATTTGAAGTAGCCCGAACAGAGAGGGCTAAACTTAAAAAAATTTATATACATATATATTTTTTGTTTTGTCATATTTATGCGAAATTCTCCAAAGACTTTGTCATACAGAATATCATAGAACGTTGACTGTACAATACTCTTATTATAGCGGTTCGTGGCAAGTATACTGGTATGGAGATATTGCAACTTTTTTATTCAGTTAAATTTAATTCTCAATGAAAGAACCTCAGACTGCGATGTAGAAGTTCGCATAATACACTTAGCAGGGTATGCACTTTACTAAAAAAAAAAAATGTAAAAATGCGAATATTCACATATCAATTGAAAAAAGATCAGTCAGATCTATACAAAGTATACACAACCTTCTGTATACACAAACAACAAGTACAGTATACAAAGACACACAACCTTCTGTAATATGAAAGATATATATGAGACACTGCGAATAATATTTCATAATAGGTAAGCAACGCCTCTGCGTATTTAGCTTTTTACTTTTGTGTCAGCGAATGCTTTTTAAAAACTAAGAAATATAGTGAAATAAAGGATAATGTAGTTACCCACCATATAATTTTGTGAATTAACTTCCACTAAAATGTACACGACGAGTTAAATGTCCATTGCAAAACACAGAAAGGTTGTGCTTAGAAAACTTGTTACAGAAATAGCTAGTAAACGTCAGTTAATAATTACGTAAGATTAGAGAAAAAGTAGGAAATACTAGAGAGTATTTGACTTGTAAAAAAGACAATCATCCATTTGAGAGACAGGCAAACAGTTCATAGAAAAGCGTAACGATATTGAATTCAACGAATAATATTGTAAATTTGAATGACGATTTTGCAGCCCCACGTCTATAGGAAACCACTAAATTGAACTAACTCAAAGACACGTGACTATAATGCTGCAGTTAAATGTAGTTCTATAGTCACTATTTATATAACGGAAAATGTAGTCCATTGACATTTAATCTATAAGATTATCTCTACGAAATCCTATATCTGCGACACCTAACTTGCCTAACCTAGTTAAAAAGGCAGATTACTGATTGCGTACGTGTATCAGCACATAATAAATAATTATCTTTTAGGTGATCACTCTTTCGGATTTAGAATGTGACTACCTCAACGCTCAGGAATGTTGCACAAAACTTAACAAGGTAAATGATCTTCACAAATGCTTCCTTCATCAATATTTCATAATCAATCTTTCAGCTTAAAACGAGTAGCCATACAATTTTAGTTGGCCACAATGCCTAATCCAACTGAACTATTAGGAAATTCTCGAATTGGTGTTTGGGTTAGAATTTAAATACTCTCTTAAAAACCCCATTTTGCAGTTTCTAGAGTACAGTTCAGTGTGCTAATTTATCAACAACTAAAATCTGTATCTTCATTGACAAGCCTTCTTTTTTTCTCATTTTTCGTCAGTGGGTCTTGGTAGAGCTCACTGCACAAGCGTTCCTGACCATATTTCTTCTCCTCATTAACGGACATTGGATTCTCTTTCTTGCCAACGCACCACTCACTGGATGGTTGCTTTACAGGTATCAGTACTTTTTGCTTCTCAGTAGGCTACACTGCTGCTGAAAGGAAGAGTGTGGAACCATATAAGAACTAATTGTCTACATGCGAAACAGCACGTATTGTTAGCCCACACGGAAGTGGCACATATATACAAAAACTTTTGTGTAACAAATTATATGTACGTACTTTTAGCGTTGAAGAAACGCTTTATTGCGACAGGCTTTAGAGAACAATATTCTTCGGTACTTCTGGCGCCACTAGCATAAGCGTGCACTCTAATTCGCTAAAAATGATGCTTTAAATATTATCAAACTGCAGCTTCTGTCGAGACTGTACAAGCCTTTAGTAAGTTAAACGTACGTTTTTTTCCTAAAATATGTCGTTTTCTAGGGTTTTAAAAGTACCCGGTGGCAATGTCGGTGTCTATGATCCAACGGAGATTCACAATCGTGGCGGCCTTAAACTTCACATGCGTGATTCAATGATCCGCCTCGCTTTTTATCTCATTATGTTCTTCATCTATCTCTATTGGTAAGTTCATTCGGTATCTTGTTCGCAGAGCGTCCTCTCATTATAGCTTCTTAAATTATTTTGCCTCTTTAAATTGGAATCAGTCGAGACTATAGTTTCGTTTCAAATGATTAAAAAAAAAACAGTTGACGTAAGATACATACAAAATGGAAGCTAATTTCTTTTAGTATTCGGCTAACTTATTTACGCTGTTTTTTTTGATAAATTAGATACATAGTACACTTATTGACTTCTCCGTATGTATCGGTACTATTTCAGCATGATCATCGGGCTTCTAACAAGAACGAGTCCGAGAACCGTTGGGGCTGCAGGAGAATTTTAGATTACGTTCAGTTCTATTATGGAACTCGTAGCAAATCAAAACACCTAAGATGAGATTTAGTTATGAAGGAACCGGGCTGTTGCCATGATAGGGGTCGATACGAACGGTCTTCTATAGCAATATGAACGATAAAGGACTCTAAGCTTACTCTCTTGAACCGTTTACATGTGAGATGCACTTATCAGGACTTAGTTAAAGTGCACCCCGTAAAAACATACAGTTCTCGGCTGCAATATTTAATGCTGAACCATTTTCTCGATTAAAAACCCCTGCTTTTCATCACAGTTCTTCTAAGATTAATCGGAAAAAAAAGACATGTACAATAACTTCTGAGAATACCTTGCCCCTTGAACCACAGTCTGCGTATGTTCCGATAGTCATTCGATGGAAGTTTCGAGAATCGTCAGCTTCAAAAGGTACTACCGTGGCTGTACGAAGCTGGATGTAATGATTACTTATTGAACTCAAGACGAAGTCACAACTGCGAGACTGATGCACAACGATGACTTATAAAATCTCGCTATACATTGATACAGAATAGCTAATGTTTAGCAGTGCGTTGTCTGTACAAATTAATGGATAAAAGGAAAATAATACTGACGGAAATAGGTAATGAAAGGACAAGCGATATATAGAGCTGGCTATTATATATTTAGTTCTTGTGTACGGAAAAGAGAATCGAGAAAAAAAACATACAAAAACGAGAGAAAGTAAATCGTTCGGTCAAATTTCTGTACGCCTACAGGGACGAACATAAAAAATATGCCTGTTTTTTCAATGTTACTCAAATGTTGATATTGATTGTTTGTCGATCTATCCAAACAGTGGTAGTATTCGGTCAGAGTCATGATGACGATTTTATTGCGACGTTTTCTGAAACATGTGAAAATGAAACGCAAACAAGGACTGCAGATGGCAAACTATCGGAGGCAGAACCTGTGCTCGGAAATATTTTACAAGATCAATTATAAAAACGTTCTGTTTTTTCATTTCTCTTGGCTCGCCGCTGCGTTTCAGATTGAGCTGTAAATATCTCGTTATTAGTGTCAGCAATGGATGCGCCTTATTTTTTACATGATAGTATAATGGGGGAATTAATAACGACGTTCTGATGCATTTCAAACTAATTTTAATTGAAGAAAAGAAATTTCAGACATTCCGTTAAAACTTTCACAATTACGCCTACGAATTTCCTCCCAAGCAAACAATTCGTAACATCTACGACGTCCTTTCAGGTTTTATGGTCTTACATCGCGGCTTTTTATTCTACTTAGTTTCATGAATTAGTACTTAAATGCTTACCAAAGCTGCAATATGTACATAGTTTACTTTCAGATGGCTGACTACTTATAGTAGTTATCTGTTATAGTCAGTAAATGTGACTAGTTATTACGACCGTCGACCGGCCATCAGAGAAGTTGACTTAGGTTATGTGTAGATAAGCTTTAACTTATTGTACCATTAACTAGCCCGCAACGCTCCAAGCCAGTAACGCCACTATTGAAACGAAACGTTATCTCAATTGGTTCGGTTTGAAGGCATTTTTAAGTACGCTACATAAACGGAACGTCTCTGGAAACCTCCTACCTATTTTGTATATGCAGTCAGCGGAACAAATTCGATGTCAACAACGTGTAAATAAAAACATACATTTTAAGCATGTTGTTATTTTTTTTTGCAGATTAGCTGTTTTTACGTAATATTTTTCCATTTAGTGATTCCTTCTAAACAGCATGTCAGCTCTAAACTTAAAGCAATAGTACTCAGCGATTCATAATTTACAAAACCAAGGGTGCCAGGCGCGTATCAAATAGAATTAGTGCATAACAAGAAAAATAATGTAACGGCAATATACTGTTTCGCTGATCTTACTCAAGTTGCAACGTCAGTAAGGAACTAAATAGTTCACAGCTAAATTATTGCAGTATAGAATAATTATACTGCACGCAAAACAACATGAGAAAATGATATAGACAGCAATCGAAAATACAAGAGAGGAGGGGAAAGAGAGAAAAACGAGTTACAGATTTGGGACAGTTAGGCTTAAGTTTACACAAAAAGTAGGTTCACAGTTATTAGTATGCAAAAAAAACATGCGCTGATTGCAAGTGATACTATGTTTTTATCCTTCTACAACGATGGCGTTACCACAATTCTTATTTACATTCGTGAAAATTAATCGAAGAATAACTCGTAAGTGGTTAAAAAATTCCCGCTATTGTTAATCTCGTAAGATGGTTAGCCTTTATCTCAAAATACTATTGGTATTTTAACAAATGAATTGCTAAATTGAGATTTTTAGCCGTTAAGTACATATAATGAGTTTAACAATAGACCCAATGCTCGTTCATATTACGTACAATGCGCTCATAACTCTGTCAAAGCAAAACTACGAACTAAAAACGCTACATCGTGGCACTGAGAAAAATAAACTTAGGAGAAACTTACGACAGACACGAAAATATGAACTGTAATATGAAAAAAGAGAATGGCTACATAAGTAATTAGGCAGACGAGATTTGTATACATACAGAAAACGGAAAACGCCGGCTACTGTTTTGCATGCGGCGAAGGATAGTACAATAGGGCTATTTTCCTTCGAGCCCTGACTAGAGATTACAGCACGAAGCTTTACAACAGCATTATATATTGTGAAACTATAAGATCTATAAAGACGAGCTCTAACGCTTTTCACTATTCATATATATATACACATTCTCTGCTATCAAAAAAAAAAAGGCTTCAAAATATTTAAGCAGGTCTCTACGCGTCCCTGAGTAAAGAGAGTTAGGCCTCATCATTTTGAAATCTTCAACTCAATTCAGTAATCAATACGTGTTTACATTGTTTGCTCATGCATAACTTCCAAGCTACTTATTCTACACTTCTACGTCAGTTCTAATTTTTTTCATCTCGGTTTTCATTTTAAGCCTACTTTTGGTCCGCTCACAATACTATTATATAATTGGTAGATCCTCTGGTTATCTTCTTTTGTGAGATTTAAAGTGCTGGTCATGACTAGAATACACTTGTATTTATTTAAATATTGGATATGCGAAACGTCTATGTTTTCTCCTTTAAATTGACCATCTATGTAGTACATTGTACACGCCACATGCTGGGATACCAATGCTAAGAGGTTTCAACTATTACATAAATATATCATGTAGGTGATCTTGAGCCGTGGATTTCCGAATATATTCTTAACATGTATGATTATGTTCAGCAAAAATATCTATAGAGAAACGAATCAGTATTACCAGGTATATGATAAATGCCACGCAAAGACGAACTATATACATCTATGGTCTATTAATTAATCAGTTAATGCGAAACAATTATAAGGCCTAAGTTTTCAACATGTTTCTTTATTACGAAACGGAACCCAACAAAGAAAGGAGACGAGATCAACTGTAGTTTCCGACAGGGCAAAAATGCCTTCAGAAACCATGGCCGGCTCGACGTCTTCCCGTATACTTTGTATTTAAACGGGCTTCTTTTCCCTGCCTTCGCCGTCGTTCTTTCTTCTCTTTAATCCATTCGAGCCTCGATTTCATATTCTTGGCACAGGGTCTCGCATTCTGAAGTTTCACACGGAAAGCGGTTAAAAACGGGATAGCTTGTAGTAACACACAGTAAAAAAAGAACTTTCTATACCTACCTACATCGATTTTATTTTCTTTAGAAGTAAAACGTCTCGTAATTTTTAGGGTGGTATACAGATAAAGACTGACGATGGCAACGCGCGCATAAAGTATGAGATCCAGCAATTCGTACGCCACTTATATATTAAACTTCTACAATGACTTGTGCAGAAAATCTGATTTTGAGGCTAACTGATTGTCTGCTACACTGAATATATGAAGCGATTGCTGGGATGCATAAATGCGAGCATTCATTCAGGAAGTAGCCTATATATATACAATTTTTGCGTCATTCATTTAATGTAGCTAACTGCGTAAAGGGTTCTTTTTAGTAAGTTGTGGGAAGTACTATTGCCCAAAGATCCGTTTATTGAGCCTATTACAACTCTGAGTGGAACAGCGGAAGTACCTGCCTTTGAGTAGTCCGGCGAAGTACAATGACCATAAACAAGCTCAACAAAGATCCCAGCAAGACTTTGCAGAGATCCCATAGAAAAATCAATGAATGTTTTCGATATCAATTTCCCAGAAATTTATCTCAATCAAGGTCGAAAAAGATATCACTGCATATTCAAAATAAAACTCATTTTCAAGGAACATAATCCATATAGCAATGGTGTATCCTAATTACCTTTTCGAGTTTTACGACCTGCACTTGATTGTCACCCTGCTCAGTCCCCAATGCAAGTGGAAGTTTCTGTGGACCTCCCGTAAACAGGACTAAGAATATTTTTTTTGCTTTCGAACTGTTCGGATAGTCAACTACCAAACCACCTAACAATGAAAAAATAATTTCGGTTAAGCATAGGAGTTACTAATTATTCACTTGAAACATGTGCTTTGGGATGTAAACTTTTCCGGTTCCACTAAAACGGAATTCATTCTATGTCGATAAAGAACTGGTATATATTATTATAATTTACATAGCTAGACGATAGCAGAAATGTCGTTTGCTGCATAATAACAGATTTCATATACACATTAGGTGTGTACCTCTATAACATACACATTATCCTCCTGCTGCTGTTTAACGCGCCATAAAATAATGCAATGCAAATTCCTACTAACCTGTAAAGCCAGCCTTCATCGCCTGTTGAGTAATGAGATCGACCTGGTCACCGGAGGCCGGGTAAAATTGAAACACAGCACGTGAACCCCGGGACAATGCCGCATATAAGGTAGAAAAAAACTTGGCGAGTCGCTTGATTGGCTTGTGGTAGGTTTTGTCGACATTGCACAACCACTGTAGTGCTGAGATGGAAATGGCCCCGTCAAAAGTTCCAGCTCGGAACGGGACGCCTTCGCCCATGTCACACAAAGTTAGGTCGCCTGAAACATCTCTTTCTGCGAAACATAACCAAACATTTGGCATTAGCCATTTTCAGTGATAGAAACGCGATTTTTTACTTAAAATCAGAGAAAGACTCATTTTTCTCACACGTTTTTACTGTTTATTGAACCTTCTCGTGAACATCTGCTTAAGTATCGTGCCAAAGATGCGTCCATTACGTCTGCACAAAGGATTCATATAATACACATGGGTTCGATTTGTTTATCTAACATGTGAGGCTCTTCGTATTTCGACAAATACCCATTTGTGAAAGAAGACAGTTTTACATTTAAATCATATAAAAGTCTATGTACACATAAATATTACAGCTCACCTATTGCAACATTGAGCATAGCTCTGCTGATGTCCATTCCGACCCAGAAGTGACCCCCATCACAAATTACTTCTCCGCTGAGCCCAGATCCGCAACCAATGTCAAGTAGAAACTGGGGTTCTTCTGGTAGGGCGAGAAGTTCAAGTGCACGCTCAGACATTTCTGTTTGAATTCCAATAATTCGGGAGTTTCGACTGTACTTGGCTGCTTCTTGTTCATTATAAAAGACTTCAGGCGGAGCCTGATTTTCCGGACGATGAGCCATGGCACCGGAACTTCGATAACTGTGAATTTATTATAAAGGATTTCGTAGAGTTTTTCTATAATTCAAAGTAAAATAAATATTATCAATAACATTTCACATAAAAATATAATAAACATTTTATACTAACAAGAGTTTTTCAGAAGACGATGAATATGCAACACCGAATCAATAATCACCTGAACCCACTGTCAACAGTTGCGAAATCTACTGTAAATTATCAGAATATCTATGGAAAATGGCATACATTGTTACATCACAGTAGCTGGCCTACGTATATCTTATTTACTTGCAAACCATATTAAAGTTAACAGAATCTTATGACTAGAAAGAGTTCTAGTGAAGATGAAGTGGTGTGTGAAAGTTTCGCATTGAAGCATGCGGTTTGGTTGTTTAGATCCAGATCACACCTTTGTTGACAAACAAATGTTTTCTACGGAAAACATCTATAAAAGGGGCCTTTTTTATTAATAGTATGATATATTAGGGTCCAGAACTTTAGCGTTTCTTGTTGCTTTCGTTTGCGTTTTGTTCGTACCGCTGTAAGTTATGATTTGTTTAATTAACTCAGAGCCGTGCTCTGCGGTTTTTTGCAACTTGCCATCCCAAATCTCCAGCAGCTGATTGAATCACTTGTTCAAAGGTGTTTGCAGAACAGGGATATTGTATATAGATTGTTACCTTTTCTTGTGATTTAATAGATCTATAAACAAATTGATGGCTAAGCGACAATTACCAGTTCTAAAAGTTATTTAGTAATGCTCTCAGCTGCTGATTGCGAACCTTTCTGTGGTTAGACTGATGCCGCCATCGACCATACAACTCGCTCATGGTACTTCGAGGCCTGTGCGCGTGACTATTAACCGCCAATATCCCTCCTTGAGTTTACAGTATATTTACTTAATTGGTTTATTTGAACGCTGTGAAGCAAGCAACCGAACATGCGGCTACTGGCATTTTCTATGCGAGGTTTGAAAATCTCCTTACGTTACAAGTCAGTAATAAGCGCTGATGTTGGCCGACCATTAGCCAGGGCTTTGCCGCGCACCCTACAGGAATACAATGAGTTGGCAACTACCCCTCCAGCCCGACAGGGCAAGATTGTTAAAGTCGCAGTTGTCGGTGAGCCAAACGTCGGCAAAAGTACTCTCATAAACAGCCTAGTCGGTAGGTGTCCTGTTTGAAAGTACTGTCAGGCATTTGCAGAAATGGGATCTTAAGCAACTGAAGTTTCATTTATTTGTGGATAAAAGTTAAAAGGTTTACTGAGCTTTCTTAATATCCAGCTTGATATTTTATGATTATGTCACTCACGATTCGCTTCTTCTTTCTTGCATTCCTTATGCCGTTCGAGGAGACCTTTCTTAAATCTAATTATGCTAGTAAAATTAACATATAAATTAACATAGATAGAGGGTTTTTAATCGACTGCAAAAAAACAAACACACTCTCTAAATGTCAGACCGCCAGGCTTAAACTCGTGAGGCTCATCTTTTATTAAAATAGATACCCTGGAACAAACATACCAGTCATTAACTTTATCGTATCTTTTGTAACCACGTACCAGTCATTAACTTTATCGTATCTTTTTCTTGCTAGCTATATAACGCAGCGGTTGACAATTATGACGATGAATTAAATAACAGTTTTATAATTTCATGGTGCCCATTGCTTCAAAGTAGACAATTTGTTTAATACATTGTTGCTCTTCCTGTGTAGAACGCCTATAAGAACGCGCGTATAAGAATCAACACATTCCGAAGATTATAATTTTTTTGATAATAATCTTCTGTTAATAGCAGAGTGGGTAAACATCACACTTGCGCACATTATTATGTTATTGATTTATTAGCAAATAGTAGGTTACTTTTTTAATCGAAACTTTTGTTTCAGCTAGTGATGTCTGTCCGGTGTCTAAAAAAGCACATACTACCCGCAGGGCGAACCGCGCGTCAGTAACTAAAGGTCCATTGCAGATGCTTCTCATAGATACACCCGGCGCTGTGGGGAGTTTCCATGCAAGTCGACATCACCTGCCTAATGCAATGGTTGTTGCACCTTCAAAAGCGATCGAAAGGCAGGTTTCATGACTGTGACGAGCCATTAGCTAATGACTTGTGTTAAATGTAAAGATGACTGGAAGTTTATAGTCCTAGAAACATATTTATTCATTTGGTTTTGGGCTATCTGTTTTGGCATCATTGTGACACCATCTTCCGTAATATTTTTATTCTTTTCTTAGAGTCGCGAGCAGGCTGTGCACCCAAGCTGCAAAATGAACTAATTTTTGTTTGCATGCTATCTGTTGCCTCTTTACATCGGCATGATGGATAGTGCGAAGATGGTGGAAGAAGATGAAGGATTGCAAACAAAAATGCTATCAATGTGGCTACACTAGTTATATATATAGACATATATATCTATAACGCATAATAACACGCATTGATCAAGTTACTCTTAGATAAATGCAGGCGTCATAAGCAAAAAGTTATTAGGAAACGATGCTCTACGGTAAAAAGTGAAGCTTTACTAATATATCTACGCTCATCAGTCAAATCGATGTACTTGCTGTCGTGGTTGATGCTTCCGATCACTGGCGAAGGGATTTCTTATCAATTGAAGTTGCACAAATGCTACAGAAGCATCGTAATGAGGCTCCTCATGCTTGCAGTGTCCTTATCCTCAATAAGGTGAGCATCCTCGAGCTTCAGTATTATAAAGTGCATATAAATCAAATCTTAGTTACTCTAACCGGAGGGTTTCTAATCTTATGTTGAAACAAGGTGGACCGTTTAGATTCGAAACGTAAGCTTCTGGCATCCGTCGAGTCTCTGTGCGAAGGTGTTGTTGATGGACGGCCTATTAAAACGAAGAGATCTATTCCGAAACAAACGACGACAGCCTTAAAGACTCTCATATGGCAAAAAGAGATGGACAGACAACAGGTAATGATCGATTATTAGATTATATGCAAAAGTTGTTTTTGCGAGGAACAACGTACTCTACCCAGGTACGTTTACTTACCCAATATGTGTCGATTCCCAAAGCATTAAAACAAGATGGTTGATATTACTGTTTTACACTACTTATACAGGACTCATCAGAACAGGCAAATACCATACCCTGTAAAAAACTAGAACCGCCTGATCCTGGAACTTACAAACCGGAGTTTCCTCCGCGGTATGCATCATGGCCTCATTTTTCACGTGTCTTTATGGTGTCGGCCACTCTAAATGATGGCGTTGATGAAGTAAGAGACTTTCTGAAGGAACAGTCGCGGGACGGAATATGGGAGTGCCGGCCCGAATTTATTTACAATCAAAAGCCCAAAGAGTTGGTAGAGGACATTGCTCGTGAACGACTTCTTGACAACCTTCGAGATGAGGTATGCGAGAAGTTGCAAAAATCATCAACAATTTCCTTTGGCTACTAATATATGACAAGTAAATTAGCAAGATAGTAAATGCTTTCGCATTGAGCTGCACAAGAGGCAACATCGCCTGTATTTGGCTACTAGATGATGTATTGCATTACACGTAGTTTGTTACGGCCATGACAACAAAGGTGACAAATTTATTATCATGTTGAATAGTTTAGGCCTGTCAATATGACAGATTTTTTGTGCACAAAAGCATTTATCAGCTTTCTGTTTACCTTTGATTTCAGATCCCTTATGAGGTTAAACCACGAGTAGTTTACTGGAATGTGGACGACTCCGGCTGTGCTCTTCATATCCATGTATCTATCGAATGCATTAATGAACGACAAACACGGGCTGTGCTCGGTTCCGGAGGGAAAACTGTCCGTCGAATTACAGAACAACTACGTCAGCGTCTCTGTGATGTGTTCCATTGTGAGATTGCCCTCAAAATTGGTGTTGTAAACAAAAAGGCCAAGCCCCGGCCTATCGCCGGACAATCTAGAGTCGAAACGGTGTCCAGCTAAATTCAAACATCGTAGAAGAATCCAGAATAGTATTAAGTAGAATTAGTCACGGAGAGAGGTTTATACAGCCATGGATTTATCTACGACTTACATATGCAAATAGAACATAACTTGAATGGACCTGCCAATTGGATAAAGTAAAAATGTGTCTATAAGTTACGCTGGATTTAACATAAATACAGATCGATATATGTTTCATATTGAAAATGCTTTTTAGGTAAATCTACTAAAAATCTTGAACAACAGATATAGTGAATAAAAGATCATGCACAAAATTTAAAAAAATATAAGTATAGTACATCTTACAAAGCAGATTTGTAAACCACGATGTGTTTAGGATTTAATTACTTTAGTCCTGTACTAAAATTTAAAAGCGAATCGCAGAATACGGCTACTTCATGAGCCAGAAATAAATATTAATAATATGTTACATAATAAAGCCTCCTAAATTGATGATGTTTGATGTTTTTGAGTTCCTAGAAAACAAGCCAAACCACATGCAATCTCTACTTCTTCGCTGAAGGTGAGAAAATCAGCGCCTGTTTTTCAGGGTTAATACAACATTTCTATTTACTGTAGTTAAAAGATTTTTTTTATTGTTATCATGCCTGACTTAATATAAGTATTATGAACTCTAAAGGAACACAAAATAATTTACTTTCACATAGCTCAAATCATTCGTGCTAAATCCTTTAACTCAAAAGGTCAGGCGTGTTAATACACCGATCCAGCCTTTCACAATCCGCAAATTTAAAAAAGCAGTAGGTTTTCAGAACACATGTAGCCCTCCACTTTAGCGTACCATTTTCAAGTTATCGTAGATAGGTTTTTGCATCCTTTGAAGTGGAGACAATAATTGAAATTCTTTTAAATTCACGTCTGCATTGCACATTGTTTACTGAGTTTATTGTCTAGTTCATTTTCATGTAATGACTCTAATCTATCGTTGCTTTCAAATGAGTATGTTCTAATACCTAAATAAGGAGGCGTGGAATCGTTAGCACCAATATGTCCCCGATGGCTATGATTTTACAGGCTGGGTTTTATGACTGGCTTGTCACTACAAGTCATTATAAGGCCAACGACTCGAAATGGCAGTGTTAGGCGCGATTAAGTACCACAAATGTTAATATCACAAAAAATGCGTTATTTCTATATTTTAATAGAATACGCCATTTTCTGTCCAAGTGTCTTAATAAGTTTTACCATGAACAACAGACAATATAGCGCTGCTTTAATCGGTAAAAAACCTGTAAGGCTGAGCAACCGGCGGGAAACTTTCTCAAATGTATATAGATATGTATGCGTATGTGTATCTGGGATTTTTCTATCAGTATATGTGTGCGTGTACGTGTGCGTGGGTGTGCGGCTGTGTGTGTATACACGCGCCTGCGGAACCCCTGGCACTATCTCTACTGCAAAACTTCGTTGCTACCTCGACCTAAGTAACCTAGTAAATCATAACATTAACATTATTGCATAAAATTGTTGATTCACATGGAGAGACTAACAATTTAAAAACTCTGATTTAGCTAGCCATTTTTTATGGATAGCAAAACATGTATGGGTAGTTACGTAGAAACCAAAGCTCAAAAAGAGTGGCCCTCAAAAAGAATAAATTACTTTCAGAATAAACTTAATTACTTATAGAAAATAAGTATAGGTTTAATAAAAGTCAATTATTTTAATCGATTGATTGATTTTGGTTTAGTGTGCAATTACGTTTGAGGAGCCTAATCATGATTACACTTCCTATTCGAAATCTGTCGCCACCTTGCTACGAGCCACCGGTAGTGTCCTTCACGGGGTATAAGCACTGCAGTGTGCATAATAAAGACACGATGCTTGATTGATATGATATATTTAAAAGGGAACAAATTTGTTCGAAGTAGTACTTTTAATCAAAATGCCAGGCTAAAGGTCGTGATGGAACGCGTCTTGATTGATCTCGACGAATGATACGTTTGATTTTCTGTAGAACAAGTGTTCTATAAGGAACACATTCGTGATCAGATGATTTATTGTGTCTTACTTGATTACTCTAGGCAAATGCTTAAATTTATCCAAGCGCACTTACAAACTTGCACCCGACTATACATCGATGAATTTGCATTAGCCATGAGGGTGTGGGCACGTTTCATGCTTTACATGATCTCAATCACATGCACCTTAGGTGCTCAGTGTACGTTAGATGCTCCTGTATATAGAAAGAGTAAAAGTATCTGGGATAAACATCTCTTCTTTCCTTCAAAAAGTTAAAAAAAAATTAAATGAAAAAAATATATTTGTTCTTTACATCACAAAAAAGTGTCAAAAAGATGAGATTCTTGGAATTCGATCCGATCTCTGCATTTGTGCTACTGTTCGTTATAGTGCTTTATAAGTACTACGCAAATATAGCAGTTATATTCTGCTACATGCTGCTAAAACCTCACCGACGCAACTTAGTGCTCTTCTCCTCTGTGGAGCCGAGTGGGAGCTATCCAAGCGCTTCCGATACGCTCAAGCAGTGAACCGTCATGATCTCGAATGGCGATAGTCGATACGCGTTTATGTAACCAGCTCTCAATGACGGACTGTTTTGCTTTAGCGAGGAATGGTATAGCTTATAGCGCTTATTGGGGTGGCTCAAATGACTCTCTCGTTGAGTTGTCATAATGCCACGTTTGGAGTGAAATCCCCCGCACCCTTCTCGCTAGCTCTGACCTCGTCGTTGTCTTCGTTAAAGTCGATGTGGGGGAGTGGCAAAGTCATCTAGAAGTGCTGCGGCTTGTGCGCTTGGACCACAATTACTGCTTGTAAGGAGCATCGTGTATCGTCAGCATTTGCACTTCATTCTGGGGCCCTTTCATCGTCCTCTGGCAGCCTGTGAGGTCTCGTCGACTTCAATAGCAACAGTAGTGGTGGCGGCTTTTCCAAAGACGAACACCCAGTGAGCTGTCGGCAAATTCAAAAATGTCGGCATCAGTGAACAATGTCACAGAGGTGGGGTGCACAAATGGTCGCCAACCCGCTCTCTGTTTTCTTGCGCTTCTGGGCTCTAGCTTGCTGCGACAATGTCACTCTGTGACTGACTATGGCCAGAGATAGATCAGACCGGGTCAGCCAATAGACACTCGGCAATAGACATCGCGAGGTGCTGGCCTAGTGATTCCTAAAAGCCCGATGAGTGTGGAAAGCGCAGGCACAAAGACAAACGGGGAATATTAGGCCGCAGACGTATGATCTGAACTAAAGCCTTGAGCTATCAGTTTTGCTCTGGTACATATTTCTTGCTAACTACTATAGCAGGATGCCAAAATACAGATGTTTTTTCCTGTTCATATTTTCACTGAAGGAGTTATTTACTAAGTTATTAAATCTGAGAAGCTAGGTAATACGTGAAACTTTACTTGGCGTCTTCTTGGCAGCTCAAAATGTCTTTTTGAACATAATCATTAGCACCTCTAGCTAGTTTTTTTACTCCCTAATCAAGTATAATATTTCGTCAATGAGATCCTGCATAGAATTGCATCGGTACAGCTATTGCTTCCATGGAAATCTATCTATGCATAAATAAAGCCCACGTACCAGTTTTAGCATTCTTCTAGCGTTTGCCCGTTTGTTTTCAAGCTCGAAAAGTGTAATTTTTTTTACGTATGTGTAGCTATGTGGAGCGAAAATTGAGAAGATTAGCTCCAAAAAATTCTTTGCTCGAAAATTTCAGGCCAATACCAAAATAATGTCAAACGTGCAACAAATGATCATCGAAGTCCTCGAGTTATCGTGGACAGCATGCAACGATTACCTTACTCCCTAACAGTTTTTAAATAAAGCTTGTTAAAGAGTTAATTATATCTGATGACCCGCAAAAAATATCCCATGATTTTTACTTGACAACTATAACCAAAAAATAGCGACGCAGAAAAGGTTTAATATAGATTCGCGTGATTGCTGCATATACTTGAGACGCGTCGAATTTATGTGACGGGCCTATATGTGCGAGGTAGAGATGAATATTTTTTGTCCCCATGCCAGATAGGAGAGTTGTAATTACAGCCGTCGTTCTGAACCGTGCGTCAAAAATAGGGCATCCAGCAAACTATCTAACAGGTGTATTATAGAGTTGCCATTCATCGGACATTGATTTTAGTTATAACGTCGTTCGGTGCTGAAATAATTGCAGTATTTGTCGTGCTAAATGTACAAGGTACGATGTCGAATGTACCGCTTGGCGCTGCACTTTTTTGTTCTTTGTCATCAGTAGTTCCAAAATCATTTGATGCCAAAATTCATACAATAGATGCGCCGTCTGATGTGTGTAAAATGCTCACGTCCTGTTTCCTGATACAGTACGTTAACTCGCCTAACGCTCCATGCAAAAAATGGACCTTGTCCTCGAACGATTACGTTCGGAAGATGAGCTGCACGTCCTTGCATCAGCAGGCTATGGCTGTGACATTTCGCTTATGGATATTCAGAAAGCAAGTAGCTGGAACGTTTTTCCTAGTAGAACGTTTAGTTTATCTAAAAATTATTAGGAAAAATTGACGTACTGTAACTGGTCACGTCGCAGTGAAGGAAAAAAATAGCCCATCGTCTCTACTAACGACCAACTGTTGGGAGAGTTGTTCTACGGCAAGCCAAATAATTACCATAAATTAAATAATATATATTTTAAGAAATTGCTAGTTGTAGGCGTAGCATTGTACAACTAAGCATGGAGCATCTGCTCATTGAGCCTTGGCCAAGTGCCCAGACGCTTAATTCTGAACTAGGAAAAGGTATATCTTCAACACTGGGGAATCATGAGTTCGTTGTCATGTTGCATTGACCAACGTGGCGATACATTGCCGTCTAATCGTTGAGTAAATCGGCGAAAGTGCATAATGCGATTAACCAAAAAGTCACAGTCATGGATAATAGCCATAAGCGAACGACGCTAAATAAAGTCTGCTAGCGATCACACTTGTGTATGCCCTTTCCTCTGGCGACTGGCTGAAGTATGCGTTCAAACTAGACGCGGCTCAAACCCTGCGTGCCATTATTGCCTAATCACTTCTGTAGCTCCAACATCGAAGATTTGTCGGGACGACCTCCGTTTTCAGTAGTCAGCACCGAGTCTGTATCGGCTGTACCGTATATATCGTTAAACCTAGAAATATGTCGGTATACCTAAATGGTAGCGTCCTAGTGAGATCGGTGAGTTTCTCTATCATAGAAGGGCTCTTGCAACCGTCTCTCCGTGGATACGGCCGGAACGAATGTTCCAAAAACGACACCGCGCACTATTAAGAATGAGCAGCAGGGAGCGCTTGATTCGTCGCCAGCGAAGCAAAGGTTCATATTGTGCATGTTGTCGTAGTTCTGCTAGGGCTGCTTTGCCTTCGCTTAGCAACTCTCCGTGCAGCTCACATACACTAGGCGACAGATTTTGCGATTCGTCGTGCTACAGCCAGAAGGCCGCATCGCAGCAGCGACATCCGTCCATGTTATCATCACCAGAATGGCAGGGAGACATACACTATATGACGACGACATGAGCCACGTTCGTACTGTAGCCCTAGCCGGCCTACAGACAGAACCTGGACTGCCATGCCGCTTAGACGACGTAGCTGTTCTGTTCGACAGTACATATCCTGCATAAGCACTGATCTCTAAAATCTAGTCTTTCTCGTCCATATGAAAAGGCAATAGAAAACAAGCAGGTTCGGACGATGTAGAACACTTCAGCCGGTTCACACTAAGTGACATAAAAAGGGGCTGCGACATTTAGCTCTGCACGAACAGTTACAAGCCGCAATGACCCCTCAGCGTCAGCGCTTCGGCGGATGGCGTCAGCAGCCGTTGTAAATGGACCGTCAGCCGCAGCACAAGAAAAAGAAGCAACAAAAGGTGATCTAGGCTGTTCGAGGCTAGAATCATCAGTAAGGGCAAAGCATTAAAGCTTTTGTACTATCGCCCCTGTGTGTACGTATGTCTGTCGCCCTCTACGTATGTGTATAATAGGCATGGTGCCGATCGGTCGAGATCTACAATGTTGGCATAACAGCGCTTTTAATCCAATCAACCCCAGTGTTACGGAGCGTTTAATTCTTCCCGTGTTGCCTAAAGTGCCATTGCGCACGAGAGCTGCGGCTGCACCACCAGCTCGATGGCGGCGAACAGAATTCACGAGCAGCCGGTAAACGCTGAAGGGCACGCGTATTAGCACCGCCGCGTTAGTTCAACTTAAAGAACTCTATATGGCGACACATTAGGAAGACCGACTTGCTTCAATTTTCGAAATCACCGCAAAATCGTTGTTTTTGGTCTCGGTTGACTGTAGCAGATATCTATGGCAAATGCAATTGATACACTCGTTGTGACGATCCTAAAAGATGCTACTATGCCTATTAATGACGCCTATATACGATAAGTAGGAACAGAATGCTCCAGCAATTACTCCACCGAGCAGTGGAAGGGGACGCAGTAAACCTGTGCGGCTTTATGAAACCAAGAATCATCCGAAATGAAGAACGATTACGTTGAAATGTGCCAATGTGTTCATTGATGTCTATGTCAAGTAGTTAGTTTTTAGCTAGTCCTGTGTACAGGACATAATGAAGCTCGGGCGACTTGACATTCGAACTAATCTATTAAATCGAGCAATAAGGACGTTATAGAAAAATGCGTCAGTTATAAGCTAGTCTGTTATGAAGAGTTTACTCCTCCTAAAGCAAAACGGCACTAATCAGGGCCGAGCCAGCAGTACACGCGCATTGTACGCGTGCCTCAAACTAAAGAAAGTTGCAGCCATTTTTTCCGTGGCGGGCAGCGGTGCTGCAATGGTACGAAACCGAATACGAGCACTTCAGATGAAACGCGTATTCATCGTTGCCTTGCTGTTGCACGGTTTCTTATTCGACAAACGGTAGACCGTTTCTACAGCAGGTTTGCACCCGGGTAACTTCTCATGCTCCTAAAAACAGTACTGCTATCCGAATTAATACATGACGTACAGCCGCGCTGTGACGCAGTCGGGATTTGAAGCCCGCTTGTGCCGACATTATTGGCACGGAAAACAACGTTTGGATAAACTTCATTCGCCAGAAGTTCCGAACAGTCTAAGCATTTCTATGCGTCGAAGGGAAAGGCAGACAACTGTGATTAAATCGAGAGATTCCCGAATCCTCGAAAAAGTATACACACATTTCTGATAATCCTGGAGTCCCAATGCAAAGACGGTGGACCAAGAAGTCCTACCAACTAACGGGGTAGTTCTGCTACGTCCTAAAAACTCTACGTTCGAGCTTGCTCGACTCTTCATGTGTTTAGATTTTAGGAGATTTGACTCGTTAACAGTTTAAGCTCGAGTTTAAATGTATAATGTACGAAATAATGTGCCAACAAGTCTTCACGTACTAATGGAGACACATTTAACGACTGCTATTTTTGGTGACACAAATTGCTATCAAACTGGCTAATTAATTAGACTTGTCCGACTAATGTACACGCTATACTAACAAATGCATTGTGGTAAAGATTGTCTTTAATTTCTTCATGAATCACTGTTTAATTTACGTACGTAGTAAGATAAACAATGTATATATATTATATACATATAATTTAGAATGAATATAAATCTGTGTATCACACGTGCTCGCTATATCTCAACTGCGTCTTCTTTATGGTGAACGTAACACGATAGGTTGATAGTTACCAGCACTACATAGCGCTCATTATTATAGCGATCCCGTCTAATTATATTCACTATGAAACGCATGTATGAATTATTTATTTCGCCTCGAATTTTACAGGGTATACGTGTTATGACCTGTTTGCTTTAATGATAAATTGAGGTGGCCATTCATCGGTCGCCATCGTTAGGCGCTTGCTAAGAAAGAGTTTGCAAAACACAGATAATTTGCTGGTCGTATGCCATTACGTATTTACTATATTATTGTAGTTTATTATTATATACTATAGGTATGCCATCCGGTAGCGATAGGTGTGGGCCACTATTTGATAATCTTCTAAATATCTCGCGCATGATCCTCCAGATTACACACAGGATAGTGTCATAAGGATGTAAAAATATATACAGAATGTGACCATAGCAGGACGTCCCGAGAAAAGTAAAAAGCGATCTATGTAGGTATAGGAAGCTTTCAATTTTCAAGATTTCTGAACGTTTTATTAGGTTAGTAGACTAATAGTGTAGCAGTGATTTAGGGGATTAGAAAGCATTTCGAGTCCACCTCTACTTCCGATACATTTTTACCAGTTAAAACGGCTATCTAATTTATATACACTGTATACGTATGCAAGAAGTGTAATCATAATTTAATAACATATATTCCTGTGTCATATATATATATACTTAACGAAAAAGCAGTACAGCTTTTTTTGAGTCGAGAAATATTTGATTGAAACATGAGTGATTTTGCTCAAGGTTACAATTGTTTTCACTGAAAGCAGCAATAACAGTCAACAGGACTCTTTACACTTAAAGAGTTATTTATATTTTTCCTCAATAGATTTTCAGAAATCAGGCTACCAGGTTAGATTGTTCAAAGCTAAAGAATTGCTAGGCTTCAAGAAATTAAATAAACGAAGGTTTATGGATTTAATCATTCTATTGTATTACATTTAATCAAAAAAGCCAACAACAATGAGCGCTAAAAACAACTACTATTCGAAAGACCTTTCGCGGGGCTCCTCTTTTGGTAGCTGGCTTGACCGACTATCCGCAAATGCAATTTCCCCAGCACTGCTTGGATAAACGTCGGAGTTTCTACCTTCTGACTGGGCAATGGGTAACGTGGTTACCTGCGAAATTTTAGAATATATGGTGGTCTAGGTTTAAATCTGGTCGCAGCTGATTCTCGTTTCATACAGAGATCCAGTCGTTTGAAGCTAGGTAAAACTCTCTAACAGAGTATCGGATGTGAAGCATTGAAAATATTTTTTATATATACTTTTTAGAGGGGCCTTCAAGGAAAACAGACAAGTGGCAAGGAAATTCCCCAGATAGTTCACAAACCAGCTTGAAGCGGCGCAGGCGATAATGCCACTTAGCTGGGTGTACTAATTGGCTTGCAGACTACTTGTTAAGGAGGAAGGGTAAAGGTGGAAAAGCTCAATTACCATACTCTTACTTATTGAAGTTGCCCGGCATACCGCTATCTCCCTCGTTATAGCAGCAGTTACCGCCATCATCTGAACAAGGCCGGCGCGGTACTCACAGCGCCGTCTGGTGGTCACGGCGCCTTTTACTTGTTTGTGTACGTGTCCTTGTATATATGTATAGGGTTTGTCGCGCGCCGCGGACTCCCGGCAGTGTGAGTGCTCCTCTTTGCTCCTGTATTCAATAGCCTGACGGAAGGTAAAGGCAATCAGTTAGCCAGCGATTCAGCCAGTTATTGGAAGTACCAGCGTTGGGCTGCTACTCCTCGAATCAGCTGGGAGTCGTCTTTTAGCTATCAATTCGGCGACCGAGGAATTCGAGATCCGCAAACGTAAGTGCCAGTCCGACTGATATTTACAGCTTAAGTGGAGCTGAAATCAAATATTCGTAACGCCCTGGTCTGCGGTCTATATAGCTGTTCGCAGTTCTGTCAACTCCAACAATCATGTGACTAACTGTGCTCCGTGCTGAGTGTCGCCGCTAAAAGCTGTCTTATCTCATTGTTCTCGACATGTGCGGATTGAAGGCATTAACAAATACATAGAGATGGCTGTCTCATCGTCTTGTCTTTGTAACGACAACCGATAATCTAAAAGACTCAGGCTAAGCGGCCGAATCGCCAAAACTTCTCTTTTTGTTGTTGAGTTTGTTGATGATGATCTCTGCGCGCGTCACCAAGCGACGTTCCAATAAAAAGAACAATTATTTCTGGCCGCACCCGAAGGAACTACTCGCTAACAAGTCCGCTACTGTTCAAGTGCTCTACAGCGAGAACGATGATAAACAGTTCTACCTTCGACACAATGGCGCGTTTTTTTTGTGTCTCTGCTTACGTTTGTACGACCATACGTGCGATCACTTATGCACATCACATTGCGATCATCTATGTAGCGGTTCTCCACGCGGAACCGGCGCAGGGTTGTTGTCGTACGACTGCCAACAGGTTGCGACATCAGACAGTTATTAATCGCATATTCAAGAGCAAAGAGTCCTCCTCGGTTGAATTGAAACGTCCGACGAGTGGCGGAAAATGTTCGCTCTGTGGCAGACGACGTCAGTGATGGATATGATGCTCAATATGGTAGTTTCCAGTTCAACAGTCGTAACCAGTCAGGAAACATTATATATATATATATATATATATTCCCTGATGAATATCTATCTAAACGGTTACAAATAACGGATTTGATGTACTTAGATAAGACAATATTAGAACATGAGCTATGAGATTGCCAGAAATTTGTTCTAGGGTTTGTATATTACTATTGTATGAGTCACATTTACATTTGGAGCAACTCATTGGCGATGTTTTATATATTATTTCTATGAATTGAATATATATCAGCTATATATGTCGTAGTTGTTACTGGCTTGCTAAAAACATAAACGATCCGCGTCCTGTTTATTAACGATCAAGCTAATAGATATGATCTTGGTAACGGCGATAGAGTAACCACCATTTATGGTCCACGCGCGGATTCCCAGTTTTTGGCCAACAACTCACTTCGGAAACGCTATACAGAGATTTTTCTTCCAATTTGGTGCCTACGGAAAAGCAGGACTTTCAAAACATTGTTTTATTGTGGGACAGATACGTCCAGATATAGATGCTATCTATGAACGTCTTATAGAGAGAGATTTGCTCTGTATCGTATCTGAAGTCCACACCAACGCATTGAAATTATATTATGCATATTCTTGCTAGCTTACTTAATTGACACGCGCGTGTTTATGTTTTACACTGCCGTATCCAACGAGATGACCAGTGTCATTTTTCTTTGTTATAGAACTCTTTTACTTCTTTCTTACTGAGGATAAGCGGAAATAAATCAATTCAATTATACTTGTCAATCAATGTTACAGTGACCTACTGACTGAAATTTCCATAGTTTTGGCATTAAGTAGCTAGGCTTGATTTAGCGGCAGCGCCAGAGTCAAAGTTCTGTTTCCATCCAGTACTGAGTGACATTCCATAATGCAAATCAATGGTCTACATAAATGCTATATTGATTAAAAAGAAAAAGCAAAAAGCCAACGTCGTAATGTCGGCGTTTGTTTTAACCGAGATAATAGGACGATGCATATTAGAAACTGTGCGGTCGCGTAGAACTAAACGAGCGCGTGCGAACGCTGACATTGTCTCCATCCTAGAAGAGAGGTCAGCTAACAATCGCTCCGTAGAGCTAACAAACAATAGCTATATTAAACCACTACTCCATGTAATTCGAAAATTGTTTCCACCGATGTGGACGCCTGAATTCCAGAGGAGTAATGATACGTTCGGTTTATATGTCAATCCCTGGCGCGAAATTTAAATGTGAACCGATGACGATTACAGGTTGTGTTCTCGTAAGAGTCAACACCGTTTGTGCAGTAGGTATAAACGCAGTCATTAATTTTAGTATACACAATAATACGATACCATAATTTGGAGCTTTCAGTATGTGTAGGTGGACTTTTTCAAACAGGAGATGCCAACTTTATATGTAACAGCATACAACTTTGAGCTTTGTAGAATTTTGATTATTTCATCCCTATAGGTGATCTGTATAGTACTGAGTGGAAGCCGTATCATGTTGTCCACGTTTTCTCGACTGGGTTCACGGTCGCTTCGTAGCAACGGGAGCGCTCGCCTTCTTACCTCGCTTGCGGAACCTTCAGGCCCGCAATTGATAACTTCAACAGTGCCAGGACCCAAAAGTACTGCCTTAAAAAATGAACTGCAAAACATCCAGAACGCAGATGCGGTTCAGCTGTTTGTTGACTATGAAAAATCCATTGGGAACTACCTGGTCGACGCAGATGGTAAGTAAATGCTTTTTGTTTTTTCTATTCGATATACTTGATACGATGTTTTTTTGTACTACGTACGGAATTGATAGGTACTGAGGCAATTCGACTTGCCTTTCATAGTTTCGATTTCTTATTTTGCAAAAAAAAGCGTGGGCAATAGACAGTCTTCTCTGTGTCAGGTAGGTAGTCTTTAGTTCGCAGTACGTAGCCATCCATATAAGGAAGTTTGGTCTGTACTTGTTCAACTGTTGCATATCGTTTAACGTATAAAGGCAGGTAGGCAAAGGAGCCAGACCAAAAAGGGCAAGAGAGTTTTGAGTTTTAGGTTCAGCTAACGATTCTGAGGTTCCTCGAAAGTACCCTTGATTTATTTCGAGGAAAAGTAACTTCACAAATGGTTAAGCATGTTTAGATGTTAATAATACTTTTCAGCCACTAGTAAGTTTCTTATGGGCTAACGATGTGATTGGTAATCAACTCTGATACTGTGTGTATTTAGGTAACACATTTCTTGACGTATATACGCAAATTTCATCTCTGCCCCTTGGCTATAACCATCCGGTTTTGATTGCGGCCGTCAAGGATCCGAAAAATGTAGCCACGTTCGTCAATCGACCAGCGCTAGGTATTCTCCCACCTGAAAACCATGTACACCGACTTCGATCTGCGCTGCTTTCGATTGCACCTGATGGACTCTCAGAGGTTAGCATGCTGTAGAAAATATTTCCTGTTGCTGTTATATTTAGCGGGATTAACTAAATAGCGTAATTTCTAAAGAGCGAGGTACATGCTTGTAACAACTGTAATGCCGTTTAGACCCTATGATTAATGTGGACCAGTTTTCAGGTCCAGACAATGGCCTGCGGATCGTGTTCGAACGAGAACGCATTCAAAGCCGTTTTCATTAGCTACATGGCCAGGAAACGAGGCGGCAAGCCGCCCACACAAGAAGAGCTTATAAGCTCTAAGTACAACAAAGCACCGGGTAAGTCTAGTAGAACACTACTGATTTATAGGTCGTAAAATTCGATAGGCGAAGTCACCTTTTTGAAGCTATAAGATTGTTTGACAAAGTAGTAGAATTCCTTTTTGTCAATGATGGATTTGTGCATTTGCGGGCGTACACAAATTGTCATAGCACTAGCCTACGTGTGGCGTAGTGCTGTTGTAGTCTTGAAAGGAAGTTAATGCCGTCAGTATGAAGTATTAAATGGGGTGGCTTTTATTGTTACAGGTGCTCCAAAGCTCTCAATTCTATCCTTCGATGGGTCATTCCATGGCCGTACGTTTGGCTGTCTTTCGACGACACATTCGAAACCCGTTCATAAACTTGACATTCCTGCCTTTGACTGGCCCATCGCGCACTATCCTAAGTAAGCTCGTATTTAGGACAAAATATATCTAGAAGTCTAAAAGAGGTTTGCGGGTTGTCGTTATAACGTACAAAAGCAGCTCATCCAGTGTGAACACGTCTTACAAATTTTGTTTCTTCGCGACGAGCGTAGATCTGGTTAGTCATCGATAAATATTAATGTAACAATAATCTATTAATAGTAAGTATATGTCATTGATAAGACAAAAAGCTCTACTAATCACGTTGACGAAATCTAAAAAATCTGAAAATCTAAAAAAAAATATAAATCGTTGGCGCTTTATTTTTATTTGCTAGATACAAATATCCTCTGGAGCAGTACGCAAAGGAAAACGCTGCTGAGGACGCAAAGTCGCTAGCTCATGTCGAGGAATTGATTGGCCAGTGGGAGAAGAAAGGGTGTCCAGTTGCTGGACTGATTATAGAACCAATTCAGGGTGAAGGCGGAGACAATCGCGCATCTGATGAATATTACAGAAAGCTCAGGGATCTTAGTACCAAGAAAGGTTCGTACCCAAGTGCTCCAAATACGTAGTAGTAGTACAGAACAATAACGAGGTTGGTCGACCTAAAACCTCTGTAAATATTTCAACTATCCATTTGATGTCAAATACAAATGAGTGGAACTGTAACTTTATAAAAGATTACTGTATGGAAATAATATCATTATCAATAAACTCAAGTCCTCTTCCTTTCGTTCATCCATGGCTTAACGTTCAATGGCTTAACTTGTCTGATATCGTGCGCAGATAGCAGGGCAAATAAGCATAGATACGTAAGCTATAACAATTATTAAGCATCAGCCTTGGACACTGCTATAATAGCAGCAATAGTACTTGAAGTTAATTGGACATACTGCAAACTAGGTTTGGAAAGCATTTCTTAATATCATTATTTTTTCGGGAATTAAGCCTGCTTTCAAGTTCTGGTCAAGTTCATGACTTCGATTGGCTAGATGTCTTACTCGCGCGTATTCGCAGTTTTATGCGTTCTTGCTGAACATGTACAAATTTTACTTTCATGCCTTTCTTCCATCGCTTCTGTTTTAGTAACCCGGTCGTATATTATATTATATTATTTATATCCGCAAGAGGCCGTGTTGAAGGTAACAAGCAGTCGTGGGCTAAATGCGATTTTTTCTACAAAGTTAACAAGCATTGCGCTATATAAAACGCAGCCCAACTTATCTAAGTGTTGAAACTCAATACAATCTTGATTGGATTAACACTTTTAGGTGTTTCATTCATCTGTGATGAGGTGCAAACAGGTTGTGGCCCAACAGGTAAATTTTGGGCTCACGAATACTGGGGACTGAGGAATCCACCCGACATCGTTTGCTTCTCAAAGAAGATGCTCAGCGGAGGTTACTTCCACAAGCATGAGTTCCGCCCCAAGGAAGCCTACAGGATTTTCAATACTTGGGTAAGCTTTATGAACGAGGCAGCCTGTTTTTTAGTGGTAGCCTTTAAATATCAACATAAAGATTGAAACTCAGTACGCTTTACGGGTTCACAATATCTGTTAGATGGCATACCTATAACTGAAGGACAGTCCAAGTCACATCTAGATTTTTGTTATGTATCATCAAAGAAGCCATTGCATTAAATTTCACATGCTTCACTTTCTTTTTTTAAAATTTTTCTAGGTAGGTGATCCAACGAAGCTTCTTCTACTTGATGAGGTGATCAAAATTATAAAGCAGGAGTCATTACTGGAGAACATACGCAAAACCGGCGACTTCATGATTCAGAACATGGCTGACCTTAGCAAGAAATACCCTGTCCTTCATAATGTTCGAGGTAGAGGTATGTTTATTAAACTATTATTTTCAGATAATTTTTTTTTCATATTCCTGCTTGTAGAGATACGAATTTGTCGTTCTAGTGCGCCTAAGTATCCACCTGCCGTTAGCCTATTTGCTGCTAATAGACTTACTGATATCACACATAGACTTCTTTCAGTAGAGCGTTCGCGTTTTTCTTGTGCATGTTTTCATGCGACATTGTTACTACGCCAAACAGCTCGTTAAAGTCGGATAACTTGATTTCAGGTACGTTCGGGGCAGCCGATATGCCCACGCCCGAGGCCCGTGATAAACTTGTGAAAGAATTGCACCTGAAAGGCGTCCACTGCGGAGGATCCGGTAATCAGTCTTTACGACTGCGTACTGCCTTAATATTTGAACAGAAACATGCGGAGCTTTTCCTCGACCGACTGGAACAAGCTTTGAAAAAATTCTAATTCATAGGGACGAGCGCACTGGCCACGTCTACTGACAAAATCGTTTCCTTCAATTTAGCGCCAACCTACCCAGTGAAGCCAGGAGTCAGGCTAAGTTAAGAGTTTCGATGTTAGTTCTTCGTACAGCGTCAGACATTGCAAGCTCACATTTGAGAGGCATTTTCGTGTTGTTAAAAGCCATTCCAAAATATTATTTATAAAATTATTTCTAACCACTGTACATGATGGTGAATGATCTCATCATCTCGAGCTATGCTGGCAGAAACAACGATAGCATATTTGTTGTATACGTTATATATAGTAAAAAATAAAGGTATTAGTTCAAATAAGCCTAAATATTATGTTATAATGATGTTTAATGCTTGAGTGTTGCCCTAAAGTTCACGTCAGCCGCACGGGTCGCTACGCATGGTTGTGTTCGCGTGGTTCATTGTTCAGGGAGTTCGCAGCACCACGGATTCCATTCTAGCAATCGACTGCAAGCTGCAAATCCTCAGTAAAAGAAGAGTGTACAAAAGCGTGCATCAGGCCATCTGTGATGTAGATATACGCGTGTATTCATAGTATGCAAAATCATTACGTCTGTTAAGCATACATACACAGTATGCATTTTAGACAACGCTAACCATCCATATTTTTCTTATAATTATTTAGAGAATAGACTGGGAACGTAACCAATCACGGTTTAACATAGGGCCTCGTTGACGCCCAGAAAATCGAGTGGAAGGTGAGTTACCATGGGCTCCATAGTCATCATAAGCGCACATTATGAACTGCTGCTACTAGCGCAAGACGGCTGATTCGGACTTCCATTGTCAACAAATGTCGAACCATCGAAAAAGGTCGATTAAAACTAGTACACGGAAAACGTTGAAGATACATCTGCACTACAATTTGCCCCACGATTGATTGTCGGCTGACAGATAAGATAGACGGGCGGAAGTAGTACGGAGAATACGCGAGCTGTTTATGTGAGTGCGCAACAAACGGAAGCAATAGAGAATAGAGGGCTGTTGAACGACAAGTTAGCTGGCAAAGGTGGAAGAAAGGGTAGAAGTTTGCTTTTCGAAATCCTGCGCGTTGCAGGGTAGCGGACCAGACGGGCGAAGATCACTTTTCGACGGCTTGTTGGTACCAATCATCACCACTCCCCGGATGCGGAACGAACTCGGAACCAATTCAAATTCGATTTGCAAACAGACACTCCTCATCGACGATCGTAGATGCGAATGTCTACCACCACCATCGAAATGGGTTAAGGGCAGGTCACAGCGATCGAGACAGGCGAAAAGGCTGAAAGGCGATTGAATTGAAACAGATACGGACTGCCAAAACCGCAGCCGGTGATGTTGCTGCTGATGAGAATGGGGCTTTCGTATGAAAAATACGAACGTATATGAAACGGTATCAGTTGAAACCGTATGCAACGGAAATGAACGATAACCAACAGAGTTGATATTAGCCCTTTGAGTTACAGAAAGAGATAGATCTCGCTACAGGCTCTTATGTTTTGGGATGATATAGATCGTCATATCTTCAGCCTACTTTATTGAGTTTAAGCGCCTTAGCAATAGCGCAACTAATCAAGATGATCCACAAATACAAATAAGACTTGTAGCCAAGCTTACATCTTCCTTGTTTCTGAAAACGTCATTCATATAGGCTCATTTGCCCTAACTATTACTGCTATGAAGATCTTCCTTTCTGAAACATAACGCAATCGTCTTAAATGCAGGTGACATAATTTCCAGAAAATGGAGAAAGGATAGTAGAGTGCAAAAGGAAATATATTTTAGCTATTATAATGAATTCTCATAGACCAAGGCGAACTATAGACTTCAAGTTAATGACGCGAAGATGCATACATAAAACAGAGGTTCAAAGAGATATGTCGATGCCAATTCTTGGTCGCCCACCACTCTAAGCACTGCTGAATTTTCAAGTGTTATGTTGGCTTTCTTAAATCAATTCCGTCTATCTATAAGAAAACACATCTATAAAAAACTGCTGTTTCCTCAAAAATACAAAGATTAAAATATTCTTTCCTATACGAAACGCAGGATCGCCAAAAAAATCGAAGTATATGAACTGTTTGTATAAATTGTTAACAAACAGGCATATATGGCAACGATGAGGGCTCGAACGTTGAAGGATTGTGCGATTATTTTTGCGTCGTTTATGGCAGATAGAACGACCTGAAACACCGCCAGCTGCGTGGATTGTGTTATCCATTGGTGAAACTTCATCGACGCAAGGTACTTTTATTAACTGGCTTCTAAGTGTATTAAAGGGTAACATGTTGCCACGTTTCTATTGTTTTTGAGGCCCCTCTACGCCGAAATCAAGTCTCTAAACCAATGGCATAGCCCTGATTTCATTAATGGAATGAAGGACGAAAAAGAAATTACTTCCTTGGGATAAAAAGATCAACGTAATTGAATATGCATCAGAGAATCGAATATAGAAGGATTAACACAAATATCCTAAATGTGTGTCTGTATAACATATTGGCTCAATGATAGGGTTCTACGCTCTGCATTCAGTTCCGAAGCTGTAACTAGCTTGAAGTTGTTTAACAGTCTAATACAAGAAGGCGATTCTCATATTCTCCTCCTTTCGGCTACAAGCTCTTCGTTCCCATTTGCACTATCGACGCATTAACCTAGCGCCCTTCCCGCGCTCGGAACCAATGAATTGGCCATGATGGGTTGGGTTTCGAGATTTGCAGTAGACCGTCAACAATCACAAATGCGTCACATATCCACGTCACCAGCTAAATCTTCATCTTCGAGCGTTCGAGTCCTATGATGTTTCTATGCTTACTACACATGCAATAGAAAATATACAGATGACATGCCTTCGTGGTTTGGGGTTACCAGGATTCCCCGAAGTAATAACCAGGCAAAATCTTAGCCCAAATCGACAGAAGAAATTCTGTAGTACTTTGCTGGAATTGGTTGAATCTAGTTAACCCTACAACTCCGCTAGTGATTGCTATCGGGCGGAAAAAGTCACTACACTTACAGGCACTCCTAAGGGCGCGATTAACTGTATGGCCAACGAACGAGACGCTCCTTTTCGTAACGTTCTATAAGAATCCGAAAATCATATGCTACCTTAACGTGATAGCTCCCGAGCAGGCTGCTATTAATGAAACGGCATAAATAGCGTCGTATCTATCAAAGTTCCTTCGAACAGGAATACCAAACCATTTTTCGTTGACTTTCTCACCAGACCATGTACAGATACAGCATTACGTAATAATTACATCTGCCGAGACATAGATCAAGTTATAGTTGCCTGAGGTTGCTAGCCAATTTACAAAGAAAAATGACCGCACAACGCATATATTAATCAGTACAAATAAACAGGCTCCTAATTTCCTTTATCTTATCGGCTACGTTAATATGTATGTGGATGCTCTTTTTTTTTTTGCTAAAGTTAATTGCATATCGATAGGACTGAGTCGTTACGAGATCAAATGAGAAATGAGCGTCAGGCTTGAAGTGGATTCAGTTTTACATTAAATCAGACGCTTAAACGTACCGTATATATCTATATATTCTAAGTCGGTGTAGCTTTTGTGTGCTGCCGAATTAATTGCGAGGACAAATAACACAGCCGAAGTTTTAATGCCAATGGAAAATTACGAAAGTACGAAAAAGTAGGGAAGTTTTACGTCGAATTTTCATAACTCGATGTTTTTCTATTACAAAAGTTGTATAAACTTTACTCATTAGCTGCTTAGTTTTGCTGTGCATATGTATTCCCGTATCAAAGAGATACAATGTACCCACAGTTAGAAGATGCTACTACTATCGCCGCCTCTTTCCAGCTTTTTTAGCTCTCGCTCTTAGCTTCATAATAACTTTCATGTTGACGCAATGGAAAATGGCCGAACGCCTCGGGCCAAGATAACACACTTTCGTGTTTTCGTGAGAGTGGGTATGGCCGTGTGTCGGTGTGCGTGTGAGTTGTCTATTTCCTGTTACCGTTTAGCAGTCTTCTCTCTCTCTCTCTCTCTCTCTCGTTGGTGGTATATGAAAGGAACTCAAAATTGCCCAATATGCCTCACTTCAAGCAACAGGACATTTTAGCATCGCAGGATCCATTCAGTAACCATCGAAGAGTTCTTTCCTTTTCGTTTCATTCAGCAAGTCTCGCCTGAACGCTTGGTTAGATCTGACAGGGTTGCGAGGTCTGAAGGCTCGTGACCTCTTTTTTGTTTCACATGTACCATTTGACGTCTACACCTCGGAAGGGGTTGCTGGAAATTGTCAATGTGTTATTTTGTGGGTTAGCGTCATCATCGCTTGATTGATGAGCCAGGGGTCAAAGATTCAAACGAACACTAAAGGATGACATAACAGTTGGTTTGTTACGTGCTGACAGAGCAGCTAGACAGGATCTAGAAGCCATTTAAATAGATCTTGCATATTTAATAAGCGATGCAATACCAAAAAGAAACACGACATACTAAAGTAGTGTACTCCGATATCACCTACAGAATGGAAATTAATGGAAATCTAATGTTAATCGCTATCTAGCTTTTCACTTGAACACAGATGCCTTTCACGGAACCGTATGAAGTGGTTATTCTTTTTTTAAGCTCCTTTCAAGTCGACATACGCAAAGCACCACTGCCATTCTAAAAGACACAGAAATTTTCAACGAGACCTCAATTTGTCCTTCATAATTTCTTGACAATAATTAACCATGACGAGTTTCATGGAATTTAACAACGAATTATTTATGCAAGGGTGGTATGATAGTGAAGACGAGATGACGATCAAAGCACTATTTATTATAAAGCGTTACGTTATTGAATGTATAGGATGGAAACGGAACGTTATATAGTTTAAGAGAATTGTAAATTTTCCCGAAAAAGTAACTGTTTTACAATTATATGGGATCTGCTTTTTTTTTTTTGTTTTTTTTTTTTAACAAATGAATTCGAACACTGAAGCGGATTGTAGGTGTGTTGCTACGTTCCGATAGCTTTAGTTAAGCGCTAGCAAATTATCCTTAAAAAGAACTTGCCTCTTCGAAATAAATAGGGAATTTTAGTTAACGGTATTGGTCCTTGAATCATATACACTTAAATACGAGACAGAGTACGATTGGCTCATCACACTCATAATGGTAATACCGTATTTACCCGTGTACGATTTTCAATACATATGCCGCTAAATTCTGTATGTATAGGTTTATATGGTTTTTGGATTGAAGCTATTTTTAGGTGATTTATCCGGTCTTTGTTGCGAGTTTCATTGTTCCGCGAACATTAAACGGTGTCTATTATTTAATCACTGATTGATATATCTATCGAAGTTTAGGTAATAGTCGAATCTTAGTGTTATGGCATCCTCTCTTCTCCAAAAAAATCTCCTTCTTCAAAAAAATTCTGTATGCTGACTATTATGGTCGTGTGAAAAGTACACGAACTTGTTCAATATATCAGTCTGCTTGTATCTTACAGTTGTGATGCTACGACTACTACAAGTTACCTTCTACTTAAAAAGAAATGGCAATCATCTTCAAATCGTCAGGAAATTTGTAGTGATATGCTGAAGTATAGCAATAACTCTAACAAAATCGAACGTGACGAGTAACTTGCTCGACTTCAGCAACGATCACCTCCATCCACCATAACAATCAGAGCAGACAAAAATAATTGATGCTCCGTTATATATAAAAGGTTGTGCCACTGAAGTTTTTGCGAAGGTCTTTTGTCGTTCATTAGTGATGTATATGTTCCCGCCACTGTAATATATATCTTTCATCTTTTACATGCTAGATTCGTCTATTAAAAACACCTATAGGGACTACTCTTTGGATAGGTGTACCTATAAACGTGTGCGCTTGAACTGGTGAATCGTATGCTTCTTCTAGTATATTTTTACGTAAATTAAACACCTCGGACATCGGTTTGAGTGACACAGCTTTTCAGTGATCTGGCATGACCATCAGTAATATCTGACTAGTTTACTCAGGTACTCAGGTAAGCGGTTCCAGCTTAAACAGTTGTCGAAATAATACGTCGAAAATTGTTCATTTTCAATGCGACCGAACGGATTGGCAAATGTCTTGCCTGATGCATCCCATTTAGATGGCATGTAGGCTCATACGATAGAGGGAAAATCGATGTCTGTCCTATTTTACATCTCGGAAACTGAAATGGAAGATTTGAATGTTCAACGGTCATTGAGTAAGCTTGCTCTAATTAACCAAATGCCAACTGTGTTTTCACACGATACTCTAAGATGTCACAGAAGCAAACTAACGGTATGGTCTCAGTTCATTCACATACTGTTTCCCATCTTCTTTATTTTTTATATTCGATTCTAGTCGAAGCTGTAAAATGCAAAAAAACAACAGATTTGTCGTTTTCCACAAAAAAAAAAAAAAAGAAAAGCGTTTTTATACGCTCAGAACGAGCAGCTAGGAGCAAGTAGGTCCAAGTACGCTCGATATTGCGCATTGAGCTGCGCATAAATATATTCCGTACATTGGCAAGAGCGTCAATGTACTCCTTTGGAGAAGGGAGCGCATTTTCATGTAATACGCGTAATTGCGAGCTATAAGAAATATCATATAGAAACCTAAGCATCTTTGACAATGAAACATCTTATGAGTAAATCCTTATTTGCAGTTGAGTAAGGTTCAGCACCTTGCATTTTACTGTTTATCTATTCGTACTTACACGTATTATTTGTTGTTGTTTGAAACGTGTGCACTCCTGCGCTGGACCGTCCATTTTATCTGCTTTAGCTGGGTTCGTTTTCTGTACTATTAAATTACCTGATTAGAAAGCTAGCCGACATCCGATATTGCCATTTTCACTACCTCTCCTCTGAGAAAGAAGCACTTGCAGCAATGATCAGTGTCTGGTAGCGTTTGCCTGTGGACTTCAAATGAATTCACAGGCCATGCCCAAGGTGGCCCCGAGCAGCTGACGATCATAAACTGCAGGACCTAACACTTAGGAATTTGATCCCATCGTCTCAGGGAGTCTCTACAGACTGGGGCTGAAACCGTCTTGAGTTACCCTAATGAACTAGACAACAAGATCTTGAAAGTGACAACTATTGCATTGGGCCCAAATTATTGCATAAACATTATCGACCACCGCTCGAAACTTAAGCATGCGTACTATTTCTAGCAAGACAAACAAAAGAAATACGTAACTTCCGCAAACGATTAGTTCCGTAAATGAAAAAAGAGATTATTTGTGATTAACAACATATTCTCTGACTGCTTCAATACTGGAGCAGCGCTTTTGACCACCCAGTGAGGCACCACTGGGTTCTTTCTGTACTACTACGTCAGACTTCGTGCGGTAATACGCCAGTAAGCCTGATGACTCTGTCCCTATTTCACAGGAAATCGGACAAATTTTTAGTGGCAACCCCCCAATGTAACCTTCGACTATTCTATCTGATCCACTGGCACATAAATATTAATTGTAATGTTTGCAGTTACTTTGTGTCACACGGTACCTTTTACCTGTGTCCTTTACGAAAGAAAACTCCATGGCTCCCTTAAAGCATTGGACCTAGTGGATCGTATAATTGAGCTATCGGACTCTAAAATCTAAGCTCGGACTTTCATGCATACTGTAACGCACATAATGTTTAGGGTAAATAATAATGCCATCAATCATGATGGAAGCTGCTTTTTTGGGTTAGATTCGCAGATCGTTATTCTGTTATTATTTTGTATTAGAACAGCATAAATGTGGTACACACAACAATTTTATATATTCTGTTGAGTTCGGTTGATATCAGCAATGTTAGCTTCAAATTTCCTAGAGACTAGAACGAAGACAGTATGTGCGATTATCTCTGTAAGCATGAAGTACTGAAGTGCAGGCCCGACTATCTAGTAAGGTACTCAAAATTTTGGTATCGAAATGACAACACACCCACATTGCAATCCAGAGATAACTGAAATGGATAAATAAATTTGCATCTCTAGTTTCAGATGTTTTCTTCTATAACAACTTTAACGAAAGCCTTATTACTGTCCTATTTGTTAAAAAAAAAAAAAAAAAAGACATAAAAGTCACCAAGAAAAAAGATCGCTGCGATGTCGAAAAATTGTAGTCCTTCGAACGATTATGTCACGAAGTCCTAAAGTGTGATTATGCAAAGAAATAATATTATATAACAGTGATTGATATATATATATAGTAGGACCAATAACCAAGTTGTATAAAAGTAAAAAAAAACTATTCGGTAACGCAGTGTTATATCCTTTACTCAATAAAAAGTTTTTGCGTAATAATAATTAATACTTACCATCCAGTAACTTGTATACGCTTGCCTTAAGGTAGCAGTGGTACGGTTGTACATTGACTGATACGTAGGCGCCATTGCTTTATTCTGGTCCTACAAGCTGCCAACAAACGTAACTACAAATCGGTTGGAACAGAAAAACAGGCAAAATTAAGGCGGACATTATTGTTGAATAAGATGCATTTGTACATCGCTTTTCGTTGATCGGTACGGGGACATATTGCAGTTAGGAAAACAAGTTAAATATTAAAATTAAATAATTACAGCTTTGTTTGTCATATCGCCAGCTGGATCTCGTTTGAAGTTCCTTAAACGTGACGACGACGGCAATTCAGAACATGTGAGTATTCTTTAGATTTACTTGGGAAGGTGGATTTTAAGCGGCCGTAACCACTGTGAGAATATGAAGCTGCGACGGATAGATGCTATTATACACCTATAGCTATTGCTATGGTGTCGCCGTTGCCCCTACATACGTACGCCTTGTCATAGACGGTACGAGAATACGCGATAGCTATACGAGTCATGCTTGCTGGATCACAGTCACAAACAACTGCAAACGATTTTTCATTGTTTTGTTACCCGTATTCACCACCACGTTCGCTGCCACCACTTCTACCATTGTCGCTGTCATCGTAGGGTGTGTGTTTGTGGATGATGATGATGACGCCTCCAGCTTCTTTGACGTGCTTGTTTGCGCGCGCCGGTTGTATATTTGTCTTTTTTCAACATTTGCGTCCAAAGACAACACGAATCGTCGCGAATGATATTGATGATGACGCCTTGTTCAGCCACTCCCGAAGATTCTGCTGCTACCGCCGCACACTCTTCTTCAGGATTGAATCAATAGCACAATGACGACCACTACTATGATCAAAATTTGACGCGGCAGCAACGCGTTGTTTTTAGATCTCTTTAGTAGCCGTGTCGTGGCCGTCAGCGTGTGTGTATGCTTTTACGCTGTATATTTGGATAAACTTTTCGAGCTGGACATCGTCAACTTCGTAGTGTTCAACGACCGGTAATATTTGCCGCTTGTTATGTTTCTGCTCTCATCTCGCCGCAGCAGCGGTCCCGCCTGCAATCGTCACCTCCCTGCATCTGCTGCTGCTGTTGTTGTTATTGTTGTCGGTGTAGCGAGGAAACTATCGGCGATGGCGGCTCATCGATGGGATCGATGATCCAGACCAGCGTAAGAACGATGAGTGTAAAGCGACAGTGTAGACCTGGGCAGAAGACACACGGAATAGCAACGGTCAGCCCTGACGACAAAGGTACTAACCCCACGTTGTACGATCTTTTAGCGCGTTGATTTGCTGCAGCAAGACCGACCAGCCGAGCATGCTGCGGCGACCGACTAGCTTGAGCTGGCTGCAACCCCACAGACGGGCGAGTCGGACCACCGCCGCCCCAGTCGCCTCCGAGCTAACTCGACTTCGCAGCGAGCTAGCAGCGGTTCGCTCCGCAAACGAAGCGGAGCGAATTATTCGTGAGAACTCGTGGGCTCCTCCCTCGAGGCGGAGCCAAGAGCGTGCAGGCGGGATCTTCGATTTTCCTGTACCAGCTGCCCGTGGCTGCAAATCTTCAGTGTAGCGTTGGACTTGTCAGAGTCCGCACAAGTTCCACTGCAACGAGCGGCGACAACGCGCCGCATCAGCCGAGTGAGTTGTGCGTGAACGGCTTGCACAAGGTGCATTCCGTGCACAAAGCTATTCCAAAACAGCAACCGACGCTGCAACGGAAGCCCGCTTGCAGGCGATGACTGCCGAAGAAAGTAGCACGGCTGCCACTAGCGGCGTACGACCAATGGCTTTTGGAGGATACCCCTTCCAAGGTGCGTGATTACGTGTAGTGTTTCTTTGTTGTGTGTAAACTACGTACAGGTATACATATATACTTAACACTGGACACTGGTGATTGTTCTTTCTTGTAAAGGCTATGCATTGTGAGCGAAATCAAGTAGTCCTTCTGGGTCTTCGAAGAGCTGTATTTTTTGATAAAGGAAATTCGAACTTGAGAACAGTAAAGGTAAAATAGGTTACAAGATGAGAACTTTTTGACTGTTTGATAGCTGACTCGATTCCATCTCCGTGTCTGCCGATACACATGGTGAAACTTTGTTCCTAGTTTCTTGTCCTACCACCGTATAGGCACTTCTCTTTCCGACAAGCTTGTTGATTATGGGAAGCGCATCGAATCGTCTTGGGTCGGACTGCTTATTTCCAACGGTGACTCACCCATTGGGGCTGACTATTGAGTCCCAACCCCAATTTTCCTCAACTGCAACCCCAAACCAGGTCAACAACGACCACACGACTTTGTACATATTATCCTCACAACTCCATCTATCCTGTATCTTTGCGACAGCCGTCAAGTTCCTCTGAACTTTACCGTTTCGTAACAGATTGTTTCTTACCACTCGTATGCTATGAAATAATGATTTCAACGTAAGGAAATTCGGACGTAAGATACCTACTGCAGCCCTACTTCGAACATTCAAGACATAGGTTTCTTTTTGATATATATTCTGCCCTCAGCGCAATGAATCCTTACTCATTTTGACATTGTCTACTGTCATTTATAATACCTAATTCGTAAGGACGCATTACCGAGTCATCCTCTCAGATCTGCTTGTCGCTATTTCTTCCAGTGTGTTTTGCTTCGGAGTTACCCTTGCTATAATTGTGCTTTTTATAAATAACGTAACCTAAACGTGCTAGAGTCTTATAAATTATATAAACACGGTGCTCGCCGAGCCAAGCTTCCGGCAAACAAATTGATACGCAGTTCTCTGTATTTGAATCTAGTATAGCTGATCGGAAAGAGACGTTGTATATTGTACTGCCGTACGAAAATGTCACCGCGGAAAAAACTATACGCATATGAAAAGTAAACACTAAATAAACACCAGTGACTGAAACAATGTTTCTAACTGTCGTTGATTCTAAAGTAATAGCGGCCTACTCGTTAGCTAACTGACCTTTTGTCAATCATAATTTTAATTATGGCATTTACAAAATCTAAGTCACCCTAACAAAGCATATTCTTTAGCAGACTACTGCTTTTGATGAAATCGGTGATAGCTTTCCAGTCTTGAAGAATCGAAAAGTACAATAGAAATTGTTGGTTTTTGTTTGCTTCATGAAAAGCGAGGTCTACAGTGGATTTCGGGTTCAAAAATACTCTCAAAAAGAGAAGCACAGAGTTATGCACGCCTAAACGACTAATACGAATACAAATTGAAAATTATCACCGATTCGATGTGGGTGGCCCCAAGGGCGCACCCTAATTTAGTTTATGTTAGGCAGTTGTTAACATGATTTACGACATTGAAAGTACAGGTAAAATCAGGTTAAGGGCGCGTATCTGAGATCTACGAAACACCATTCAGCCTTTGATCTATTTGTGTATGATTTGAAAAATGACTAAAATATTGTAACTATTACTATACACGGTGTTTACGTTTGGTCTGCCGACTGATTTCGACTCACGCTTCAATGGATGTGGGAGAAGTGAATTGGTGTAGTTCTGGGAAGGGCAAAGCTACAGTAGACCTTCTGCACGACAAACGGCTCACTTCGATTAGAGGTACTGAGAGGCGCTCCAACGGATGCTGAGACGTTCGACCGCTGATATTCAAACAAACATAAGGCTGTTAGTGATCGCAAGAGATGTGTGAGAGCTGATAACTCGACGTTGAGGTGCCAGCGCTCCTAGAAGGAAGCAGATGCGCCGGAAGGAAATAGAACATGGTGGGGGTGCCGATCCGACCGATTTACACTGATATGGGTACGACGAGAACTTCCAGATTCAACGAAATGACGGCATAGTTGAACGTAGCGAAGCCTATCCTCAAAATTCCTTCCGTGCTTCTTAACGATTTCCAAATGCTCTTTTGGTACCTTCGTCCGTGCTGCTAATGTAGCGAAGTTACTCCGGAGTAAGGTTTATTCGAGCCGTTTGCACGAACTACCGGAAGTCGACAAACATTGAGGAATCTGATTCGCCATATTAAGAGATACTAATACACTGCCCCAGCGTAATTATGTTGTTGTTATTTATAGTCACAAATTGTCTAACTGCATCCATACATTCAACCAACCCTGTATTGGTTCAACTTACAGGTCAAGGACGTATGAACCAGTTGGGCGGTGTGTTTATTAATGGACGGCCTTTGCCAAACCACATCAGGTTAAAAATCGTAGAGATGGCGGCTACTGGAATTCGACCCTGTCAAATATCGCGTCAGTTACGAGTGTCCCACGGTTGCGTGTCGAAAATCCTCAACCGATACCAGGAGACAGGCAGTATCCGACCAGGGGTCATCGGCGGATCAAAGCCGCGCGTTGCGACACCTACGGTTGAAATGAAAATTGAGGAGTACAAGAAGGAGAGCCCCACAATTTACTCATGGGAAATTAGGGACCGTTTAATAAAAGATGGTATTTGCGATAAAGCTGGTGCGCCTTCGGTAAGCTCGATTTCACGTATACTTCGTGGAAGTCGGGCCTCCAGTCCTGGAGACACTGAGGACATTAGTAACTCTGGTAAAGTAGCTCATTCACACTCGAGTTGGGATAGCGAATTTTGTCGCCAGAAAGCTGATCACTCAATCCATGGAATCCTTGGTGGTAAGTTGTAACTTCGTTTGATTAATATCTAGCTTAAGACTAACAATTGAAATGAGTAGTGTTGAAATAATTGAGTATATTGCCGTTAATTGAATTTATCAACCCAACAGTGACTGTATTTACAAGCGAACTTTGATTATTCGTACAACTTGGCGGCCATTTATAATATTATGGCGCTCGTTATATAGGCGTACACAGCTTGTTGGCAGGCTTTGCGCGTCTCAGACACCTGGACAAGCTAGCGCGAAGCGGGGCGAGGCGGGTGGGGGGCACAAGCCAACCGATGAATGAATGAGGTGGGGAGTTAGTCGGAGCGGGGTCGTCACAAGATCAGACCAGATCAGTAGGGATAGGGCAGATGTGCGGAGCAATGAATTAGATACGCTACACATAATGGGACAGCACACCAACCATTCGCATAAAATACACAGATAGCTAACCTTGCTTGGCTTTAAGACGCTTGTACGAATACACGGACCTTACTTAGGGAAGCTGTGGGGTGCGCGGGGTGGATTTGTCTTCCCGCGACCCCTGGAAAGGCTGGGAGGATCAAGGAGGGAGTCGGTTGAACTATTCTATAGATTGTCTTTCTCTCAAATATCTCCACCCGGCTCCCCAAACTCGTTGTTCTAGCTTTTTAGCAATTATAAGATCAGACCAGGTAACACTCATTATAGTTGGCCCCAGTCTATATTCGGTATAGGCATTTCTATGTTGCAGTTACACACCCCGATCATAGTGACACAAGACTGGCTTGAGGCTGATACTAATATCTGCTTCTATTTAAGCAAAAAGAACGTAATAGAGTTGGGCTGTTGAAATCCTTGGAGCAGAAACCGAAGACGGTCTCACAGACACGCGACTTTATGGGGAGAAAGCTTCGAACAGATCCAAAATTGTTAGAGTATACCACGGAGACTACTTCAAAACCTTGTTGAATGAATTGTCAACCAGCGCATTACTTTGTATGTTAGGTTCAACAGCAAAAATGGCATTAGTCTGCATTGAGCTTTTTGCGTCTTTTACCGAAGTATGCTTTCGTTTTAGGTGAATGCCACAAGAGTTAGGTTAGGTGAATTAGGTCGGTTACAGTGCAAGAAACTTAGTTGCATAATAGAGCTAAAAACACGCACAAAAATATATGGCATGAAGCGTAGCTCACGTATTACAAGATCTCTATCACATAAGTTAACATTGGAACGATTGGATAGATTGCTACTTCTCATTAGGTGTCTAAGTGAGACCCGAGCTGCAAACTGATTTTGTACGACACAATATATATAGAGGTTGCACCACCCACGAGGACTCTTATGCTTGCAGACGGCGGCGACACCTCGATTCGACCGATAACGCTATCACACCTTGCAGTGAAAAGACGCCCCTCGTTTTGTTGCATTGTGCTCCCCCACTGTAGCCATTCAAACAGTCTTTTTTCTTTCATCTTTGCCGCCGACTCGGCCTCCGCCGAAATGAAGGCTGATGGCGGACCCGTTTGAAGCTATTGACTTCACCTTCACAACATGACATCGATATGAGATCATCGTATTGTGTTGCTCATTTGCACCACTGGCAAAGTAGGAATGCCGCAGGGTTCAAGATGGATGACCGGCAGGCTTAAAGTAGCTCAGCCTCGCTTGTCGGCATTCCCAGCTGACGCGGAACTTGAACGCGACATTTTGATATTATCCCGACACTGCATTGGGTGATTAAAGAACGTCAGCACGGTTTCCATTCATATAAACTAAGCATGTATTTATTGCATTGACCCATACAAGCACTCCAAAACGCTTTCATGTTTTGTAAGCCTGTAAGCCGGTCTTCTCAACACAAAAGTGCGTACTATTACACCGTCGTAGGCCCTAATTTCTATGCAAAGCTTTACTTCCTCCTAGTACTGTACAACGCAAACACATTGAGACACCGAATTGGGCTCAGAGGGTGCGTGTTGCGTTGAATCTGGGAAGGTTCGGAAGGACTAGAAACAAATGACCCTATTACAAACAGGGCGCACGAGCCTCACACGTTTCGCGCTTGTTCTTCTGCTTCCGCTATCTTCTTTTTGTTGCAAGATAAATTTTGCACCGTCTAAATGAAAGTTAGAGAGTCAGTTGAAAAGCTCTAGAACTTACAAATGAACAACTTCCACTGCAAAGGCAATTTTTTAACATCGTCAAACTCGCTCCTAGCTTATTGTATGACACTTCTAGCATGGGTAATTATTTCTTGAAAGCTTCTCTCATTTCCTCAATGGAGCCTCGGAGCAGAGTAATCTCGACACGATGTGAGCCTTATTTGAATATACGGTTTATTGAGACCTTTTGCGCTAGACTAAAATAAATACCAAGATAAAACCTTGAAGAAATTGTCCTCATCAGAATCCGCATTTCCTTTAAAAACCATTTTTCAATTTATTCGTAACTGTATGCTATACAATATGTGACCATTACATCATCAATTAGAGGTTAAATAATAGTTAACCAAATGTTTCGAACGCGAAAATGCGGTCCACAGAGACCCATTTAGACTTTGTCTGTCGCTGCAACAACGACGACGTCCCGCTGTGTTTGATCTGAAGACGGAAAGTGAAGTCCGGGCATCTCGAGTAGATCAGAACCGGTAAAAAGTCAGCCGGGAGATCCCGCCGCAGAGTAAAAAAGCAAAAAACGCTTACCGTTTGCGAGCATATATCGACATTCAAAAGGAATCGGATAGATACAACGTTGCTTAGTTTTCTGTCCTTTGAATATTTGTTATACCGAAGAGCAAGATATAGTACATTCTTTCGATGTTCTATCGACGACCTCTGTATTTGCATGATTTACATTATTATGTTCACATTTATTTATGATTGAGTTTTGTGTAGAGAATAGTCGGCCTTTGAGCTAAGTGGCAGCCTCAGCCACGATCGTTGGTGAGCCACCGCGCTGCGGGGCCCACGCCGGTGTCAATCCTTTACCGCCGCAAACAGCGCTGCCGGCACTGCCCTGTACGTGGACGTAACAACAGGCAAAATCGTTGGAGGCAGAAGCTAGAATACAGAAAGGTAGCTCTCTAACATGCCGATAAATAGAATAAATATGCACTAGTCCGCTGCGGTCGGTACCTGAAACATAAAGTAGTGAATTTATAATCATCTTCACTGTTTGGTGACGTCCCTTTTGGACCATCGGCCAGACCGGACATCTGGCTGCTGTCGTTGTTGTTGTTGTTTCAGACTGTCGGGCTGAAGCTGCTGACGGCTTCAAGGTGATGATACCTTGCTGGTCACATGAATCAGCGGACGGACGTCGAACGCATTAAACTTATAAACGAACTTGTTTCGTTCTATGGACTTCTTCGTGACACTGATGGCGAAAACGCAACGCAGTTGAAATCTCGAGTTTGCCATTCTTCCAATGCTCACGTTATCTGCGATTCGTGCATCGATCGCAAGCTACAACAGGATGATACCTTAGCGATTTGTCGCTTTACGATCGAGAGGGAGGCAGGCTGATGCCTTAAATACAGGCGTGAGCTTGTGAGAGTATTCCTAGGTCCCATTTCTGCGGTGTCGTCTCTGGTACTGACGTTAGTAGTCATGCGCATCTCGATCACGGTGCCCTTCCTCTAACGACGAGTGCAGCGTTATTTACCCTCTTACCATTATTATTATTATTACTACGCTGCTGTTCATAGCAGACTCTTTTGTAACCCCACATTTGCAGCAGTCATTACACGACGGAATGTGTAGTAAATCCACATGACAGCTGTGTATCACACAGGCGCCGTACGACAAATTCACAAGACCAACAAAGCGGCGCAACCAGCTTGAGGCGTAATGTCGCTACCGCACATTTACTATGGCTGTCCTTCATCAGGACCACTGCTGCCGTAAACGAGCAAATCCGCTATGATGACTTGACATATTATTGTTGTTGGCTAGTAAATGCCTCCCTCGCATTGTCACGTATGCTTTCCTTTCCTTAGGCGCTAATCTTAAGGAACGTCGTGAACGCTTACTTTAAGCTGGTTCCCTCTAGCGCATCGCACCGACCGACAGTCAGCAGCCTGCCGCAATTTCGCTTCACGACGAAGCGAGGAGGCCTTAGGTTAAACTGGGTGGATAACAGGCAGTTCGGCCTGGTTGGTACCATTGGCTCGATAATTCTCCGCAGGTTATGTGTGTGTCACATACGGAATAAGCCGAAAGCGACTGCTTTGTACCGTTGCGGCGTTTAGTTCTCCCGCTTTGTTATGTTCGGCCCCGGTCTCTCATCGTCCATTGCGACTATGAGCGGCCGACTCTCTTCAGTTGACTAACTGAAAAGTTATACAATCAATGGAAGCCACTCGACGGATGCTGAGTCTAGATTTCTACACTGGCTACTACAAGATATGTGCAATAAATAGATCAGATCACGCCGCTAAAGACTCAAATTTATAACAATAATAGAAATTTGTACGAAAGCTTAGCTTGCATAGGCTTGTTAGATCTAATTGGGAATTTGTCAGGAAAAGTAGGCCTTACATATGTTCAACTGGCCGATCACAGTCCACCGGGGGGCGACGGGATTCTTCAAGAAAAAAACTTGTAGCAGTGAGCAAGCATCTGGCTTTCAGTCTACCCCGATCATCGTATTCCTAAGTGATCGGTATCTCCAAGACACCATCGACAAGATTTATAACAGCCAGTACACATGAACAAGTAAAATATAACTAACTATATGTGCATGCTGACCACTGATCAACGTATCCAGTACTGGGTGGATGCAATCGAACAAAACCGTATGGGTTGCTTTTTACGAGAGCATAGAAAATAACTTGTTAACTAGCTGATTTTTCACATACTTTTCAGGACATTTGTCAATGGATAATGATGAAGAGGAGTCAGACTGTGATTCAGAGCCCGGAATTTTGCTCAAAAGAAAGATTCGTAGGTCGCGTACAACGTTCTCGGCTGAACAGCTCGAAGAATTGGAGCGCGCCTTCGAGAGAACGCAGTATCCCGATGTTTACACACGTGAAGAGCTGGCGCAAAAGACCAAACTGACCGAAGCTCGAGTGCAGGTGTGGTTTTCAAATCGACGAGCTCGCTGGCGAAAGCACATGGGTAACCAGCCCATGACCGCGACATTTGGTTCAAGTTTAATTGCTGCTGCCGCGGCTGCGGGCTATCCACCGCCACAACACCACCCTCAGCCATCGCAGCTTTCGCACTTAACGCAGCAGACGACCTCCACTCAAATAGCAGGAAACGACAGCCATCCGATGATGTCCTCTGAAGCGTCATCAGCTAGCCCGACAGTGATGGCCACGAGCGGCTCCTGCTCTAGTGATTCGTGGAGGTCGCCAATGGGCAGCCAGACGAGCATATTTCCCTCACAGAACGGCTACTCACCAGCTACCATGGCAAGCATAAGTGTGGGTTATCACCAAGAGCAGAAGGATAACTTGTATTCATTTTTAAATCAACCACAAAATACAGGTCAGTCATTTAATCAAGACTACGTCGGCTTACCCGCTCTAGACAACCTAACGACAAACTTATGGACCCAGAATAAGCAAGAGCAGTTTCAAGGAGGTTTGCAGACGTTCTCTGGAACCGAGCAGGGCTTCAATAGTTATGGAGTCCCAAATGATCAACTCTTTACGCCTGGACATAGTTTTGGAACGTCCGAGCAGAAGATGTTTGCAGCATATCATCATAGCCATCCCCAGTTCCCAGCAGCGCACTCTCAAGTACCGGGAACAAGTCATAACTTACTAATTCACCATTTTAATACAACAAATAAGTTCCTCTGAAGGATGCATTATAAGAAAGTTGACTTGTCTGAGCTCTGTCTTTTCTCAGTGAAGCCAAAAAAGTATCCGAGAAGCAAATATGTGACGCCCATAGCCTGAGTTGAAAATAGCGTAAATGATTAAAAACTAATAGGAAACAATACCCAATATTAGTTAGTGCGATTTTGTGCCCTAGTATCACGTGCAGACGTGGTAGTTAAAAAGTAGTAATAACGGCTGAATTTTTCCAGCATGCTATAGACTATTTTTGACCGCCTGTTACCGTGCAAAAAGCACAACTTAGTGAGACCTTGTTTATCTACATTTGCACAACGGCGGTCGAAACTTAAGTCATGGCGGGAATCGCAAAAGTTCGCCTAGCAGAAAGCAACTCCTTTGTATTATAGATATAATTTAATGGAAACGATGACGCCGTATGATACTCAAACAATAAAGTGTATATACAAGATTATAAGTATTACAAATGTGTGTTTTGTCTGTTCGAAATGGCGCTCTCCAGTCAATTATTCAGTCCTCACTTTAACATTTCTAGTCGGTGCGAGAGCGCGTAAATCGGTCGCCTAATGTCATAATAAAGCATGAACGAATTTACCTCTACACAAGTGGATTTGGTTGATATTAGATAAAGACGTATCCGTCACATCACTGATTTCCCCCGATCCTTTTGGTAATATGGCTTGAAATGCTTTTGAGCTATGACGATCATACGTTTGCTGTTACGAAAATCTGGTGCGTTATAACTGATGACCTAAACTGTTCTTCTAATAATTTTCGTCATTCGACGATGAAGTCTCTCGTGGCCTAGGCGTCAGACAAGGTCTCAAGTGGAACACACAAGACAATAATTCAGCCTAGTCTAAGTTATTCGGACTAAAGCCGAAGGTTCTTTCAAGTTTTCTATATTTGCAAGCGGAACGCACGTGAGTCTATCTTCAGTGTTCTTTTTCGCCCGATGGGCGCCCCTATCCGTTAAAGCAAAAGGTAATTGACTTTCCTTTTGATCTCGTTGTTCCTTAGAGCCAATCATTATAATCAGTTATCCATTGCCGTAATGGAATAAACGCAACATGCCTAAATTCAAACGTAGAAATTCTTATAACTCCGATCAAACACGACAGAAAGACACTGCTGGAATTTTATTGGTATCAATCGGTCGGCAAAGGTCTATAGGCAAAGGTGGATAGTAGCTTGTGCGTAAATGGCAACACTACAGTTGTTAGCGGTGTGCACCATCTTAGCCCGCCATCAAATAAATCACACAGGTAGCGTGGTTTTTGCCGACTATGCCGAATTATGCTGGCTCCGATAACGAATTGGTTGCCATAGCGAGATGCTGCTGCCGCTGCTGTTAAAGCGATGCCTGAGGAGCATTTCGGTCGTACGTACACACGCCATTTTCGCACGTACCACTTCGTCCTTCACGGGAGCACGGCGCACCGTCATCTACAGCTACTCGGACCTGCGAAATGTTTTGAACCCTACAAGCTTTAAATTTATGGTTATTGCAAGTTACAACTCAATTGCTTCAACTATCACAACAAAGTGAACTTCTCTTCTCAAGGAGACCGGCACAACGAATATTTTTTCAGCGAATAAGATAAACTAGTAGTTACTAATATGCAGTGAAGATACCGACTGGATAGCTGCCGAAAAAGGTAAAAGCGTTGTGCTCCAATATGATACGCCCGACTTAACCACTCTAAAAAAGTTGTTTGCCTTACATGAAAGGTCACAGTGGAATTGTGATCCACCCAGCTATGCTGTTGTCAAGCTTAGCAAACTAGAAGAAGAAGAAGAAGAAAACAAAATACAAATCTGCAGATGTGCCATTTACACAGGTGTTCAACATGCTTTTAGTACTTGTAATTTGACATTAATTAATGAACGACATTAATCTCGATATCTTATTAATCTGCGAAAAACATTTTCTTAAACAAGCTAATATGTCAAAAGCACTATGATAAAATTTCGTTGGACCCGAACGTATCTGTAGCACACTTGATTCCAGATCGTCGATACCCTGATTATAAATGCGCAATACGGATGACGTTGCTTGTGGTGCTTGACATATTACGTTGCCAGTGGTTTTTCGCGCTACATAACTTCCCTGCGCGATAGAATATCAACTCAGGATCGCGAAAGTAATGATAGTGATAACTTGAACGGGTCTTAGAAGACTGAGTTTACCCTCACCAATGCAATACCGATCTAGCAAAACCATATCATGCTACCTTGTGGATGCTTAATGGTCCTTGGAAAATTCTCGCTGGTTATTGCTATTTGATAGCACATAAAATATTGATTTGATTTATTACAGCAATCGCGAACGAGAAAAGGCACACACTTTATACCTTCGAATAGCTTCAACTCCGCGATAATACATGCCCGCTTACGGCTCTCACTAACCACTTTCGATATCGTATTGCCGAAATTCAGAAGTGTTTGATGTGTGGTGGGCTGCATCTTTGAGTTCAGGTATTAATCCTGTATGCAATTTGAAAGAAACACTAACACCCTAGTGATCAATACCTGATCGGGTCTCCATTGTTCTCCGCAAAGTACACCATGACAGGCCAGTTCGGGATGCGCTCGAGATTGTACCGTTAGCTGACCGTATGCAAGGAGCCAAAATTCAAACAAGGTCATACTTCTTGCCTGCAACAAGCATTGAGCTCTGCTTTATCCATTGTACGTAGTTTAAGAACGATATTAGCCTGAAGAGGAAAGCAAACACGCACCCTGTATTTGAAATAAAGTTTCACTCCAGAGCCACGTTACATCATTCTCACCGTCTCTAAACATAAGCAGCAGAATAGACGAAAAGCAAAGAAAGAGAAAACTACTAGATCGTAGAATTTGGTTTCTGTAAACGAAAATTGTCCTTTCTTTTTCGTTTATTGTGTGGCTCTGTGTATGAGCATGTGGATGTACACGTACACGTAAGTTGCCTTGTGAGGCTTTCACGGGCCTAAAAACGTAGCGTCGTACGCTTAAGGGGTAGGCTTAATTATTTTTCACGGATGGTTAGACACCGTCCTACCGAATTTAGAAAACCACTAGGTGATTAGGATGCCTTATTTGTTTTCTGAAGGAGCAGTAGTTCATCTATCGCATATCTCGTTGACTGGAAAGAATGTATTTTTTACGCGGCGCGCCTATCACATCTGTCGCTGAAACGTTGGCGGGCCCATTTCAACAAACGCAGTATACCACTGTTTCGTGCAAAAACAGCGTTGAGCCTTCATCTCTGTTGGCTTAGGTAGAAACTAGCATGACAATCTGTGTGGTACGTGGAAACACTTTCAGCAAACAGTATATTCTATTTTCCTTCCTAGACAATATTATTTAACGTATCCGTGTAATGAACACTCAAGTCCTCGTACATGCGATCTGAAATTTAGCATCTCTACTGACCATTGAAGCAAGGTCTGGGTCCATATCAGGAAGGCGCGACATTTGGTAGTTGAAATTCTCTTGAAGCCGTTCAAGCAAAAGTGGTCCGAAGCTTTTAAAGACTCTGGCCAGTTTTTCGCCACAACGTTCGACCACCAATGACGTCCACTTCTCCAACTCGGTTGAGTTGTATCCAACACCTTGCGGCATGGCCTGACGCGTAGAAATAACTGCAATGTTTGTATTATGGCAGTTTTGTCTAAATGTTACAACTGGTTTTTTTGTCGAAAATTAGAGACCTCTATGCTTTCTCAAAAGCCGGTACGAGTACAAAGAGAACAGTGAAAGCCAGCTACTAATCGTATACATTATTCATTAAACGCAGGGTTGGCTACCGGTTAAACCAGGGTCAGAGCTAGAAGATAAAAAGACGCCAGGAGAGTAAACGGTTCTAGTTTACGAGGTGCAAATATTTAGTTATTGCTCTTTTCTCTGTTTCTCTTTATCTCGCTCCAATTAATACTTGATTTGATGACTGCCAACAAATCCTAAAGTCATACCAACTTCGAATTGCTTCGGAATGCTAAATTAAACTTATTCCAATTTCACAACTGGTTAAAACTTTGAGCAAAACTAGGTTCTCTTAAATTTGCTATTTTGTGTCATGTTGATATCATGAATGTTTGGCCATTAAATTGTTAGAAAAGAGCTACTGAAACGGCACTCGCCGAAAGGCTGGCAGTTGACTATAAGCGGTCGAACTGCTTGTCATTTATAAAAACATCGAAAAAATATGACAACCTAGGCAGACTCTTATCAACCATTCTGAATTACGAAGGACCTTTTGTGCGTGACGATACTCATAAAGGTTCTTCAAATAATAAAGGACTTCTTAATGGAAACGAGATTACTGCCAACAAAGAAAAAACCGGCCTTTTGGCGTTCCGCCTTAACGTGTCAGGGAAAGCAAATATCTGCGCTACTCTAAGTATGCGGTAGCTCAAGGCCAGTTTCAATCAGTTTTTTCTTTTAATAAAGCTATTGTAATCGTACTTTTTGTCAAGTCAAATATTGGTTTATTGAGAAATACCCGATTACGTGTTCCCCTCTATGCAGACGACACCTCAGTATGAAAACTCGGTCGATATTTTTTCATCTGAGCTCGACCGGGCTGAAATGCATTTCTATCGATCAGCATCTTCAAATCAGTACTTCTAGGCTTCTTTTATCCTTCACTCACTTATGTGGTGCAGAGTACGTTACTTATAGTACTCTAAATATTTTTAAGCAGGCGTAAATGCTGCTCTTTTTCAGGTGGAAAAGGAGGGACAGATAAAAAAAGAACCTAATAGTGATGCTTGCATTTTTTCAACGTAAACTGGAGATTGCTGGCGCAACAGGGCCAATCGCATGGCACAAACGCATGTTTGTACAATTAGATGGCTTGATTCTTATTGATTTGCCACCCTATATCCTTCCGTTCGCCTCCAGAACGGTAAGCGGTCTTGGTAGCGGGTCATTTGTGTTTGATTATGTAATCTTGATACTTCATGAAATGATATTGTGGTTTGCCTTTCTAAAGGAATCTGTGTCAATCTTTACGAAGTATAATTTAACATACTTCGTTTCCATATGTATCCTAGCTATATATTCTATAATTGAATAATTAAAATAGTTCTTTTCTTTTTTGGTTTTAGGGTTTTGTTATAGTTGAGTCTGATAGACGGAATAATACCACGTGGCCTTTTTTGTCGGGCCATTGTGATCTAAATGTGTGGCTAAGTACCTTCGCTTCCAATGGGTTAGGTAAAACTTAACTTCCTTTTAAAGTATCCATACTTTTAACATATTATCGCATAATTTCAAGTCCCACTTTTAAACTCAATCTGTTACAGAGATTTCATGGTGCTTATTAAATTCTTAGATAAACAAACAGAAAGCTGAAAGGATAGAGAAGTTAAAAAATACCGGGCATTATTCTCTTGGTGAAAGGGATAATAGTTGGACTGACAGCTTGACAAAATGCAATCGAAAAATGCCATTTATAATGTTGCGTATAAATCAAAGTGATAGCTATACAAAGTGGTCGACTTTGAACGAAGCTTCATCTCATGTGTTAATTATAAGACTATGTCTAAATAAAAGCATGCACTCGACTAGGTGTTCTGGACGCGCTAAGCGTGTCATTTTTGACGGCCATGCTTACCCACGTAACCTCCGTTCACGTAGATCCCGTTCTCAATTTGGGGCTTGAACCGCTTGCCTGCTTTTCATTTCCATTGCAGTTGTGTGTGTCTTTTCTAGATGAAGGTGCAAGTGAGCGAACTGTTATGTCGAGACTCGTTGGGCCCTTGCTAAATCACGCCTCATATACGGGCCGAGATCTGGGCTGTACGGTGGCCACATGCGCCCATTCTAGAACACCCCCAACCAGTCAGCTCTACACTGAGCGGTCAGAGTGGATAGATTTCGACGGAAAATAAATGGTCTTCATTTCATCTACCCACGGCTGCACAGCAATCTATGCAACATTCTGGACATTCTATCTACATTGGCCGGGAATTTACTTTTTTCCACAATAATCAGCTCCCATGCATCGTGCACGAAGTAGCAGTTATCTCTGTAAGTGATTTTTGCACCTATGCCAAATAAGTTTCTTACTCTAAACGAGTTGCTGCTCGACTTTTGATGGAACTAAGGAGGAGAAACACTGATGGTTTTATTCTGCCGTTTACTTAATTTTTATTATTTATGATGCGTGCTTGAGGTCAACAATTAGCAGTGTAATCGTTTTCGCACGAAGTGTCCTTACTTACAATCTGGTTGTAACGGAACATCACTAAAAATACTCTTTTGAACGGGTATCGATTAGTTCTTTCTAAATTTGCTAGAACCGTACACATAATGGAACAAGAAAGCTTGAAAACCTAGTTAGAAAACGGGATCAAATGTAAGGTTTTCCATTTTGTTCCCTACCACAACTGAAAAACGATATAAACATGCAGTAAATTCGGCAAATAAGAACACGAGAGAATAGTCTGCCATGCAATATTTCGTCTTCTTCTTATGCAAAGAAGCTTTCGGCTTTAGTTAGGCTCTCGCGGCTAGCATTTCCAAAGGCCCAATTCTCACATTTTTTCTGGAAAGCGACGATATGTATTTGGAAGGCCCTACCTAATAATCAACATAGCGTAATGATGACAGGCATAGCAAACAATAGGAAAACCTTAATTTTAATCTCTGAACGAAATATCTTTTTCAACGCTGTTCTTTCCGAGCCCTATAAAGTTTTGAATATTATAGTTTCTCTAAGTAAACAGAAGAACTATGACCAAAAGTGGAAAGGTCGTTGAATATAGGATAAACTTCTACGTCTCATTAGGTAAACAATTCGATGCTACCCGCTTTAAAATCCATAAGATAAACATGATATCACCATCGTCCAAATATTCCAAGAGCGGAATAAATGCAGAAACAAAATTAATTTTTATTAAATATATTGATTGCAACTTAATTAAATGGCCTCACATGTAAAAGGATGCCATTGGAGGCCTGATTTGTATGTTTAGCTTTTGTACTTACTTAACGTTGACGTACTGATAATGATGAAAAGCAACCGCAACGTCATTTTCGGCAAAATCCGTTGGTCCAATTATGTCGTCACTGCAAGTTTTTAGTCTCGGAATTCATTGGATGACTAAATAGGCCGACAAAATTGAACAAAAATTTATCACTGTGAGATTTTGATCTTGCTAATGTCCAGTACCCTCTGTATTTCCATATTCGCGTTTACCACTGCTTAGTGAGAAGATTCAGTTTGATTTGGGCCAAACCCAGAATTATTAATGTTCGGTGGTAGTTTACCACTGAGTGGCGCTAGTTTCGTTAGCAAAGCTATGTAGACCGGTGTCTGTTTGCCTGTCTGTCGCGCTATAGGTGGCGCATGAACCTGTTAGTGCTGGGGCGTGATCAATAGTGCGACTGCGACCTATGACCCCGATCCGTGTTCATTGAAGCCTGACGGTTGACGGAGCCCCTTCTGCTCCAATGCCCACTAGAGCAATGTCAGATTTAACATGACACGCGTTCATCAACTATCTAGAGTTGTACAAATTCGCATACAGCTACCGTCATCATCATCGCTATCCCCACCGTGACGAGCAGCAGAAAGAGCAGCGTGTCTCGCTGTTGCATACATGATTTCCGTAGAATTACTTCCGCAATGTTGTTCTCAGTTGTCTCAAGCCAAACTTCTGAGAACTGACCTTGTGTAAGCACAAATGCGCCTCATCTCCACACTGTAATTCTGGGACTGTATCTGTCTGGGTGATTTGGTCCTACTGCCGAACGATTATGATAGCGTCCAAGAATCTTCATTATCGAGGATGAAGATGGAGATTATTCTGCCGACGCGTACATTGAACTTATGCAGAACACAACTACAAACTACTACACCGCTCGCAAGGGAATTAATTCATATATAACAAATTCAATCCACGCCTCTTTGCAGTCGATTGTCTTTTGTCGTGGAGTAAGCTGGGGTGGAATCAAGAGAGATCAGTGTCTTTTCTTGCGCTTCACCTATCTTCAAAGTCTTAAGCAGGCAACAGACTCACCTGAGAAATTCTCGAACTTCTGGCGCAGCTGCCATTGCAGATGTGTTTCGAGAAAAATGCACCACTACATAGCGACGAGTTATTAAGGCTATTGAGAAGTGTAGTTCCCCAAAAAATCATTTTTAAATGAAATACATTGTGCAGTATTTTTACATGCAGTGGTAAATGGTAACATATTTATTTAGCTGTGAAATTATTAGCTTACAGTGTTATATGTAGCCTTCAAGGCGCGTTAATACTGCAAATGATGCTAGATACTCATTGTTACTTGTAATTCTTCTATGTGTTTAACTAACGTTTATTGGTGACGAGTGTTAGTCTTCAATGAGACCCTGAATATATAAAACAGTTTCGCTATCCATAATAGTTTTCGTCGGACTTGTTCTGCCATTTTATATTGCCGCTGTCTTTCATTAAGCGGTCCAAATCGAGCCTGAACTTTTCGGAAGGTATTGCCTCTTTAGCAACGTCCTTACGCCGATCCTGTCCCAGAGGACATTTGGCCTGAAACAGATCCGTATCGTATTAGAATTGCTCAAAATGATAGATCGAGAAATATGGCTAACCATAAACAGCATTTCACCATAGATAAATATCTGAAGATTTTGCGTCCGGAAGAAGTGTCAACTTTGAAAAGTCCTTTATTTGTAATTAACGAAATAAGTGTTTACTTTTCAGGAACACGATAATGGGTTTTTGAACGTTTTATATTTTATGAGAACTTGTTTCAAATTTCCCGACGACAATTTACGGGAAGACTTTACATGGGCGACAAAGCGAACTCTTTGCAATACTGAAGTTTCCACTCCGTGTCTCGCAAATCCATTCCAAGGACGCGGTGTAGAATTGGAATAAGGCCCAGCTAAGGAGTGTATTATACTAATCAGGCTTTGTTGGGTCTAAAAACTGTTTAATAACAACAGAATACTATCATAAACAATTGAACAGTTATTGTTCAAGTCGACGTTTGAAATCCAACGTAAATAGCAATAGGCAAAATATACTTAAATAGCATAAAGCGAAAATATTTTTTTCAACTGACAGGTGGGAGCGGCTCCACATCATCTAAATCACAACGACTTCGAGTTCCACTATTTTCCATAGCCTCACACGCGACTACTTCAGCGTCATCGTATTCGTTAGAATCTTAATACTGAATAATTGTTTCAATCTTAAAATATTGGCAGATGGCCAGTACCTTGCCGGCTCACTTTGTCACGAGCATGTCTGAAACATACGCATCTTACCATTGACTCGACTGTGTCGAGGTTGTCCGGTAAAACTAAAACTCCGCCGCTCCGGAAGTGCTCCATACCATTCCATGCGATCATAATCCCGTTGTCGGAGCATAATTTTGATGGTGGTACAAACAGATCAACAGCATGGCGCTCGCACAATTGTTCTAACATAAGTCGCAAATACAAGCTGCAAGCCACACCACCTTCAAAAATACATGTGGAAAAAATGTCGTTAAACCATTCCATCTTTGTCAAGCATGATGATTGCATATCGAAGGGAGACCGATGGACACGGGGTTTGACACTGCGGATGAATACTAACTGAAACATTTTGTCTGGCTTTGAAAATATTTCGAAAACGACTACGGTAACCGATGCATTATATCGAGCATATTATTATAAGGTAAACAGATTGATCTGTTTTAGTAGTCGTTTTATTGGTGCAAAGGTTGACTTTGGAAAGCCTTCTCATTGACGTTTAGAAATAACTACGTCTATCTAAATCACCAGTATCCTCTAATCTCCCTCAAAACTTGAATACTGACACATTATCATTTTGTGGGAGAAAAATAGATACTTTTGGCGCAATGAAGATCATAGTATTTTGTAGTAATTCTTCCGTTGACTACTACTGTTGGATATAAACTCTCAACTTTTTGTGCAGCGCTTCAACGGCGTTCTAAAAGCCAATCTGGTAATATCTTTTGCATTCTCGTTCAGTTGCCTATCGACCTTCACATACAGGCGTTACTTCATTTTCAAATCTAAACAACTAGACGCCTTCATCTCACGATTTATGGCTGATATATAGAAAATAATTATAGATTGTTTACTAAAGTTGCCATATACTGCGTTCAGTTACTCTGCCATCGCTCTACGGTCTTTGTGGATATAGGGATGTGTACTTGCAATTATACATTCAAACTTACCTGAGACCACTAGGCGGTGTCCGAAGTCCAAATCTGTTCTTCTACAAAATGTAAAAGCTCGTTGAACCCTTTTCATTATATGAATGTAAAGTGCATGCTGAAAACTGGCGCACAAGTCCGGAATGCTTGGTAGAAGGGCATCTCCCTCGATACCAAGTTCACGTTCCCGTTCCATAATTTTTTTCATTAGCGAGTACTTCAAACCTGGGTCCGCCACACGTAAAATGCCAACATTAGTTGAAGCTCTGCTTGTGAAACAAGCACATCCTGTTTTTTTATAGATTAGACTCATAAATTGGGTCATTGATAGCCAGGCCGCATAATCGGTCGAAGTTGAACAACTACGTAAAACATCAACAGTTTGGACTCCGAGGAGGCCTTCAGCAAGCAGGATGTAATGGCTTTAATGCATAACATTTTTGAGAATAAATGCAAATTCGAAAATATAATAGTATCGCTGCCATATATGTGATTTATTTATCCATACCAGATTCCGGTCTACCAGAACCGCAAGCATCAACGTTTTCACTACGTCATCTCCGAAAGCGTTTCCTGTATTTACGAAGTAATTGCGTACGGTCGTAAGTTTCGGGTATAATCAGCTAAAAATTTGGGCAGACACGTAAGCTTATTCCCTAAACCTTAAACTGGAAGCACTTTATCTCCTAAAAAAGGTCCTTTCAGTAGCATTCACACAATTTCTAATCACGTGTGTACATCCCGCGTGCGTTGGGCCATCAGAAGCAAATATATCTAAAATTTCCAGATCGAGCATGACAGGTTATTAAAAAAATATATATATATACTATAACGCTACTGATTGAATAAGCAATTTTATTGTTAGGTTTTTCCGACCGTTATCGTCCTATAATGATATATATAATAATTAGATTGTCCCTTAAGTATATTTACGTGACGTCTGTAAGCTCGCTGTGGGCATCTCGCAACACTACACATCTGAGTGAATAACGCACCTGAAAACGAGAAGTCACAGTCCGGGCGTTTCGTCATTGGCGAAGTAAATTCGATAGCCATGGGATCTCCATGTCGGGCTAAACGTTCAATGGCAGCTCCTCCACTGAGAGCTCGATACTCGTCCATGTTACTCAACTTCAGTCGTCGAGCAGCTTTGTCGAATGCCTCACCGGGAGCGTCGTCACATGTACTTCCAAGAAGAACAAAGTCCGATACACCTTGCACAACAGCTATTTGACAATGTCCTCCCGAAACTAACAATACGAGAAACGGAAATTTTACCGGCATGCAGCTTCGTACCACTAATGCATGCGCTTCCATATGGTGCACGCTAATCATTGGTAAAGAGTATTCACGGCAGAAAGCTTTCGCGTGTGTTAACCCCACCTGAAAGTCATTCCACGTTTATCCGCCATCATTGCTGTCCACAATCAATGTTACACAACTAACTATACATCTGTATGAAGTACGATCTTCATTTATCGAGGATGAGTACTGTGCAACTACTCCAATCGGTGCGAGAGTTGGCACGGATGCATTCTGCAAGAAGTCACTCGGTATCCCTCGATTGTCTATATTCGTGCCATCTAAATAATGACATTCAGTTTCGCTATTCAAAATCTACGCGCATCACAATTAGGAGATTTCAGCATGGCGTGTGACCATATACAAATCGTTTGTCGCTAATACCACAAACACATACCATCTATAAAAGTTCGACTAACTTCATATATAATATTGTAAATAGTATTTTGTGGAGCTATTGATGACTAGGGCACAGAGTGATATAAGAAAGATTTGTTGTTATAACGTTATTATTCCACCGTTTATAGGAAAGTGCATACATGTTGGCATAGTAATGCTGATAGAAAGGCGTAATAGACGTATCGTCTGCGTTTACGATGAGTACCTTAAGACTTAAGCTTAATCCTGGCCTTGTAGTTACAGCAACTGCATCCAATTGCCTTGGATGTATACCCGCGGATCTCATAGCATCTTTGTGAACTTGCTTGATATTTTCTTCATGAAGAAAACGCGCAAGTGGCGGTATAATGCCTCCCATTGTGACATGTGTAGCCAATTGTGAATGTTGTGCCTCTCCGAGTACTGTGCCTGAATAAAAACATGAACAGCACCTGTTCTTATTTCAGCAATTCAAGTAGTTTTTTTTTCGAGAGCAATAACAGTCTGAGATTAATAAAGACTAAGTCTGTTTGTAAAATTTTTTCATTTATTACCAAAGTAGGATAACATAAGTGACAGTAAATGGTAAGCATAGCAAACGAATAGAATTTATTTTTAGTAACATTAAAAGACATGAATGGCTTGAAGAATTAAGAAGCTGTCGAGTGGTGATAAACTAAAAGGTCAGAAGTTTCAAGTCAGAGTTAGGCTAAAGAACATCAACATGCCTAGTGCAGTGGCATCGTTAATTCTTAACTTGTCCTGAATTAAATTAGTCGGAGAAGTATTGTGACAAAGCGATATATTTTTGATGAGTGCGGCTTTTTGTTGAACTGCTTCCTTGTTTGGTTAGATCTAATTAAGCTTGTCCTGGTAGCAGGAGCTAAGTTTAATAAGGGGTCCTACGCAGTTCTAGTGACCAAGATGGTGGTATATAAGATGTAAATAATAGTATAATGATTTGTTTGGTGACGTCGCACCTTAATTCGTCTTTTAGACTACTAGGTGGCTTACCATGTTCATTTATAACTGCGATTCCGGTGTCGTCGCAACTTGTCTCGATACCCAGGATATGCACACTTCTGTGACCATGATCAACACTCCGACTAATGGTCCTAAACATGTGGAAGGTACTCGCGCAAGAGTGCACTAATGCGCTACACGCCTGGACGGCCTAAAATGTGCAGATATAGCAAAATGATCGATTACTGAATCTCGCATTTGAAGTAAACAAGTAGACGATATGGAATGGGTCGATATGGAAGAATCATCAATTCCACACATTGTTTTCGCAACCCAATTTTAAAAGTTTTAAAAGTTACTTTCTAATATAGCTTCGAAGTGCCTTTGAAATGATGGTATATTAGGCAAAATAAGGTTGACTCCAAGGACCAACTTAGAAACGTTAGCAATTTGACAATCACAAACAACACCGCTGTCGTTTGTAGAGAACGAGCCTTCCAGTGAAATGCGGCATAATAAGCAAACAATACCCTGAGAAGAGAGCCGTGCAATGAATTCTCCAAGATTTTTGCCCAATCTAATATAATTCGGTTTAGCGCTTTGACGTTTACGGTGGCTGTAGAAGAACCGCAGTAGACTAAATGTTGATTGAAGAGAGGTATCCTGAGTAGTTTTTTTTAATTTCACTTCATACGACAAGAATAAGTTGAGCATCTTAGAAAAACCCCCATCAACATCCATCACCCCTAAAAATATCCCAAGGCATTGTTGGGGGATGGTGCTGAATTTCAAGTATGTTCATATTCTCAGTGAAATCGGCATGCCACATAATCGACATGTAACGCAGACGAAATTACCCTGTTCTAGGCAAAGGGTTTAGGTACAGCCATTGGACGTGACGTGAACACATATACGTACACAGGGCACTTCTTACAAAGTTGAACTTGGCTTGAGGGGCACACGGACCACTAATAGCTTGATGCAATAATCAAAACCATTTGCGAAATTCGCATTTTAGTGTACTAATATGGTCTATTTGCCGAATTAGTTGAAGTTCCGTACCAAACTGACAGTCAGGTCGCTTCCATGACAAACGCTGGCTTTGACATCTCTAATTCTCCATTGTGATACCTGCTCCTGTGCTCGAAATTATTAAAACAAATGTTTCAAATTTTATCAGACACGGACTGTTTTACATGGCTGATCCCCAGCGCAAAACAAGATATATTTACTTCCCGTTCGAACCTCCAGCGCTTCACATGTCGCTACACTTTGGGGCGTAAACACACCACCGGTATGCCATTACAGAGATTTTATATGGCACATTGATAAAATGGATTAACAAAAATTTGCTTCCAGTTGTATTGTTTTCTGCATTATGAAGAGCACGAGCATAAATCGCTTGGTGCTTGGAGGAATTTATAACGGTTTTGGTTATTTTCTCCCTCCTTCTAATTTAAAATTTTCGTCATTAGTTTTGTGGTGACCACTAAATAACGGCACAACATTCCGTTATGTAGATAGCAACGTGAAAAAGCGCATTGTTCTGAGTTGCTTAATTACGATTTGTATATAAATATGAATAAATAGTACTTTAAAAAAATTTCCTTTCTGAAGCAAAGCTAGGTTGAAAGGACTGATGTTGACCCCAAGATATAGCTCATTAACGCAAGAAATTTGACCAGGTTACCAAAGAAATATAAGATATCTTAACTTTACCTCCTACAAATAAAGATATTTTGAGCTAGTATTGCGAATTTTGAAATTTTTCTAGACCTCCAAAATTAAGCAAGTACGTAACTAGAGTAAGAATAACCGCACTGGGTGATACATTCTCTGAAATCCGAACACCTTTTTTTTTTACCAGTACTGGATGCCTGCGGTTCTCGATAAAAACACCAAGAAAATTTTTGAATCGTTAAGTGTATGTTACGTACTATAATCCTGATTTGCGCCAAAAGTTTAAAATATAAATTAGTAATTTGTAAATAAAGGTTCAATTTGAAGACAAACTATTCGCACCTGGGTTTAGAGGGGTTGATGAGACAAACAAATTTGGGTTTCGATAAGCAAACCCGGAAGGGACACTGATTCGCCTCATGTAGTTATGAGGCCACTCCGTTCTTGATTTTATTTGTAATAGTACGAGAAAAATTAAAAGAATCATTAAATAGATTTACAAATTTCCCCGTACCAAGGGGCATGGAATCTTGAAGCTACGAACTGATACGCACTGATTCAGCAAATATATATATGAATTTTTTTTGTAATACTTCGTTCTAAATTAAATACACGTTTTCTATAATATAAAAAGTCCATAGTTGTAAAACATAGTCATCAAGTTGACAATGTGAATTTTAAATTAAAGCTCAACTAAAAACTATATGAATCCGAATTGCGCGAACTTAATGGCAAACTTACCTTCTTCATCATAGCGAGAACTTAAAACTGGGAATCCACAAAAAATATATTTGCACTTTTTCCAAAGCACTAAATACATAAAGTAAAAAGATCATGGTTATCATAAAATGTGCTTCATCTAAAGTCATGTAAATTGAATAACACTTTAGTAGCACATGAAAGCCGCTTTTGAGCGTCTAAACTCGGGCGTTCCTGAAAGAACCGTGCGCGCAGCTTTTTATCAGCTGATCGGTCATTCATAAACACATACAGCGTGAAACTTGCATGGCACTCGCCTTCTAGCTTTGGCTAAGTTTCCAGAACGGATACGAGCGTATGTTAAACAGGCTTATAAAAGGCAGCGACGTTGTATTAAAATGTTCTTCATTAAGTGCATTAGATTCTTTTCAGGTCGTCAGTTTTGTATGGGCGAGGTGTCTTCTTGTTTTTGAAAATTGGCGCACCTAATGACGTCGATGGCGCCGCGAACCAATCAGCGCTCAAGATTCATGTCTAGACAACCGGGCCTGTTCTCATTTAGCACCTAACGTCCCGTCGCGGGGAGAGCCAGGTGAAACGGACAAGAACCTACAGTATCCCGGCAAATCTGGAGAACTGAAGCGCGAAAATGCGGCTATTAATTTTGTATTTAGTTGTGATACTGGTAGAAGCAGCAGCAGTAAACGGATTCTTCAGCTGGATCATCGGTGGCGACAAGGCGCCTCAGCAAACAAAGGACTTTGTTCCAACAGAGGTATTACATTTACTTTCCTATAGGTATCTATATTCTATACTGTTGTAAATAATTACAATGCATTTAGCAAACATCATTTAATTTTGTAGAGGTACCATCTTTCACAGAGTATAAAGATGATCAGAAGTTTGTTTTTGAAAAGCAACCGTTTTCTGTTTACTCATCATCTATTATTTACGAAGCGCACTCAATCTATGAGCTCCGATCAATATTTGTGTAAAGTATCTTGCTTCTGTGTATCTTAAAGCGTCAGTATACTTGATGCACAGTATTAACAAAATGACGCTATGTAAAATAATGCTCATCGTCCGAGTACGCTTCTATGTCAATGAAATGATTGCGCCACGGTTAACGATAGTGTACTACGATAGAGTAGCCTAGTACATATGAACATCATATCAATTATATCTTCAATTAGTACATATGTTGTGAATTGGCTTACGCTATATGACAAGCTTGGTTTCAAGATACGTACAGCCACGTTTACTTATTTTGTAGGTGTCCTTTGAGCTGGCATCAACAGACGAGAAATTCCTTGCGGAAGTTAAGAAACTTTCTCTTGAAGATTTCAACGACTCAGCCTTAGGCAACTGTCACAGTCGACTTGTGTTGAGTCTAAAACAGACGTGCGCGGGGCTTAGCCAGGAAGAAATAGGAAAAGTAGCGGTTAATCTTCTAAACTGCCAAAATTTTATTGAAAGTAAGTAATGCATCCGATGACAGTATCCAAAGAGCAAGGTTCTGGAGGGCAACGCGAAATCATACGGCTTCGTAATAATTGCTAAGTAATGCTGAGCAAATATGAATAGAATTTTTACGATACAACTATTAATACTACATGTGTAGATGTCGAACCTGAGGACAGCTCACTTTAAATTGTTATTCACTAATGGAATAATTGGTTGGCATTTGTGTAGAACGCCGTCAATTCCCATGTACACCTTCAATGTCGTTAGCGGATTGCACTCGCGATATGGACGCTCCTTCGTGGACAGTTTACCAGCTCATGTCAAACAGAGCTTTGGCTGTATGTCACTCGGTCGCACAACACCTCTTTCGAGCTCGAACTGAACTGCTGATCAATCGTCTAGCGGAAGCTTCAGTCCAGCATGTAGGACAATTGCGCGAAATGCACGAGTGGCACAATAAATTAAGGGACCTCCAAGCTATGGCCGACGCTCGTATGAGTTCTTTGTCAGCTCAGCACGACACAATGGTATATAATCAGGAAGCATTATTAAAGCGTCAGAAACAGTTAGAGCGAGCTCTACAAAGTAACACCAAATATTTGCTCGAAGAAAAAGAGCAGTTAGAAGTAAACTCGCACAGTTTGCTCAGTCTTACTAACGAAGTGAAGTCGCGTCTTGATGCCACAGTTGATGAAGTGAAACGCCAAGAAGAATTAATTCATACTCAACGCAATGAAATGCAGAACACAATAAAAAAATATGAGAACTCTATACAAGCGATGCTGGAAAATCTAGAAAACCGGGGAGAAATTGTGCTGGCAGTCCAAGACGAAACGTTTGCCCGAGTGCAGAAAAGCCTTGAAAGCGTTCAGCGAGTTAACGACTCGCTCGACACTATTGGAACTCGTCTTCAAACAATTCAAGAAGATGTCTTTGGCTATATAGAATGGATTCAATCGAATCTTTTAGGCCGTTATGAACTACTGTGGTCCTGTATAGTCCACGGCCTTCTTATGCTTGCCCTTATGAGCCTTGCTGCCTTTTTGCGCTTTCCAATACTTAGCCGACTAGTCATTCTCATCGCGGTTCCGGCAAACATTTATTTGACCCTCACTTCAGGTTAGTTTCTAGTCGATTTTGTGGCTCTAATTTTGTAACCAATTTTTGCCGGCAACTGCCTGCCATGTCAGTAAAACTAAAAAACTATAATTATATAATCAATATACTTAGTTGTCGAGCAGTGCGCCATTGCGCTGTCTCAACGTTGTGGTAAGGTGTCGTTTACTTGGATCCTTGTTAGTACTTGACTGCAACACCTAATTTGTCGCATCAAAGGTATATAAAAGTACACCGAATTTTTGTTTGATAGAATTTCATGTGTCACCAGTGGAATTGTTGCTAGCCATAGTAGCTATCTGCATAGTAGACGCGTTCATTGATGGGCTACGCTTCTCAAGGCTAAAACGACGGTCGGTTGCACGTGATGAACTGCGCCAGTTGATTGATATAATCAAAAGGTAAATGTTAGGCTAAATCGAAACAGTAGGAGTCCTATCTATAATGGAGCATCTTTTAGCTGGCCTGTAATTGAGTTTGTCAATCGCAGCCTATGTACGTGTACCTATGAACGTATGGCATAAAATGAACGAATGCTTCCTGCTTGATACATCTTACCCATTCCATGGCTGAGTCAAAAGCTTTAAGTGACATCTACCGCAGCATGGGTAGACGCAAATTCTCTCACCAATGAACTTCAGCTGGACATGCAAACTCGATATTCGGACGGCTGAAGATTAAAAGTTATTTTTTTTTCCATTACCCTACCACATAACTTTTACTTAATAATACGCAATGTGAAATAAAAGTAGTGAATTATTTACGTTTTGTAATGTTTAACTAATTGATTTCGTTATAGCATGGAACAGCGTATTGAAGACCTTTCAGCAAAATCTCCACACTCCCGAACGAACAGTTTTAACATACCAGAAACTGGAATTTCTCCTAGAGACACTTCAAACAACTGGGTAGGCATCAAATACAATTAAATTATTATTCTAGGTTACAAATGATGTAATGAATAACTAATATTGTGACGGCGAAGTGGACAAACCTACAAGCGCGCAGTGGCCCCTGAGTTCGATCTACAAAATTGGTTCAGTATTTTTCAGACAATTCGAATCATGTCTTTGGAAAAATGAACGGAAGTGAGACATTCGCTCATCTTTTTTCCGCCCGCGTACTACACAGATATTAATATTCTAATAATAATATTACCTTTTAATGCAATTTATTCGAGATGTACGACTTTACCAGCTATTTTAGTTCTGAAAAAGGTTCAACGGGACCCCACCATTAGTAACTTCAAAGCAAAGTATTTCCAGTTCCGGTTATGCGAAGTGATAAGGTTGCTCTACCACCCACTGTAAACAGTCGCAAATATCTGTTGACGACGGAAAGGGCATCCGAAAAGAAAAATTGAGTAGCCATTTCAATCATTATAAAATTAGCTTTATTAGGCCTCATAAAATGCATAGAACGAAAAAGATTTTTCATAGCAAATAACATGATATCAACACTATAATGTACTCATGCTTTCTTAGGTCGAGAACTTTCCTAATGGGCGGAGGTGCCTGTATCCTAACAACATGTAGGGAGTTTATTGATGAAAGATGCCTAAACCCTTCAGCTGCATTTTATCAGCGCATAATTAATAAATACATCTATATGCCGTTTCTTCTTTACATATCGAAGTGTCTACCAAAACAAAAAACATCTGCTAGGTTGAGATGTTTTGTTTGTTGTATAATCACAGTGATAAGTGGGGGGGGGGGCATATTTACTAGCCAAAGTTGTTAACATACCTTGATAAAACGGTGTTTGCATCCAAACACATAATCAATTTAACGGTACGTTTGTTTTATATTATGCTAGTTATCCATTCATTTAGCATTAATAGATGTAATTTTGTTTAGCCACAGGTTTCCCTGATGGAGGCAAATTCTCCAGAACCGGACTGTGTAAGTAGCACTTCATATTATGCTTCATTACTCGTAAAAAGCAGCCTCGTCTTAACTACATGTTGTATGAAAAACTAACCATTTTCGTTAATAGATGCTCGCCCTTCTCACAACCTTTGAAACTCGTAGTATAGTAGTTTTCTCTATTAAGTTAACATAGTCGCCTGCTGAATTTTATTATCGTTTTATATCGAATATGCATTACTTATTTAAGAAACGGTGTCAGTAAAAGTAATTTATTTATATTTTCGCTATCGTTCCGACCTGTCATTTCAACTGGGTTCTGTTTTATATTATCACTGCTCCATTCCGTCCCTCATAAGAGGTTTTTCATCAATTTTTCATTTTTAATGAAAAATATTCTTTACCTCAATGCATTCCATTCCCAGATATCAAATGTGCATTTTGCTTTGATTTGATTGTTTTTCAGGCTTCCTTAGCAGCGAGTGATATATCTGGTACGTCAACTTTGAATTCCCATCTAGGATTTTCAAGTTTGAGGCAGCGGTGCCAAGGCGTGAATCGAGATGGTTCGCAATGCAAACGTTTTACATCGTCTGTGCGTTGTGCATCTCATCGAAAGCATTTGCTGTGATAAGCCAATATAAATAACACCACGTACAAGATCAACTGCTACCAAAAACGTGATAAATCGTAGAATGATCCGTGGGCCTTACATTGATGCAGCGCGTATTGTCCATTTGTTGCTTTTCTATATCCGCACGTTACGATTGTATTAAGCGATCGTGGACTAAAACCTGCCGAGACCAAACACTTTCTTTAATACTGAACACTGTTTGTATATCAGTGTTTTGATTGACCACCAGTGATAATCAATGTGTACCTTTTCACGATGTTGTTTAAAATTGACAATGGTATACCAAACGTTATGAGCAAGTTAGCTACCTTGAAAACATGTGGCAACTATTTTTACATGCTGAGAGTATTCGCGCAAAATGCTCATTCTTCCTCGTGCTACCCCAAACTATCTGACAGAGTATCTTCGGAAAATTCGCAACATATGCACCCCCAAGAGTGAGTTAAAGAAAAAGCAAACATAGCCAAGGCTAAAGCTTTACACGCAAATTTAAACAGCAGTTCGAGCCTGTAAGCATCTAGAAAGCTATCTAACCTTACCGTTTATATTAAAATGTGGATTTTTCGATTTTTACTTAAAGTTGGCGGGTTTTCGACGTGAACCTTTTGCTAGTGCCACGTCCGCATTTACCTCAGTCGAGTTGTCTTCAGTCTAATTACGTACCCCCAGATACCTCAAAACGTAGTCCGATATGCATACATACGCAGCATCGCTCCCTCGGCATCCGAAGTCCAGAAAAGTAGTGTTAATATACATAGTCATACAGGTTCCTGCAAAAAAACAAAGGAACTGTGAACCGGTGAAAGGATCCCCATCATTGACTCATTAGATTGTAGCTACTAGCTTATGTTCACGAACTTCGTGTTATACAGAGCAGTGGGAGCAATGAAGCCGAAGTTCCACCAGTTTGTGCAGAAGAACGAAACTACTTTCTAAAATTAAGTCTATGGCGCCAAACGTGCACAACATTATTTCGAGCATCTCCTACAGAAACGTGCTACTACAGCATTGGTGATTTTTCTGGATCGAATGATGGCATCTTTTTTGCCTGTGCTCTACGTAACCATTGTGAACCCTAATGTGATAGCTGTGCTACGTCCACACGTAGTAGTGCGTCAGACAATGAATCCATTGTGCTTGAATTGAACTCGAGCATTTCTAGTACCTGGTCATTTTTCATTTACGTGTTCAATGATAAATCTAAGAACTGATTCTGGACAAGAGTGCCACTATTGTTCTTGTTGTTGTATTGTTTTCGGTGTACCAATGAAATCTGTTTGCGCACCCTGTATGATGCCTTGTCAGCCCAAGAAGATAGAATTTCCTTTCCCGGATTTCGCTGTCGCACCGTTGTGGTCCAATTTTTGGTTAACAATCGTATCTCAAGCCTAGTGTTTATCTAATATCAGACTCTTTCGCTCGCTGCTTACACTATGTGAAATAGGAAGGAACCCATTTCTTAGTGTACAATTTCTCCAGCAGTTTTTCATGCATTGAATTAGTTGTAAGTGCATAATCACGTTATGTACTAGGCGTATGTGTCTCCATGGTAACGAATTATCTTGGGCTAAATGTAGCTAGCATAATGCGTCCAAAACTAGCAATTAAAGAGACAATCTGTCTATGAGTCTACAAGCAATTAGATATTCATGAACTAGTGTCCACAATAAATAAATACAATTATGAGCAAGTTTATTTCAGTGACTGCAACATGTAATTCATTTATTAATGGTATCAAGGCGTATGCGACATATTTACAGCATCTGAAAGACCGCGTACGATGCTGAAATTATAACATCGTACTGAGACAACGCTTTACATACTTACATGTCTAAGCTTATTGTATAAACAACAATTCTAACAGGATTGCTTTTTCTTATCCCGCTTCTGCTGTTTTGGCCCGTTCTTTCTGCCGAAGTCACCTTTTATCTTTTTAGATCGTAGCAGGGTTCGGCAAATATTTGGCTATAGCACTATATGTATATTTATATTAACACCCACGTAACTAACCCCCTGTGCTAGTCTCCCTTTCCCTCATCGTGAAGCATTTTACCTTTCGAATCCCCTCGAATCTTATCTTCGCCAATTGCACCCAAAGCGTAGAGACATACGAGGGCCGCACTCTGTTCAGCCGTCCGCTTATTCTTGTCTCGAAAGAGACTTGCGTAACGTTTACCATCATAATGAACAACAGCGCGAAACATTTTATCTACATTTATAACAGTATACTTTGGCTGATCTCGTTTTTCCACTCGGCTGCGGTTAAGCAGCAGTGTCTTGGGAAGTTCTGCATTGCCAAAAAGGTTGCGACAGAACTTAGCTTCCATCTCAAACACTCCATCGTCGTCTGCGCCTTCTGAGTTCAACTTCCTCTTGAGCCCACGCTCCTCGTTGCATGCTCGTAAAGCTTGTGCCTCGCGACGCCAATGGGCCTGCTTATCCTCATACATTTGTCGTAGTCCCCAAATATCACAGATGTCCTCCATACATCGGGCTTGAAGCAATCTCCGACCCTTTTCAGTTGTATCCTGTTGTGAGCCAAGCATTTGCTGAATACAGTATTTGGTGTTAGCGAAGCGATTATCCCACTCAATTGCAAGACGCAGGTAGTGAGTCACTAGTTCTTCCGTAGACCACATACCTTCTTTCCGAAAAATACTAACGTTAACTTCCGCAACACGGGCCACCATCACCGCAGCAGCGCCACAATCGTTAAGAAAGCGCTTTAAATCCGAAAAACAATTAATTTCAGAAGAGCCACCGTTTGCAATTACTGGGATTTTCAGAGCTTTGGCAACTGCTCGAATAGTACCGTTACGGTTAGAATGCTGTGGACGTTCATTTTGGGTTCTGCCGTGCACCGCAAGGGCTCGAACGCCTGTTGCCTCAATGCGTCGACATAATTCAACAGTAGCTTCGACGTCCCAGAATACGCGCACCTTACATGTTACCAGAAGATGCGGGACAGTGTTGACCAGCGCGCGCAGTATAGCTTCGATTTTCTCGGGTTGATTGAGAAGAGCGGCACCCATTCCTCCTTTGATCGAGAACTCCTTTGGACAACCCATGTTCACGTCAATCCCAGCGACGTCCTTCTCTACCATCTGTGCCACCTGATGAACGACCCCGAACTGTTAGAACGAATAGTTAACTTTTTGACTCAAATTTCATAGGTAATCAAAAATTCTTTGGCTTCATACAAAAATGTCTCAAATTAGCGAATTGGCGATAGCAGCTTACCTATATAGCGTGTGTACATAAGTATGTGTGTATATGTGTACATATGTGTATATGCATGTGTGGTAGTTTATGTGTATGTGTGTGTATGCGTGCGTGTATGTGTCTGCGTGTGTTTGTGTGTATATGTGTCTGCGCGTAGGTTTGTATGTGTGCGTGTATGTCTCTGTGTAGGTCATTCAATGACAATCTTTTTGGTTTTCTTATCTCAGGCTTTCTTAGCTCCTAGAAAAAGAACTCACATTTGGTCATTTGAGCGAAATTCCAAATATAGACATTTCGACGCAGTAAAAAACATGGTGTCCACTATTGCGGTCGGTGTTGGTGTGTTTTCTTCTGTATGAAGAAGCATGTATTAGCTACTACTTAGCAGGTACACAGCGCAAGCTATCTTAGGCAAAAAGGTCGGGTTCTAGCTTGCTTAAGTTAACAATTCAAAATATGCAATCCAAAAAACCAACGAATCAAGATATGCATTAATGATGCTAACAACGTAAGTAGCTTAAACGAACCTAAAAGAATTCATAATAGCCGCATAAAACGAATCGTTACTTTTTTGGCTTCGTGGTGATAGAAATTAGCATTCCTATTTGTCTACTGCGCCCTAAGAATACTAACCTGCACAGCACGCTCTGGTGAGCATGTCCCTATCTGAAGAATATTTCTACCCTGTTCTTTCGCGCACGTTCTATAAATGATTTGGTTATCGGGATCGACGAAGTCAATACTTCCAAGGAGAACATTTTCGATTCGACGACACTTTAGTAGCCGATAATCGATTAGTTCTTCCGAGTAAACTAGATCTGCTCCGCATTCTAATGCTAGAAGACGGATCGGAAGGGTCCCAATCCGAACCATAGGAGCCAAAATCGTCTTTCCGCTGTAGTCGAACATACTGCCTTGAGTGTGATGTTTGACTGAATTATATAAATCACATGTAATGTTGGTATTACAACGAACGGTCATTCGTACGCAGCTCGCAATGATCCGGACTTTAAATATAATATTTAAAACGATGCCTTCTATAGCTTACATCTATTCTTGACTGACATCGGGGTCCCATGATAGTTTTTTTTTAAATTAAGAAGCCGTTTAAATAACTTACATAAATGCACTAAGCAGCTAATATCAAACTTAGAACACTCTTAATGAATGTGCTGTTGCCAGCTAAATGCGCCGCACTAACATGTTTGGTGTCGAACGTTGATTGCCGAACTAAGCGCGATGCGGCTATCGGCAGAAAGAGCAGCAGATAACATCGGTGTCATCTGCCCGCCCAACATCTGGCAACATTTGTGTCAAGTTATCGATATAGATAAACTGTTCCATTTTTGATATTTTAAAAAGGCATGCTTGAGTTTTCTTACTAAGCTTAGGTACACGTCGTCGTATGGGTTGGAACCTGGACGTAGATAAATTTCATTTCGCGCTGTAAAGGACAAGCCGTCTGAAGCAACGACTTACGATTTAAATATCTAATGCAGAACTCAAACCATTTATTTAAATAGGCATGCATGGATCCGTAGCAAATAATTTGCTTTAGCCAAGAAAACCTAAGCTTTTTACCCTTCATAAATTTTACTCGAGCCGTATTCAATTCCACCTAATGTTACACTATTCGTCGTACGTGAGTGTCTCATAGGGTGAACTTGCTCTGCTATGTGCGATCATACAGCCCACCGAGATATGTACTGACAAGGGAGTGGGGAGCTGCCCCATCTCCCAAAATACGGGCCCGGTTTCAGATAATCCGAGGTCAAAAATAATTTGCAAACTTAAGCCTCGTTCTCTTCTGAGGTCTCAGTCCTATTCGTGGCAGAAGAAGCTATTTTTTGTGCGGACAAATTGGTATTCTGTTTCCTAGTATCCTCCCTAGAAAGTCTGCCACGCTGAGTAGTTCACAGGCTCTTATGCAGTAAACTTTTAAACTTGTAATTGTGATTCACTCGGCATATTAGTAAATTGTCACCATCGATGACACACCATCGATGATTTCACACTTGCTTTTAACAATTAAGACTTATCTTTGACACTTTCAATTAACAAAGAAGATAAACATACCATTGAGGTGGTAAATAAGCATTTATAACCTTTCATTATTATGTAATAGCCAAAACAAAGGTTCGTAGAAGCAGGAAAAAGAAATAGGTTGGCTAATTCTAACGCGACGATGATGACCTGTTGACGGCTTATGGCCGCTGTCCTTTGCGGCGCATAACTATTGTTCTATTTGATGGCAATCGTATGTATTGCGAAACTTTTTTGACCGCCTTGAGCTGCTTTGAAAAATATACCATCTTTGTTTAGAGGAGAAATAACTGCAGTTCTGCTAGGATCATAAACGACTTCGTAAGTGTGTCGTTCTACTAAGGCTGCTGCTATCAAGAATAGATGTGCGGTTAGAATCAAATCTCCTCCGTTTCAACTTAAGATCTAGCTTTTAAATCAATAGATCATACGATTACTCTAATTCAACTGTTCTAAATAATTAGCAAGTGGAGGACTAGCCATCGCCGCCTCAACTGTCGATGACTGAACATAGCCCCTTTCATTTCTCTACCTTTAGAACTGGAAGATTCGTGTGGTCACTTGAAATAATAAGTTGCCTTTACTTAGTACTCACTACAAACTATGCGAGTGAATATCTGCCACCTATGCAATAAAATTCGTGTTTTTTCAGTTTTCATTATCAAGAATTTATTTCAAAAGCCCCATGCTGCTGCAAGTGCAACAGAATTTCCAGGGTTGCCACTTTTGACGAACCTCGATTCATATAATATTATCTTAGCAAACAAATTAATTTCGTTCGGTTGTTGTTGTTGATGATGATGATGATGACAATGGCGACATCGTCATTGCCTAGGCCTGCTCCATCTGTTCTTCGGCTTCTTCAGCTCCACGATCTCGCACACCTCCTCCCCGAGTTCGTTCTTCGCCAGCGATTAAGCCAAGGAATTGATTGCAGGCGTCGTCTTCGTAGATCGTGAAATCCCGATCCTTTCCTACAATAGCAATGGACACGTTCTTCGTGCCTAATTCGACATCGTTCGGTAGGCAGTCCCGCAATGCTCGCAAACCATGCTTCATCAGATCCTCTAGTGAGCACCTGAAAGCAGCACATATCAATCAAGACAAGCGTTTGTTGGTAACAATCGAGTCGCTGCAATAGCAGTGTTTGTTGACTTCTTACGTTAGCATAGTCATTCACTTGGCGACAAATGACGTACGTATAGCCTTGCTCATACATAACTGACTTACGTTTTAAACTGATCTAAATGTTTCTCAAGATACGTTCTAGCAGACTGGCTCCGAGCTCCAATGGCCATTGCTTTGCAATCGTAGAAGTTGGCTGACGGACATGTTTGGTAGATATGTGGGCCGTTCTCATCCCATCCAGCCATAAGCAGGCCTACACCGTATGGCCGTCGATCGTAGCGCTGTGTGCACACCTACAAAAAATAAATGTGTAGTCACGCAAGGATTATTATCATAAAATCGTGGTTAGAACGCAGTTCCATAGTGGAGCTAAAACAAGCCCGTTATTACTCTATGAAATAAATTGTCGCATATGTCTAAGCAATTTTTAGACTATCAAACAGAATCCGAATTTCTACCTAGTATTTCTTTACTTTTGTTCGTAAAATAAAACAAATAATATTCTTTTCATGAAATGAAACTTTCCCCCACTAATACCTTTCGCCAACAGCTCTATCTGTAGCGTTTTTCGAGTATTTAGTCCAGTTACCTGCATCTTATTGCCCATTCTAGTGGCTAGCCGAGAAATCGGCAAAGCGCACTCATGAGCGAAACGGTTGTTTAGGCATTCGTTCCGGAGATATTTAGAGAGAATGCGAGCGTCAGCTGTTAAACCTGGAAAAATAAAAGAGAAAGGCAAAAATTATATTCTCCATTGCCTGCTCCTAGGTAACCTTACCACTAAAATCTCGCAGTCTATCCCTCAGGGAAGGGCCAGACACGCACACACATCAAATTCGAAGTTAACGAGTAGTTTCAGTAAGCAAAATAGGAATGAAATTATCCGAATTGAATGAATCCTTTAAATACGTTCACCGTGTAGCAGCATGCTGAATGAACTGTGTATTCTGCCGCAAAATGCTCATCTTAACAAAACAACTTTGCTATCATACAGACACAAGTCACATATACCAGATTTGTACATATAAATCCATAATATCGTAATATCTACCAGCAAGTGAAACACCAATATGCCGATCGATAGGTATGATCTTTTTCTGATGAGCGGACAGTTCTGACGAAGCCCTTTTTAAGGCAAGTAGGATCGCGTAGTCTGCGTTCTTTAAACCGATCGTCGCCGAACCTGCATTCAAAGCATAATTGTAATATATTACTTAGCGAATGTAAATAATAACTATTATTTGCAATAATGACCGAACGTTCATTGCATGTAAGTCGATGTTTAAAATGCCATGACCTTTTTTGCTACAAACCTTGCTTGACGGCCTCCATTGCATACTCCACCTGGTGCAGGCGGCCTTGTGGGCTCCACACAGTTACATCATTGTCATACTGATTTCGGTACATCTGCGAAGCGAGAGTAATCAAATAAACAGTCACAGGGTAGCAAATAATAAAACAAAAACACGTTTTATATATATATGAAAATATACACGGTCTCTGTATATATATTTTCTCCTAACAGAAATCTCGCAAAAATCATGTTAGAAGGAGGTATTCTGTCAACACACATCTGTTGCCTAGCACGTATTTATCTATTAGTATTCTCTACGAATTTCTCATGTGATGTGGCTGTCCGATAGGCACATATTTGTGCAGTAAAAAAGTCGAGATTCCGGCAGATTTCGAAATAACTTTGCGCCGTAAACAACAAAAAAAAAGGAAATTTAAATAAAATGCACGGCTTAAAAAATAAATCTTCATGTATCTGGAGTATTTTCGGGTTAGCTTTTACGTGAATAACGAGTTTCGCTCCTATCTGGACCCATCTGAAAAATTCTACAAAACTGAGAACTTGTATGTACGTACCGAGCATCTCGAATTGGTTTTTTTTGAAGCTTGATTTATAGAAAGAAAGCTATGGAGGCAACGACACGCCTGAGAATAGTCTCAGAGAAAAAGGAAATAGGCTACTGTAGAACGAACCAACATAAAAATTAAGTATGTCTTGGAGCGCTAAATAAACTACATTTTAAAAAGAAAATTTTCCCTATTTTATAGCACGCAAGTGATTATAATGCTCCGTACTATGGCTTTTAGGAAATGGTTGAAAGTGCTTGAACGGCATCAGCGTTTTTCTATTACTTATTTGCTAGTTTCTCTTGCCTAATATTTACGAGACACAGAAAGTTAAAACAAGTTTCACCTTGAGATGGCGTGATAAAATGAGTGACTTAACAAGGAAAAAGTACCACAGGGAGGTTCTGATAGCAATGGGGGTACGGAAAAGGCAATATCATTGTACGGGACAGCTGTTGAGGGGGGTTTCAAGATAATGAAAACAGGATAGTGGAAGCTTTAGTCAGAGAACCTAAACAATCGTAGCGAAATGAAGAAGGACTGAGTAATAAAATCAAAATGTTAATCTAGAATAATGGATAAATGAAGCAGGAACATGACAACGTGACTCGAACAATGCAACGTAGACTTTATTTGGACCGGCAGTGATCTCCAGAAGCGTACTGAGAAAACAGCAATATAATAAGGACAAGTGCTACAACAAAAGTAATGGAGACAGCGCAACAGAAAGTGGTGCAACAAGTCTGATATCACAATTTGAATTTACGCCGAGTTTCTGGACGAATTGGCGGGAAAAATCGTCTTGACTAGGCAGTGCGGAGTATGTACGAGAACGGGGCAAATGAGTCCATGAGGCTCGCTGCTTCTACCTATGAACTTCGAGCATGGGTCCATACTGCACATATGTAGTGCTGCTCATTATTAAACAGATCGAGTGGTTGTGTCCATTTCATTCATTTCGACATCCATACGTATTACTATCGCAGTGGTTGTTAGCTAAAAAGTAAGTTCGAATAAACATTCTAACCAGCTGATTTTCATGCCACTATAGTCGAGACATTTGTAAGAACTCAGCGTCATGATTTTAACTAGAGCAGATTTACGGAAAAACTTAAGCAAACACACCTAAATGAACGGTTACCCTGGTAAGAAAGGGGCTAAATAATGACATAAACAGAACTGATTCAACCAGAGATTTAGTTATTTCCTTTGTAGATCTCAGATATAGGTACACGTAAACTTAAATTCAGGGACCGGCTCAGCTTGTCACCTGCCATGTTATCACACACATTGAGCAAGTGTTGCGCGTTTTTCATATATCTATATAGAAAGTTCAGACACGACACCGGACAAGCCAGGTTTATTACTATCAAACTCACCTTTCTTTCGATCTTTTTTTTGCACACGCGAAGATACCGGTGTATAGAATCGCTTCAAGTAAAGTGCCGATTCACCGCTTTCACCTGCAGTTTTTGGAAAAATCAAAATAAACACTAGCATAAAAAATCAACCGCGTCATCATTTAGGTGCAATCCTTCGAAAATTCGCGAAATTAATGTATTCAGCACGAATTGTTTTCCTCATGATATTTATATTCCTGTTAAGATGATTAATGAGAAATCAAAGCTTCAACGGTCAATATTTTCATGTGAATGCTTATAACATGGATTAAAAACGCAGCGCGTCTGCTATCACAAGATGGCGACTCCCATAAGGAGACGGTTTTTGCAAACTTCGGTGAATACAACTACCTGTGATTTTCGGAAGTCATTCTGGTGAGTATTATATTTGTTATTTTCTGAGACTTTTACAAGAGGTGACCTGGAGCATGTCGAAGCGTGGTTTTCGTAACTGTCGCTAACTAAGCCATTTTGCGTATTTTGTAGAGTCCACTATTATATATTGAGTTCCTTTTCTGTGCTATAACAACTCCAATTCTATCTAGACATCAATTCTAAGGGAGTTAATGATAGCTGAATAAAGTAAATTGTTTATTATTTTATTGCAAAGATTGTATAAACAGAAAAATAAGTTCTCTTATGCAATCGCTTTTGTATTCCCTTAGAATTAATTAATAGTACAAGATATTAAAAACTACAATTTACCTTTTATTCTTTTTATTATAATTACCTCTATGTCTATATATATATAACTATAATTGTTCGACGATCTCTATTTTGTAAATGAACGTTAACGCACAGGTTTGGATTTTCAGAGTCAGATGGAATTCGACGAAACAACTGTTAAATCCTTATTGCAGCACCCTGATGAAGAGGTATTTTCAATATAAATGTATGAATTTGTTATGTTTAAACGCTTCCTGTGTATTAATGGTTTTCTCTTCAAGAATCTAACTCACTATTTTGGCGTCGAATTGCGCTCAGGGAGCGTGTGAAATTGAAAAAAATAATAATAATTAAGTGAACGAGAGTGATGTGCGTGAGCATTTCTTTTTGTCACGGAATTACGTAAATGAATTTACAGGTCTAATGTTAGCCAGTTGAATGATTACATTTTCCCTTTAGTAACAGCCTCTTTACCTGGCCATAATTCAACGCTAAAAAGTGTGTGAAAGTTGCGATAACTTTAGAAGCAAGGTTGCAGTAGGTTGTTTCGATGTTCAAATGGCAGTGTACAGCCAATTTAATAATTTAGGGTATAACATAAAAATAGCACTTTTTATTTGTACATATGGAACTTCCTGACGCAGATGTATATATGTAATGATACGATATAAGCTTGAACTTTTAAAATTTCAAGACTGGTATGCGCAATCGGAGAAATCGTCCAAGGCAGTCCTGCAGCGCATGATGCAACATGGTACCTGAAACGTATTATATCATATCTCGTTCAGGTGCACCTAGCCTACAACAAATGAAAACCGGCTACGATGTGATGAAAACCATGCATTGCAAAGCTTGTAACTATGTGTTAGTACGCCTTGTTCGGCCCTTTTTAAGATTCATTACCCATAGCTTCTGTATTTTAAAAGTCAAGATCGATCTACGCCATTTTTATTATGTACTGATGGACTTTGAACAAACAGAAGTGATTGGAAGCTTGAGTCTGGATCTCAAATCTTTACAGATAGCTGTATATCATTTAGAAGGTACATGTTTAACAATGAACGGTGCAGCCTCACGGCGCACTTTGAAAAGAAAAATTGAATTTGTTTTGTCCATAGAGTCACACGATGCAATTGTATTTTTCTAAATACAAATAAACTGTTCTTTCTTGGCAACCTTGAAGTATGTCATATCACTTCAAATACTTTGAAACGAATTGGATATGAGTCATTTTAGGGCTTGATTTGATTCTGTCGTATGGCTACTCATGTAGCCAGGACAGCCTCTTTGAGTTGCCCTTGAATGCTGAGCTTCCGTTTGCTCAAACACGGCTTACCACGTAGGTTTTCAGTCACGATTAGATGGAAACTTCTCGATTGACGATCCAAAAATGTAATGTCAGTTTCTCTGAACCATTATTTTACAATATTAACGGCGTAAACGGATGCAAGACTTGTTGGTGAATATAAGCACGACCCGTTTTTTGTAACTGTAGGATCTGGGAGAGCAGTACGATGCAGCAGGCTTTATCTTATCCACTGAAAGTATTTGGGCGTCTTGCTGCATTTCACAGCACTATTGAGCCTCCGGAAATGTTCCTATTCGGTCGTAATAATAGCTTTGAAAAAGGCCGAAACCGCTTAAACTAATTTTCATCTCAGAATATTACCTGAGCCAATAGTTTGATATGGTTCATCCATTATCGAGCACACTGCGGTTGGGCATCCTAGTGCCTGTTAATAGAAAATAAGTTTACTTCGATTTTTCCAAACTTTGAGTAAAAAGCGTTTTTGATTCCACGCCAAGTTGTGTATGTAAGGAGGTGAAAATTGGTGAGTCTTTTTATCTGAGCTTAAGAGACGTCACCGTTGGTGGTTTCACGAAGGCGAGTATGCCATTGTTGCCGTTTTGAGAATTTCCCTTACCCTTTTACTATAATATTGTACCGTGATGGTTGCCAGCATTTTGCTAACAAGCTGTTTCCTTAGCAACACTTCGAATGCACGCTTTGCAGCTTGCGCGCTAAACCCAGAAACTTAAGGTCAATCTAGAAATTTCTTCTTGAAACGTCAATTCTGGCCAACTCTTTGAATTTAGGGTGTTCTAAAGCTTTTATTCTATGATGTCCCTATTTTAGCATTGTAACGTTGCGAATAGGCGAACCGATTGTGTTTATGGCTGAAATACATTGAATAGACTGTCATTTCCATTTTTGTGGTACAGGTGTGCGTGGTAACCTGCATAGGGAAGGCTCGCATTGATGGTTCGTGCTCTAACCTTGCCAGTGATTCTAGGTTCTACTACGACATCGCCAACCGGTTAGTTTTTGCATGGCTTGAGAAACGACACCATGGCATTGTTACCACTGTTTAACTAAAAAATTCTTAATATACATTACAGGACCATTTACCTTTCATGTGAACTTTCAATTAAAGCGATGCCATTCCTTCACGTGAGCCATGTGCTGGTTTTTATATCCGATAGTAGTCAACTTGACGTTCAATACCTGCAATGGTTTCGCCGGTTGGATGCTGTCCGTCTCAAGAACAAAGATCAGCTTCAAAAGAAATTCGATCGTCCTTCCGGCAGGTAAGATGGAATCTTATAAGAAACCATGACGTCCATATAAATTTGTAACAAGTATCATAATGATAGCTTTTGTTGATAACTCTACACATGTAATTATGTTTAAGCAAGTTTTTGGCAGGATCTTAGTACTTGGACGTGATGATAAAAAAGTATTGATAAAAACAGCTCCCAAACCAAGCATACTGAAATTAAGGGTGATCTAGCGAGCGAGGTATATTATAGTTTTTAGATAAAACATCACCAAATGCATCTAATGATGCCGACTGAATTACAGATACTGCTCACCTAGAGCCCTCTTCGTACTTAGAAAACCACTGGAAGATGCCAAAGGTTTCGAATTTAACATGGAGGACCTCATTTACAGGTTCGTACTACACTCATACTGCAAAACAGATGTAATATAGATTTAACAATAGCATATATTGTTGTCTTATAGGTTATACATGTTCTAACGTTTTTGGAAGTTGTAAATCTCCTCTGTTCCATCTCTGCCTCTTCAAATGATTTTCTGTTCTACCACTGATAACAAGGTCATATTAAGTCCCAGTGTAAAAACGTTGAAAATTAGAAAAATAATCAAATAAAATTTTCATGAAAGCTGACACGATAACTCTTTTAATTAAAAATCTTCATGGCTTTGAGCCTCTATGACTCTTATTCTGTAATTATTGTTATCATATATTATAAGCGCAAAGATATCGTTAAATAATGGCTCTAATATTCTTTAGATGTAACCAAATCAAAGTCATAGATATATGCACTTTGCAGATACAATGAGCCGCCTTCATTTTCAGTTTACAACACTGCTTGCTTTTTTCCATGTCTGTATCTCAAAAGGCATTTAGCACACTGGAATAATTTATTTGGCGATTCTGCTCTATTTTGTATGTCAGGCTTCTGGTTGACGATCTTTAGCAAGTGGCATCAATTTTAGGTGACCAGTGATGTGTGTCAATAACCCATAATGCAAAAAGACCACTAGGCTGAATTATCATTTCCTATCTTCTGTTGTTTATTGTTATTTATAATCAGAACGCTTCGACGCAGTAGGATAGTCACAAATAATTGCGGCAATTCGCTATTTGCCGTACCCATGAGCCGCACCTTTGTGCATGTTGGTCATGAGCACTGTATGGAGTTCATCGAAGGGCATACGCGACTGGCTTTTAAGCAAGGCTTCAACGACAATGTGGGACGAAACGCCGGCGTGGCGTACTTCCGGCTTGCTCAGCTCCACCGCTGGGTTGATGTATTTGAAAAAATGGTCCATTTTTTCCGCAACGTGAATGAGATTGACATTGATGCAAAGTTCAGCGAAGTACGATGTTCGAAGGCGTATCCAGTTGCTTTACAGGCATACCATGACAACCTACCGCCATACTACGATGAATTTGTACATCAGGCGAAAGTTGCCTACGCATTAAAGGTATTTCGTGCAAAGGCGAAGGGACCCACTGTTCAGCGTCTGGCGGAAGAGCTGCGCAGGGAATGTGAGGAGTTTTGGAAAAGCGGACACGAGACCTGTAAGGAAAAAGTGAGTCTGCGTTTATTCTCAGCTATTATAATAATTTTGTCTTCTTTATTGCTTTTGTCTACACCTCCTGAAAATTCAATTTCCAGAATAGTAGCTGCTTGTTCTTTAAAAATGTAGAGCATGATGAAAATTAAAAGGACCTTCTGTGTCTTTATAAAAAGTGACTGTCTTTACATTATCGAATTAGTACTAGTGAACAATTGAGTAGAGCGAAATTCAAATTCTATTTCAAAGAAGTTTTTGTACAAAATGGTTCTCCCGTGAAGTGAGCTTGCTTGTCGGCAGCACCTCCAGTACCATGATTATAGTCAAATAGATGCTAGATGTTTGATACTATACAAAACTTACGGTAAGGCGGAATTTAGTAGAACTGGAATCTGAGTCAAGATCCGTTTCAGTTTTCCCTAAATTTCCCTAGAAAACATTTCCCTAAATGTAATAATCGTAATTGTTGTAATTTTACTTTTCTACTATAATTTTATGCAACTTTGAACAGAGTTTGACAGGACACGGATGTGGAAAGCCTATTCATGCAACTGGAGAACATCTCGCGCGCGTTCAGTTTCTCTCGGTGTGCAACTGTGGCCGTTCGCGGCACGTTCGAATGGATCCTTTTTCCTTGATCCATGCCAATTTCAGCTTTTATGAACGGCCCGATTGTTGCGCAGACCTTACACCTGTGATTTTTGCTTCAAAAGACGATTCAGAGGCTGATATGACTTGCAGTGAGACGCCTATTCCGCCAAAATTCCCATCGTGGAGCTGCGTCTGTTTAGGTCCATCCTCAAGATATTCACACAAGGTGAGCCACATTTTGAGAAATGATTGGGGCCTAAAGCTAGTCAATTTTTCTATATATTTTGTCAACAATTATACCAGTTAATGGTTTTTTTTTCAATTATGGGTTACCGAATGGTGTGTTGTAGTTCCTATCAGCAATAAACTATACATTCGTTCAAGCTTATTCATAGGCAGTTTTATTTCAGGTGGGTATTACTGACCAACAAGGGTTTTTCTCTGGTAGCAACTTCTTACTGCCTTGGGATGTCAAGCTTGATTTTCCTCGTCTACTTAGCTCGGGTGACTCACGGAAAAGTAGTACACGAAGTACAAAAATTTTCATAGGATTGGAGTACGAATGCCCCAAAGGTGATCGCTTTATGCTGTCTGCGCCCGACACCATGCTTAGGTTTGTGTTGATAAATTACAAGCTTCTCTAAATACGATTTCTTACATGACTTATATCACGTTTATATTAATAGACAGATGAATGTATGGAAAGCATGAAATCCATTGACCTCTTTTAGGGTAAGCGTACTTGTTAATGGCCTTTACGGATATGATAAGTAATCATTAGGTTCATAAAAATTACAACCATTCTATAGGGGAAGACTGAGCCAGCTATCATTTCAGCAGTATGCAGGTTGATGTAAGAAATACTAACCATGTCGAATTTAAAAGCATATAAACTAGAGAAGCCTGGTTCAGGCCTTTCATTGCAACCAATGCTGTTGGCAACATTTCTTTGGTAGTTTTATTAACCACACTTCCTGTAAGTAAAAACATAATAATTCCAACACTTACAAGTATCTGCATGTACGTACATCGCACCCTGCTTAAGATACCGTGTAATAATTTCTTTCAGATCATCATCTTGCGGCTTGGTCAAGGAGACCGCTAGCAAGATCGTGGGATCAGCGATGCCGTTGTACTTTCCATGCCCTTGCGCACTGAAGGCGCATGCGCAGCTTATGCGGTTACACGTGGTTACTCCGAAGTTAGCCGTTGATGTGACTGTTCAGCCGAGGGTTCAACCGGCCCCGTCGAGCCCTGTCTTTTACCCCCTTGAAGCAATCACTCTCACTCAAAGCTCGTATTGGGTGATTCGCCTACCATACGTATACAAGAATAAAGGTGTTGTGTATCGGCCACCAGATGGTACCCCATGGGGTGTGGAATCGGCCAGACTTCTCGGAGGTACGTTTAGCGTTGCTACCGGGAGACCGTCGTGAGCGCGGCTCGGAGTAGACGATGATGAAAATAACTTCGATATGTGACATCTTAGCCGATAAAGAGCGATGCTCATTAGCGTCGATCTGAAGGCAATCTAATAAGATGTTTGTCCTTAATGACTTGGAGCCGTCCTACTGCGTGGCTAAGCAGTATAGACATGCGCATCACTACAATTTGCTGTTTCAGTCAGCAAATTTCCAGTGAACGGTACGGTCAAGATCTAGCACAGTACCAAACAAACCACAAGCACGCAATGCATCCCTAAAAGACAGGCGGAGAATGTCGTTGTTAATATAAACCTTAGCGATTAAAGCTGGCAAAGCGTTAGTAAGACTGACTCAGCTTCTTGGCCCCGTGGTAAAAGCCTTTTAACATCCGAAGCAGTTTTTTTGTTTGACTATACTGCGGTCGATTGAAATGACATTTAGTGGGTGCATTGGGCGCATATTATATGTACAAAATTATTTTGTTCTCCGGGCCTTTACAGTCAAGACAATGTAAAGAAATCGGTATCTTTTAAAGATGAGTACGTCTCTAGAAAATGAAAAAAAGCTGTATCTTTTTTTATTTCTGAACTGGATTCAAATATGTTGGGTTTAAGTAATTCATCTGAAAACGACGTCACAATAAACGATGTGTATGCTAATGAAATAATTAGCAGTAATGTTTGCTATTGGCATGAAATCCCCTATTAAATATGCGAACATGAAGCGGAAGGATAAAGCAGGGTGTTAGATGTAGTCCAACAAGCACTGATACAAATAATACATGAATGTCAAGGTTCTCCCATTACTTCTTCCGCGCAAAACCCGTCAACAACTCTTAAGCATTACTATTAGTACTGTTTTTATTGTAGATGAAGCCAAACTATCTGTACAAAGAAGTTAGCGTAATTGTTGAAATGCACTATTTGAAATACGTTCAAATAGAGCGAACTTTAAGAACACTCACAATGCAGCCGTTTTCTAAATTAAATTTTATGCTGCTCAGTTTATCCTCCCCTTGATATTACTTTAAAGACCAGTTCTCTAACAGACCTTGATATGCTGAGTTCCCGGTACTTTTTTTAGCGCGTCGTCTCAACCATATAACAACATAACCGCCAGGCAAGGTAGAGCCTTTTGCTGAAGTTCTTGTAATATGATTTTTTAGACGTGTAAAACACGTAGCAATGACGAGCTACTCGTGATATCAGAGTGTCAGCTGGTTCAGGATAAGCCTAAATTCACCACCTGTTTCTAAACATATTTATAATACGATTCTATCGACTTCTTTTCAACAAGTTTTGGGCAGGCCTTCAGATTATTGACGAGGATTAGCACTGATCTTAGGTGCTTAGATGCTTATAGTGGTTTAACTGTTCCGCACTTTTATACTCAATGTGCAACGATTATATTCAATATGTCGTTCTAAAAGCATTTATAGAACTTAATACTTTATTTTTGTCCTTTTTCTGCTATGTACCGTAAGGCATTCCGGCATCTCCAAATAGTCGAATTTTACTACCTTTTTACATTAATAGATAGAAAATGAATAAGTCATGTCATTAGTAAAAAGCGTTTTGGCATATATATGGGGCAGTAAATTGGATTCGACAACTCGTTTAGCGAGGCTGGAAAATCTAGGAAGCAGAGGTGCAATATAGGGTGCTTAAGAAGTTCCCAGCAAATTTAATATTTCTCTTTGTGGATCCGTAAACAGGCCGGTAGACCGTCCAGCGATAAATACAATAGCGTTTGCTATTATATTATTCCAAACAGTCGATTGGAAAAGCGTTTGTTTTTCATGAAAAGTGCTTCAGAGAAAAATAATTTAACTGTAGAACTAAGGATTCCATTACAGGGACACTCCATGAACGACTATGGCTCATTTTTGCCTGAACCGCTATGTAAATAAACAAAATGATCGCCTCTCGACTCAAAGAACACTATAAAATAAGTGTTGAATAACCACTTAGGGTCACTACTTGTTGTCGCTTGTAGAGCAAAGATGTCGCTGCTTTTTTTTTTTACTGGAAGTGACAGTAGAACAGCAACAATAGCCGATGGCGATATGGGGCAACCATACAGAGTAGGAAACTCTGCGTAAAATCATGCTCCTAGGCCGACATACGTCGCTACACTGCAGTGACGTGACGTGGCTGCCCAGGTCGTATGATTTGCTGGTGGTCCATGAAAACAATCCACGGTTTTCAATCTAAAGTAAAAATCAAACATTAATCACGATGTCAAGTCACATAATTTTTCTTTATTTACACACTATTTACATGATATCTATATCTCAATCCACGCTTGTTGAGTTACACCTCGTTGAATAGAGCTAATCAATTGGAGATTAACAGTAAGCATCTACTATATTGTAATAATCGTGTCATTATAAATGCGCCATGGCGTTAACTTCTATTCTCATCGCCATCACAACACACACCCACACATGTGCTTATTGTTACAAGCAACATCGACTTCAGGCTCGGCGTCATTATTACGTAACAGCCGTCGTTGTGATCACACACCAGTCCCCGATCCCCAATTGTTAATATTGTTATTCTTATTACATGTTGCATGCTAAATACAATATATCGTCGCCGTCCTCTCCATTATATCATTCTTTTTCCTCACCGAGTGATTCTCATTCGCAAAATAAAATAGCATCTAACCCATCATCCTCGCCTCTTATGTTGGGCTTGACGTGTACCACATCCATCTAACATTTCGAAAATGAAGGAACAATACCAACGACCTTCTGTGATACTTACTATTGGTATATCACCGCATCCGCTCCTTCCTAACCAATCTATTTAATCTAACTCTCACTCAATTTAATTCAGTTACAATAATGTCCTTTGTTCGCCATCGATTTGCTGGGTCTTTTTCGTCCTATAATTGAATAACTTTGGCCTTCATCACCGTCAATCATCAGCATGGTCATCGATCATTTTGCTTTTCGGTTATGCGTTATAGTATGTATCATGTATTTTATTTTCATAATCATATAACACAAGATGCTTTCGAGAACCAATCACTGCGTGTTAGGTGTGGTGGTCAAGACTAATCAACAAACCACTTATCAAGTCGATTGTGATACACCAGAAGCGCCTCATATTGGATAACAGGTGAAATGGCGAGTTGACCCCGCGCGTTATCTGACCAAATATACGTTAAGGAAACATTTTATCCCATTAGGACTGCAGATTTGACTTCGTTGTGACACACCCGTATGGCAGGGTGATAAAGCCTTATAGTGCGGGGCCACTGAAGTATGCTGTGTACTTCAGCTACTACTACGTAACATAAAAAATTACTTCTCTCATGAAATTGCTGTAATAACGGCGAAATGAATTTGTCCTTGCATAGTTACTTACCATCATACATCGAAAATAAAAACTAAAAGGCATTTTGTGGGCACATATTAAGCTGACGAGTTGGATTCGTTGAAATGACGAGTCGAATTTTTGAAGTTAATTCCAGATTTCTCACGGCAGCCTACGTGTCAGCCGTTAAGTTCTCTTTAGGAGATGGTTGAAGACAACTACGAAATGACGAGCCAAAGGACAATGATATTATTACAATTTTTATATTTCATGCACACCTTTATACATTATCAAATAAATATTTGGACACGCTTTGCACACTTCACTGGAATTCAGAACTTACCATCCAGTCCACCAAGTCTCCCATTTCGAGTCTTTCAATAAATTTGATGGGGTAAATCTTGTAACTAACGATTATAATATAGCTTTTTCGTACAGGTCTCAAATTATGTCATGTGCAACTATGGCTATGGATAAACCCGATGGCTGTCGTTGTCCAAACAACATGCGAACAGAATGAATCATACCATAATATGGAACTAAACGTTTGTTTTATATACTAGCTGGAAATCAACCAGCTGAAATCGGTACTAAAATTGCTATCGTGTGTGAGAAATGTTATGTGGTACTGAAGAGCAATTACCGACATTACCATGTTCATTATTATTACTAAAATGACGTTGTGTATTTCCTCTTTGAGGAAAACGAGCAATCTCGCTGTTTTTTTTTTTTTTCGTATGTACGTCCGCCACTCGCGCTTCATTACTCTTGTAGTCAGTAAGCATGATATCATGAGGCTTACGGTTACCACTTCGTGGCTATATTAGAGCCAGTTTATAAACAGATAGTGACTGATTCCGAATGTAGCAACAACACCATTTTGTCAAGTATTAATTGCCTTCATGATGATAACATTAATTTAAGCCATTAGAAACACTACCAATGATTTTCCGCTGCGTACCACCTTTCCTCGTGCGCTTTCTAGCAATGAGATTAATCACCGTTAGTAGAAGAAGACTAGAACCAGACTGCTCCAGATTTAATATGCTTCCCTTTTCAACGGTTCTTTTAACAGTATTTTCGTAACCGAGCTTAAATCTGACTTTTAGTTAGATCATGAAAAAAATCGATTGACACTTAATACTAAACCTACTCACGCGTCTTTTATATCTAATGTTACCATGCCAGGTCAAAATGAACAATCCTTGAAAAGAGTTATTACTTTCACAACTAAACGTAGATTCTCAATGGTGTAAAGTTTTATGGCAGCGTACTAACTTTTAGATATGTAAACTGGAAAAAAAAATGGCAAACCGTTAAACTGATCGGTAGTGGTAGGTTCAGTACTAAAAAAACACTGTTGGAAATTATTTTGCCGTTCTCGTTTGGTGACACCTGCTTAATTAAAATTCGTGGCTAATTTCAACTGCATGTCATAGATAAAATAATCAAAATATCAAGCACATCGAGTAGCTAGAACACGTGCATGGTGCACAACCTAAATATTTGATTATGAAAATCTGCTCTTTGTAGCTTCTATCAATGGGCATTCTTATCTATTTTCATGACACAAAGTCAGTCGCACGACTTTGCTCTTACTTTCTCAGCCATTTTCGATTTGTGTTAGCATAGAGGGCGCTCAATATCACGTATGAATACGTAAATAGTGAGCGCGGTTTCTAGTAATTTCCTCGTCTACCGAGTTGCTGTATCAATGTCGTTTCAGTTACTCTGCGGCCCAGTGATTCACTGGCCATTTGCCTATGAAAGAAAACTGATAATGTTTGTAGAATATAAAGAGTACCATGAGCGGCATGAATGGATAACTTATGTGAGCAGTTCTCCTCATTCCTTCCTAAGCTTAATGATTTTAACCCTCTTTAGCCTCTCCCTCAATCACACCATTGTCGGGCAGTCTTTTCTTCCCGGGTATACATATATATATATATATTCTCGTTCTAGGCTCTGATACTTTTTCAGAGACCCCGAGACCTAAGGTTTCACTTGTGCTAGCCCGGTATATGTCTATATATGTCTGCCCAACTAATAATAATACATAGTTGTACTATCTAAAGCAATCAGTTTGCTCCACGGCTCCTCACAAAAGTATTACGGTTGTATGTACAATGCGTTCTAATCAACAAAACGATTCACTGCAAAAAATCGATACATTTTGCTACGAGGCACAACGACTATATTTTTGTTTTTTCGTTACGATAATTTAACTGTAAAAATAAAAACGACTTACAGCCGAGTGGCTAGAAATAAAGGATGATCAATGTCAAAATATAATAACTAGGCGGATCGAAACTCACCTTGGACACAACATAAAGAGAACGAACTGTAGTTCATAAACCGAATAAGCTGAGCATGTCTGCCTTCTCGGCGATCTTCACATGTACAGGCGGTCTAAACTGTCTCGCCTGACTTGTGTTCAACGTGATCAAAATAAGGTGCCACTGCGTAAATTCACCAACTTCTAATTAAATTTTCCCACACATTTCACATGTTCGCTTCAGAACAAAGGTATTTTTACCTCAATTATTCAGTGTGGGTTCCACACCATGAGTTGCCTATGACCTATTTCTATGAACCCATTGCGGATATTTAGCAAAGACAAGGCAAGTAGCTTAGGAGTGCTTTACCACGAGTTCGCATAATGACGGTCTTCGTTCAGTAAATCTAAAGGATTCGTCCACATTAGACACCATCAGAATAACAATCAAAGCTAGATGTACTTAACGGGATGGCGTCTAGTCACCTTACAAGGTTTACTGTTACTGTTTTTGCAGCATTAAGAATTCGACAAGTTCCGATGTGATAAGCTTGTAGCAGTGTCAAGCTACTAACATAATAATGCCAAGGGAGAAAAGACACCGGCAACGTGCGTGAGATCTAAAAATCGTTATTGTTATATCCAACCCGCTCCATTGAGTGTCACTCGGTGCTCGTAAACTTGCGGAACTTTCTGGGAGCACGGTTCCGAAGTATAACACAATCGCATCGCATTATTGTATATATCCTTTGTTTCTATCATACATCGATAAGAGCCCACGGCGTATACAGCCCGGTTCACTCGACCTAAACCCCAGCTCCTCCTTCGACATACCTTGCCACATTTACAGACAGATTTTTCTCCCGCTTACTTTTCCTTATTCCGTATAGAAACGTGTATACGTTCTGTAAATACCGCGCCCAGCCACGTTGGCCATACCGTGTCTCTTCGTTGCTCTACAGTAATATAAGTCTGCTCTTCCTCGCTTCATTTTTCTGTCTACTAAGCCTCTCGTGTCCCGTTTCTCTGTCTCCTTCAGCTAAAATATATATATATATATATATATATATATATATATTATACTGGCCCTTGTTTCCACTACGCTTAGCCCTCTAATGTTAAATCTGCGCTCCTTTGATAATTTAAAATATTATGGATTACAAATAGTGGCCAGCAGCAGCAGAAGTGTAGATTTTACTATGATGGTCAATCAAAATTGATCATCATCTCATCGTTTCTACCTCTACTAACTACTTCTACTATCTCTATTACATTGAGGTATCTTTTTGCTCCTTTTGTCTGTACATTCGCGTTTTTTCTTAGATTTTGTTCTGTGTACGGGTGTATATTGGTGATGATGACACGTGCGAGTAGAAGAAAAGCTCTGGTTATTTAGGGCGCATCATCGTTATTTGCGAAGCGCTTGCAAGTGTCGTTACTTGTAATGTTAAAGAACCCAAACATAGATCATAATTTTCTGTATCACTAAATATCATGATACCTGATAGAACAGATGTAGATACATTGCATAAATCTGGCGACTTATATTGATGATAGTCGCCGTAGTAAAAGAGTTTTTCAAGCATCCCATGACGGTTTAGTTATATCTATTTAAACTCGTCCAAAGGCACCCACACACTGCCAAACGCTAAGATCAATCGTATGTTCAATACTAAAAGCATGAAGAATATAATTTCTTTTCTGTGTCATAATTACAACTTTGCTTTTACTGCTTGCTTACATCTCGCAACGCTTCTCTCATAAAAGAACTAATAGCGATGACGACGACGATCGATGGAAATCGTAATAATAATATATGCTTATGAAATCCTCCGCCATCTTTGTTTTTTTTGCCTCTATTGGTCGAATCAAAAATTAAAAGAAAACAAAATCGTAACCGCCACCTATGTTGATACTGCGTCCAGATTTTTTAGATTTGCCTGGACAACTGCTTATGGCAGTTGGTTGTTTTGTTTTTTTTTTAAAACAAACGTTTTTAATTAATGCCATCTACATGATTTCCCTTACTAGCACTATTATAATTTATCGTCGTATCGTTCTAATATCATCATCTTGGGTAAATATATTTCGCGGAGCACGCGAACCGGGTGTGGTTCGTTTTAGGACTCAATGGATGCATACAGTCCATCCCACATATTAGTTACAAGAGACAGCAGACTGCTGCTTAACTACACATAGTTATAAAATAAAAATAAGAATGTAATATGTAATCACAGAAGTCACCGTCGTGCCTTGCCGATGCTGCTGTTAGTCTTGACGTTGACATGTCACCCCCCAAACACCAGCCACAGCGAGGACCGGAGCCGCTCCTTTTTTAGTCCATAAAAGCGGCTTCGGTACAAAAGTATTATCTTTATCGAACTTGGTCACCATCGGCAGAGTTGACATCGATGAATACACAGACCGCACTGCTATCATCTCAAACCAGAAGTATCTTCTTTCATTTAGGACTGAGTAGTGCGGTGCAGACCTCACTGGAACGGCACGAGATAGTCGTCGAATAGATCGGTAATTCCCTCTCCATCTGCCAATGTGAAGTTAAAGTCTTCTTCTGAGAGGGTTGGCTGCAAGTTGACGAAGGGTGTGATGAAGCGGGAGACCATTTCATCCGTTGGTGATCTAAAAATTAATTTAAACAGTGATACACAATACAAGTTAAGCCCTCTATTTATTGACGAAATGGACTAAAAATCAATTGCAGAGCAGCAGATAGCTACGACAAAACTTTGCTAGTATAGGGAAACGTATTCTTTCCTCAAAAATACCATACTGTCGAACGTAGCGACCTAATGAGCGGCCGTGCGAATGAGCAGTATACATGTTACGCAGTTTAGTTGAAAGTTACGTTTTAGCATCTAGATACGGTAAATATTCCAAACAACACCCCAGTCCGGTATCAACATATAAATACCATTGTTATCGACACGCTGCTCCCATGCTTAATATATCGTCGCTAAGCTTTGACATTGAGTTCTGCGTCAAACCCTCTCGTTCTATCGGACTAATAGGTAATGTAAGCGAATCACCTCGCTTCGCGGCGAAGATGCACATCCATTGTTTCGTATGACTTTAAGGTGTATTTAACACGATTACTGCAATGTGTTTCCAGCATTTTCTAATAACTATCATACCCCTTGACAGACTGAATCTACAAATACTTGTTTAGTGCGTACATTTCAGTCCACTTACTTCTACGTTTTTTTTAGCTACGGACAAAAAACAGGAAACAAAAACAGACCAACTATGGCCCTGTAGCATTGAACAACCGATGCTTTTTACTTTAGATTCAGGTAGTCTAGAAAACAACCTTAGTCAGGCGCTCAATTAAACCTCCTGTTAGAAACTTTGATTGCGCTACTCGGCCACTTCATCGTCGTGCTCTATTGATATTAACAATAGCCAATTTTCAACGTCGAACAGTGAATAATTGGAGATGCGGACAGGCGCGCGCGCGCGCGCGCACACACTCACACACACAAGCACACACATACACATACACACACACAAAAACACACACACACACCCACGCACGCTCACTCGTATTATAACACCTAAGTTACACAGTCGCTAAGCAAACATTTTATATATGACACTTGCTCATGCTAAACAACAAAAACCACAGCACAGTAACTATATCAACAAGCCAAACGGCACGATAGATATCGTTTCTAAGCCAATGACCGTTCGTCACTCGTTGTGGCTAACGAAAGTTATTTATTAGTTACATTTTCTCGCTGGTCTAAGGATTTGTGATTAAAGGGTGTCCTACCCTCCTGTTAGAAAATGATCTAAGCTAACTGAGGTTCGATCCAGTCACGCATACGCGTCTCGCTCACCAATGCGCGTGCGCTAACAATCTCAAAGTTCGGAGAGTCAGCAGATTAGATGGAGCCGTTTTATTGTTTTAATGCGTAAAAAAAATACGTTTTATCGATTGTTTGTTCATGAGCCTTCTGCTTTTTGCAATATAGCACATATCTAGCACGAAAAAGAGCAATGTAGCGTGTGGGGGCACAGCATTTTAAGCCAACATGATAGTGTTAGACGAAGTTACTTTGAGACTGTGCGCAACATAAGTCCGTTAGGTTCTATGGCTTTTTTGATTCACTCTACTAGTAGCACATAGCATTTATAATGGCATGAACAAGGACTAACTTCAGATTCACAATCTCACTTTTTAACTTAAGCGATCTGAAGGCCAGTAACTGACCGTGCAGCTTTTGTGCTTAACCCTCAAACCGCAACTCTTACAATACTATCTTCACTTATTAGGTTCAATGACCAGGCTCACTAACATTTCTGCAATATAATGTTCCTGAGATATAAATACAAGACTACAATATAAATAATCATAATCAACAAATATTACTATGTGGATGCCTCTTCGTATGTACAACAATAACAAAACGTCAGGCTTTTTATGAACCTTGTGGGAAACTGTCTACAAAGTTGTATCAGCCATCTCTTCCGTCCATCTTGTACAGGAAATGTAATACATGGTACCCAGGAACACTTGTCGTGTTTGCTAAAAAATGAAGCGTTATCTTATTGATGAAGGGAATTTTTTCTAACTCTACTCGGAGCTCCGCTACTTAAAAGTTTATAAGAAAATCAAATCCTCCGGAAAAAGGGTCCAGTTAACTTTCTTGTAAGCTGACGTAGTGTCGAGGGCATAGAGTCGCTGGTATTCTTGATAATACCTTAACAGGGGACATATTCTTATCGTAACTTGATAGACCAAACACCTACCAACCAGTGTCAGGAAATGCCAAGGACTCAAAATTTTGTCGGCTGTATACTTTGACAGTAAAGATACCCGTGCAATAAGCTGTCGTTGGTTAACACCTACACCAAGATTTAAGCGTTAGCCAATTAACTAAGTTAATATATTTCAATCCTATCTACTTGGGTTAGCATTTGGTCCCTTCAGTTATGAGCAGCACGGAGTGATGAGTGGCAGATCATATAGCAAAGTCCTTGACAAAAAATCTGCCGTAGTTGATAATCTCGAGTGACTCACATTTGACCTGGGATACAGCTGGTTCGGTACGGTAGTGGATCATCGTCCAGAAGATTTGTAGCTGAAGTTCCAGCTGAAAAGAGATTAAGACGGTGGAATCGAAAAGACAATTAACCAACTGGCTGTGATTATATCATTGTTGAAATTAGCAGTCCTTGTAGAATATTCGATACTAGCCTAAAAAAAGCTATCACCTTCTATGCGAACACCTAAGGAAAAATCAAACGACGTATTGAAACGTATTGATTCTTTTTGATTTGTTAGTTCAAATCTTATGCTGTATAATTATTAAACTCCATATAAACTGCGGCGTCTTCTCACCTTGGTCGTGTGACGTCGTATCAGATGTAGTGACCGAAGATGCTGTAAGGCTGTATTCTGGCGCAGTGTTTTCGCTCGTATCACTAGCAGGGTGGTTGTGACCCATGCCGTCCGCCGAAACGAACACCTCTATAGGTCCTCTATCACTCCGTAAGAACATTTGAATTTTGTCATGTACGTCAGGCACCTCAAGCTTTGTATCTGGCGGTGCTTTAATAGCTACCACGGTCTGATCACGTAACGAAGGTATATTTTGCATATCTGCGTATGTCACGTAACCCCACTGCTTTCCATCAGTATCAGTTATCTTTTCGAGCTCACTTGCGGCTGATTTAAGCAATTCATCAAGCATGTGTTCCTTATTCTCTAACTCCTTCAGGTCAAGCTGTAGTTGAGCACCCTGCCGTGAAGATCCTTCCTCATTTTGCGGCTTCCAGCGAATGACGTTCTTCTGCTTTTTTTCGATTAGCCCGATACCTTCGAGCACGTTTGTAATGTCGTATATTCGCCGTTTCTGCACAGATAGAACTTCACTTGCCTGATTCAGATCCACAAGTCCGTCTTGAGCGGCACGAATAAGGTCGATAAACTTGCGAGTAAGTTTACCTAGGGACGTATCCACACGACCTTCACGTGAGCTCAACGATGGAAGTAGCAAAGAATTCTGAAAACCAATTAAAACGCATACATTATTTGCATAGGGTCAAAGGTTAAAATGTCCAAGGCCACGCGCAAACTGGGGCCGGTTTGTAATTGTGAATGTTGTTATTAATATATTTTTCACCGGCGGGCTTTGCTCACGCCTGTGTCATTGTTTCAAATAAATCTAAACATCGGATTGAGTTATTTGAAATGTTCGCACGACTTCGGATTATTTGTTACGAACCAACTTGGCAACTAAATACCTCAGATAATTTAAAAGGTTAAACTAATCTTTTAATTTTCTACGGTTATCTTAAAAAGGCTCAGATTTCTGGAAAATGTCACAACGAAAAAATTAGACAACCGAGGTTCGTAACATCCATTCAAAGCTAAACCTGACTGTTATACAATAGTATTAATAACGAAATAAAAAAGTCTAAATTAAATGCATAGAATTTTATATAATATAATACGTTTATCGCCGCTGGCATCGTTCAGCTTCAGCGAATTAAATGTGTTATTAGCTTGAATGTGTACTCAGTTGATGACAGTGTGCTCTACTAATGAAGGAATTTTCCGTTTCTGATAGTTCCACATGTGAAAATAATTTATCTTAGACAAATACGAGTTTCTTCGCCTAGTTTTATTTCCGCGTTAGTGAAGTATTTTACATAGCACTACTCTATGATCGTTCTCAACCTCGACAGAGGTCTGTGGTACACCCATTGGTCAATACCTACATGTAATCACACGCTGGTTCTTATTCTCTGTGATTTCACGTGATAAGAATTTCCGTGATAAGAACGGAAAAATCGGTGGATATAACAAAATACAAATTTATCTTTTATCTCCTCAAGATAGTAGCGGAGTCGATTGCGCTCTTCTGGATACCTCTTTGAACGTTTCTCAAACCTGCAAAGGTCACGGTCAAGGAGCTACCAGAAATGATCAGAAAATGCTCGCGCTTAAAATTATCCAAGCCTACTGCATTGTTAACACAAATGCAATCTTGCTCCTGGCAGGCACCATTAAATAGGACCTGAGAGGTGAAGAAAGGCGCATGCTTTGGCATGATTCGATGGAAGACAAGGTCCTAAGAATAAGCCAAGAAGAGTTGGAGGCGATGCCTAATTTTACCCCGTCACCGACAGAAAAGGACATTATACCCAATACAGAAAGCTGGGTTGCACATCCTGATGCAGAGCTCACTACCAAACGCAAATTCTCACGGATCACGAAGTTTTTCAAAGCCATTGTTACAGAATTAGTAAAGCCCCATCGGAAGTCTGTATCCTTTGCACTGCATCTTTGGAAAACACGGGACACTGTACAACGCTTACACGTACGAAGAAGATACGTGACAAGAGAAATTAAGTTGTTTTTAGAAAACGATGTGAAGGGGTTTACATCCTTTATTATCCGATTCCAAGAAAATCAAGGGATGGATGAGAATCTGGAAAAAATATCATTAAAAAAACTGCTCGTGGAGTTACGAATGAGCAGCACTGCAGACTATGCTTTATCATGTTCAATCAATCATGGTCATACGCTAGTGCAGGGAGTTAGCCTGGATCCTAGTGAAAAGCCTGATCAGGGCGACTTCACCCTGATCATCCAATGGCGCAAACTGCTCCCCGCTACCAGCCTCTATCTCTGTCGAATGATTTTGGTCTGATTTGCAACCTTGAAAGATGAATCTCGCTAATCCGTACTCGTTTCGACGGGAATAAATCCAATTGGCAGGGCTGAGCCTCACATTTGGCCCACGTAAGATAGGCGTTATGATCTAGTGATGCCGGTGCCACGTAAACTGAATCACTTTCCCTTCACTTGTAGTATATACGAATCGACGACGTCAAAATGTGGAGCAAAGAAAATAACACGAATGAATAAATCCATTCCTTATAAACTATTACACAATGTGTCAAAAACCTAGGATTGAAATCAACTTGAGCCCTTCGCCTTTAATTTCTACTTAACTTTGATGGAAGCACATGAAATTGATTATAAGTAGATAAGGCAAATGTTTTTCAGTATCATATACAGCATTTACCTTGGAACCGCCACCTTGTTCATCCGTAGTCAAAAAAAAAGTTGTCTTGGTTTCATTAATTCGACCATCCATTAGCTGTACCCTTATTCTTATCATGAATTACACCATTTTTCTCTTAACCCGGCCTTAATTTGCGTTTTAAACCGACACAGCAGTATCACGTACATGTCAACTTTGCCGTACAATCGGACACACATGCACCTTCCTTGTGTATGTGCACCTTCTGGCATTCATACGTATAGTATTGAATAAAGGATCACCTCATTATGATCTCTACTACTGCGACTAGGTCAGGTCAAACTGATTATTGCCTCGGCATCTTTCCACAAGGGTCGTACAGAACAGAATCAGTATTATCTAACTAATGTTGGCTTCGTGGTACTCTTAAAGTATACCTAACACGTGATTTTCGGTGAGCATTATATCTGCAAATTACTAGCATTGCGACTTAAAAAAGTGGCAATGCTAGTAATAAGTAGTGGCTTCAGACTATTCACGACTCTTACAAGCAAATATAATCGTCCTGGTAGCATCAGTTCTTCTCAAACTACCATCTTTCTTTCAGTTGTACGCAAGGGCAACTGAAAAGGTGTCATAATATTTAAGTAAAGTACAGCCAAAAACTGTGAATGCAAATTACGGAAGTACAAAAAACAATTATGAATGAATTAAAAAAGTATTAAATGTATATACTGTGTAAATTGCCTAGGGGCATACTGACTTGCATGGAGATGGAAACACTACGCTGGCATAATGTAATAATTGCTCCTTTACTGAGAGTAGCATTTTCTTGCTATGCAAACGCTTGATTTATATCATAACGGAGATAAAGGAAAGCAACATGATAAGACTACTGTATTGGAATATAAGCAAAGAAAGAAGACTTTGGTAGACGTTTGGAAATCGTTTGATGATTGAATACAAGTAGCATAAAGCAAGGAGCACAGCGACCGAGAGGCTATAATTAACAATTGATAATACAATTGATTATAAATGAGAAACATAATAACCTACAAATATCTGAAGTTCTCTTAAAAAAGTGACCCAATGACGTGCAGCCTAGCCATGTATAGTTATGAAGGATATTCATTAAATGTCCTAAAAATATGCAATTGGATTGACAGTTCTAGGAAAAATGCTAATTTATGGCTATGCATATAGATTTCAGCCCGACATCATGTACTTAGAATTTTACGGGGCGCACGGACTGGGCGCAGACAATATAAACTTAACGCAGGCCATTTGCGAAGCTTTCTTCTTAAAGAGTCGTGAATTGGTTCACCCTATGCAATAGTTGCATTCGGCCAGCAAAAATACCATGTGTCACCTCTAATAGCTTCTTTGGTCTCCGGCCGTTTTACAACGGCTAAAATGACTCATTCAAAAGAATGGTTTGAAGTTACTCCGAAAAGAGCTTGGTTGCAAAAATAAAAATCAATGACAAAATTAAACAACTGACGCATCTTTAGGGTTTGACTTAGGTGCGTCTTTTGATAATTACTCTAGTTATATTACACCTATGTTATACCAAGGCCTAAAAGGACGCTCACGACCTTACTCGAATGCCTAGCACGCACACATCCACAGTCTCAGCTCCCGCTATTAGTTAACCGATTAATGCATACTAATTGTGAACAGCTATGCTAAAAAGACGTCGGCAAGCAAAATATATAACAAATTAGTATCTTTAAGTTGATGGTAATGATACTGTGAAAGAAGCGAAGTCAATAGTTGAACATGAAATAATGAGAGGACCATCGGAAACTACTTACATTTGAAAGGTATGCTCATTTTTTAAAAAGTTTCCTAAAGGGCATGCTGTTTCAATCTAAACAACTATTGCACCATAATAACATAATTATATATGGGGTTTAACACAGTGTGCCCTATCGTAATAGTCCATTCATCTTTAGAGATTAGCTCCACCTGATGACACGCTTGTATTCAATGCCATCATAAGATTGTCTACACGGTCATCAAGCCCACAAGTAGGCTACCTGAAATTGTTAGTTAACTGAACGAAGTAATTCTAGCTTATATTTAACTTCATCTCATGTTTGGGTTTTTATAAAGAAAACACTAAACATAATTTTCACGACGTTTTATGGCGAATAAAACAAAGTTCACGTAAGAGTCAATATACTTTTGAATGATCTTACACGTGGGTCTCTTAAATATGTTGTTGTCAGTATAGTACATGAAGAATCTGAATATTTTCTCTTGTCATAAATGTTAAATAAACCCACATCACAGAAATCCACTTCATAGCTACGAACATATTTAATTCAAAAAAGGTATAGTACTAAATTTCCATTAGATTCATGGTCTAGAAAACATAACCCTATGTCTAAGTGTTAGCAATCATACGGTCTTACCTGTGGCGACTCCTGTTTGGGAGCAATGAGTTTGATTTTCTTAGAATGAACAACGGGCGAAGGCGTTTTGAACACAGGTGAGCCATGTTCCATATCGAGACGCCGCTTCACCTGCAACAAATGCCCACAACAGATAGGAAAAACATTCATACCGCACAAGAAAAGCTTAATACTGAACTGAAGTGTAATTGGTATCTTAAAACGCGCTGTCTTTCAGCAAGGCATACTCAAAAACCGTCAGCTTAATAGGACTCCTACTGTATTCGATAATTGTTGTGATAACATGTAGTAAAGTCTCACTGGCTCTAACATCTTCCCGAAGCAGCTTTTCTAATGTTTCGGACTCTTGAGCTGGCATGGTAAAGCCTCTCGCACAGCGCATCCAACGCAATGCGACGGAAAGCAAAGATATAAATTCATCGCTCACTCATTCGTACAGAAAATTAATGGTTGTAATCTTCCTTATTTGAATATCTTAGGCAGAGAGCTAAATTAATCAAAACTTCACTGGCAAGCAACTGAAGCTCTAGCAGTGAAACCTTTAGCTTTATGTGTTCTCATAATGCTCATTTCTCTGTCATGGAGTAATAATTGAACTGTAATTTTTCCTTTAACTTTACAAAATATACAAGAAGTACATACCTAGCCTACGAAATACTTTAATATACTGCAGGGGATGGCATGCAATCAGAATAAAAGTATTCGTTAAACGCACTACTTGAAGAAGAAGGGAGTTGCCTAAATTATTAGGCGACAAAATGATTGGACATTCCCTACCCCATCAACTTTTATCGCTTTCTTCGCAATGCTCGCTAGCCTCCGGTAAACGGGTCAGAACGGGGTCACCACCTCATAAAAATGCATCGTTCTGCATGTGCTAAAAAACTAGAAAAACTATACACAACCGGATAGGCAGTTAACATTAGAAAAAAAACCGCTTTTATAACGTCAATATGCGTTATTCAAATATTTTCCACTCTTATCAACAATCGAGTACATATCCAAACCTGAATTAAAGGTTGGGTTTTATTGAAGAATAATTTTTGCAGGAAAACTATCTGTCTTCATTCTTTCATGTTGCTGAGCATATTGAACATCAGCGCATGCGATCAATTACCTAAAAAGAAGAAATCAGGTGACTCGCCTATATAACGAACGCCAATACATTAGGTGACAGACTGTCTTTTAAACGTTCAACTGATTAAACACATCTATTCCGTATATAGTGGATACAATTTATCATATCAACTGTTTGGGCAAATATTTTATCCAAAATCAAGATCGAGACGCAGAAAAGTGGGAGAGAAAGAGGGAGATTTCAATATCACAACCTCTCGTTGCAAACTTCTAAAGCTGGGAAAACGGTTTGCTGGACAGCAACAAACATTACCGTTCTTGCTTTATGTATATCACCACAAGCACAACAAAATATCACAGACTAGAGCTGAGATGTAGCAATGAACCCTATTTCAGAGAGAAATAAGCGACCTCATAACTATAATGTTATGCACCATTATTCCTGTTCACAATGTTTAAGGTCCGTGGACTAAGAAGACATTTTAAAATAAGTAAGGCATACGTTTGTACTATTTCATCATAAGCCCTCCTAATTCAGAAATTTGATGGGTATCCTTCCAAAATTTCAACAAGATTCTATTACATGACTATTATATTAATAGACCACCCGATTTTTATCTTACTTCCGGTACTGAAGCCATCGCGCATTACTTCAGATGTGAATTGGTCATCTAAACCTAAAGAGAAACCTAAACATAACCAGCAACTTTTATTTTTGCTCGTAGTCTAAAGGCGACTTAGATGCAGCCCGCATCCTCTAGCAACGGACCAATTTAGGATCAACACAATGGCATTAGTTTTCTCGATGCCTAGAGAAACAGAGAATTAACCATCGATATGTATCTAGCAATGATACTTAATTGTTGCTGTTATTATTATTGAAGTGGTAGGTAACGAAGCGTTAAATTTAAGAAGTCATTACGAACGGCCACAGCATTAGCTGCTGAATGATAATATTTATTAGGTGATATCAATTATATAGTTGTCAACAGCAGCAACGGCAACAACAAAAAAGGGCAGACGAAGGTAAGGCTGCTTTTGTATGTATATAATCACGAACAGAGAGACAGACATTGGGACGGCTGCTGGTGTGTGCCCAACATCTTCAATAATTCTGACCGTCATCTCTGGCCCACTAAAAATTCCTGAAGGAGATGCAAGAAGGCTAAGGCGGCTAGGAACAAACAACCGGAACGTGATCGTTTTCTGTCAGCGACAACAGAAATTCTCCATTACGTCTATTGTTGAAATGTGCAGTCGGATGTCTAGTATATTAAAAAAATGATGCCTTGTTCTATCCAATCCATTTAAACTGATAAATAAGTACACGTTATTACAGCAACAACCAACGATCCCAAGCTCGTCAGTTCGTGCACCGTGTACACCCTGATTACTATACACCGAGAGCGAAGATAGCAAACAAAAAACAAACATTCGTTATCAGATCTTTAGTTAACCTTTCAGTTGTCAAGCGCTTGATAGATGCGAGCCGTTTCACCATGTGAATGACTGACTCCCTGACACGCCGACAGCAATCAGGCAAATGATGTGGAAAACCTGAATGGCAAATTCCAACTCCAATAGAGCCGAGCACATTGCCTTCCACTAATCGAGGCTGGTTAGTTGGTTGATGGGTAAGTACGTATAGTAATAGATTAATAATAGTGATAGACCAACGATGATAGGTGAGCGCGAAGCCGTTATCGAGACATGTTGAAATTGGTATTGGATAATATGATGTTGTGGTACGCTCGGTGTGTGACGCCTGGATCGAAACGAGTCCAACGAGACAGAACCAGACGGCAGAAAATAATATCGACAACAGCCACAACACTAACAGAACTAACATAATAACGGTGGTGAATGGAGTTTGCGATTCAGCGGTGCTGCTGCTGCTGCGGTTGAGCTGTTACGTACAGTCGTCATATGTACGCGACCGACGAATAACGAATCAACAGAGCCCCGCAGCAGCGCAGAGAACAATAAGAAAACGCCAGCGGTAGCCACATTTTCGATGGATGATGCAGCTTCGATAGTCAACAACATTATACGCATGACCCTTAAAGTATCAGCACATAAGCACGGCTGCATGACAAACGGCACACAATATTTATTGATTGTGTATTGTTTAAATCAGAATTAGTATTACTATAACTGCACACAACTTAGCACATCGCTCCCGCCGCAGCCTGTAATTGGTTCATTACCATTACTATTTCGATCATTATTATTATTAATTAGAGAGACCGAAGGGGCGATAATAACACTATATAATAAACATTCATTGCTCGAAATCACAATACTATCAGTCAGTAATTGCAGCAGGAATAGAGGAGTTCGCGGTTATGAAAAAGTATTCAGCGACAGACGACCGGAGGACATGTCACATTTCAGATACGCACGCACGAACAGAGAGACTACAACGAACAAACCTGATTGCGCTGTTGGGGCTTTGGTAGAGGCGGGCGGTTCGGGTTGGACTCAGCAAAGTGCCCTACCGGGGCCTCGATCTTTGGCGTCGGCGTCGAATAGTCGTCATAGCTCATGAAGAGCGCCTGCCGTGTTTGCTCGGAAAAATTCATTTTGGTTCAAACTCCTCACTTACAATATCGCTGGCGAAACGCAGGATAGACTATGAAACAAATGAATAACTCACAACAGCGGCGTTCGCAACTCCGGCCGCTCGGAAGAACAAGATTAGACCAGCAGCCGCTAGAGAGGCCGACTGATGCTCCTACGGCACTGACCGTCGTTCACTTCGGGTAATGCAGTACGGACATCGATGTCATTGAGAATCGCCAGTGCCTATTCTGTGTTGCCAGTTGTCCCGAAAGGTCCTGTCGAGCGTTTCATAAAGGCTGCCGGGCAGTAGGGCCGCCCTGGGACGCGCTGGCGGGGATCGCTTCCAGCCACAGAGCCAAACGACTGGTTGACTGATTGACCACTGCACTATGATAGGCCCACCGTTTGGGGAGGCGCACGAACGCGGGGCAAGCGCGCCTCGATGTCGCTGAACACATCCGACGTTAGCACAGGCTTCGTAGAGTTCGTACACAATGATTTCAACGCACTTTTGGCCTCAGATGAATTCCGATGGCCTGGATGAAATTGGAGACCGCGGAAGGCACAACAACAGCGGTCCAGCAGTTAGCAGACAAGTTCCTGCTCAAGCAGAGCCGAGCACAAAGGCGCCAAAGTCAAACTCCGCTTTCTGATTGGCTAAGCCGATGAAGCGTCGTCTGCTAGGGGCTCGGCCCTTTCCCGCGGCGGGCAACCGCTCGGGGGGTCCCCACGAAAACTAGTTGCGGGACGTTTCACACAATCAGCGGGTCACCGTGCGGTATACAACGGACCCCAAAAGATTCGAAAGCAACCAACTGTACCCAGACACTTCCAAAGCTCGCTCTCCAATCAACACGACATGACGTTCTAAAATGCTCGCTGGCCGTTCTTGGCCACGAAGCAGGTGAATTTGAGGAGACAGAGATAGACACCAAAATCTGCTGATGCTCCTGCTGCGTCTACAAATTCCGCTTTTCTATTTTTGACTATTTCTTCTTCTACTATTATGAGAGTCATAGTAATAGAATAGAAGAATCGTAGACCAGTTACCCGTCGAGGCCGCCGCCTTTTCAGAGGGAAAAGTGGCGGGCCATCGTCGTTTAAATATTTCAGCCAGACTCCACCTACAAACGACTCACGGCTGTTAACGCTACGAAGTTACGACTGACGTTTCAAAGTACGAAACGAAATGATACAGAGGAAAAGCGGCATAATCATTGGGAAAATAACAAAATTACTGCCCTAAAATTAACTGTAAATATCAGCGATGTTTACATTTCTAGCATTCTTCAAGTTACAGTTATTACAAGATACAGACAACATGGTAGAGCTACCTTTTCATGTGGTTGATTCGTCAATAGTTGAAGAATCTACTTAAAGGAACCATGCGTTAGAAAACTATTTTTCATTTCTTGGATGTACGAAACGAAATAATAAGCCCACTGGATGCTAAACGCTCTACAACTGCGTAAATCTGTTAATTTTTCCTGGGTAAAGGATGTAAAAGTGACTAGCTTTGTTAGTAGACCAGTAAGTGGGGATGCATAAGTTTGCCTGTGTTTTTGCATATTTAAACCAGAGAGTCCACGATTTCAAGTCCCTGGCGTTATTTCTAGAGCCACTTAGTTACCTATTCTTGCAAAGTTAACTAGGCGTTTGCACTTCTACCATCCAATTACAATAGCGGTATTTGAATCACTTGCTTTGCCAATACTAATGCACTTTTACTCGAGTTGATTCAGTCTATTCTTTGGAGATCTCTTTTAGCGGCATTGTCATTCAATCATTGTCCTTATCATCGACATCATCAATCGTTATCATCGTCAGATGTTTTTAACGGCGGCAGTAGTAGTTGCGAGACCGGTGGCGACAGCACGAGAAGCGAGGGCCGGAAAAAACAGGAGGGGAGCGCCGGTTGACGACCCGGACGACTGAAGTTGGCGCGCAATTCGCCAAAGCGCTCTGCTCTCCCCGAAGAACGAACGTCGGCGACCTATCATTGCCACCATCTACTATGCCACCCAGGATCCCACCACTAATCAGAGGCTATGGCCATCGTAATAAAACGTTAGTAGCAGCATCAGACATTAAACACTCAGCTTGGCTCTATTAAGTTACTAGTCAGGACAAGAGCAGATCAGATCAACCGACAAGCGTTATTTATGCCAACGCTTGCACTAGCGACTATAAATTCAACCGTGCTTATGTATCTAAAAGCTTTGTTTCCAAAATTCATTTAAAATCTGTAATATGCCCTGTGCCGAATCCTTAAAGGTAACCCAAAAACGATAACCAAAATGCTGGTATTTAGGTTCATGTTGGTTTACATTTAGCTTTATAGATGATTTGAAACACACAACTGCACGTGTACGTATTTCAATGATAAATAATAAGTATTTCACTATCGGGTTGTAATCAAAAAGGGGCTTCTTTTATGGTTTATGGTTCGAAATGTTACAAAAAGTACTGGATTCTGGTTCACAGTTGTACACTGGTTTCCTAATTCTGATGTCTTGAACAACAAACCACATTATGGGAATTATTTATGCACCCAGGATTTGATCTTTGCCTTAAATTATTCAAAAAGATGTAAAACGACTATTAGATGCTATACCTTGTTACATAATAAGCTTACTATACGGCGGATGTGATAAAATAAAGAAACATTAAGTATAATCTAAAATATAACTATACGATGAACATTTTTTACACTGCGTAGACAGTACGCCCCCAGGTGCAGTGCAATATACGACATAAACCAAAAGTTTTATCGACCATTTAGAATGACCATACAATTACCCCAAGTAAGAGATAACAAGATTCCTTTGAAATTCTCAGTAATTTCCTTGTGATGGAAATACGATTATTTTCATTGCCGTAGCAATACCTCATTGACTATTGTGTGCTGTGTCTTAAAACTCCTGGAGAACTCGTTATGAGTTAAAGAGAACAGACAAGTTTGTAGCGCGCGTTTCGTTTGCATACATATTTTAATTATAAATTGTCAAATTTTGGTTTTATATTTCTTACAGTCGCTTGCACATAACACTAAAGAATATTTTGCACATACATATTGACCTAATACATACGCTTACATACAATTAAACACTTTGTTATCACAATTACTAAGTTTGATTCTCGCTTTTAGTTTTCATTTCCATTTCATTAACCCAAGTCTGATACGATATGTTCACTTGCACCCGCATCTCTGATCGACTACACTGCAATTTTTGACTACCATGCTAGCGGGATGAAATAGGGCAGCCAATATAACATTTGTAACTGTAACGATGTATGGTACTACCTGTGAACAACTAAGGTACGGTGAGATCATTGTCTGTTTGAAGAAGGAAACCGCTACGTCGGGGACTCTCCTACCGCCGGGGGTTCGAGCCTTGACCCATTCTAAATTCAGTATTTTTTGTAATGTCTTTAGCTAATAATGTTTCGTACCTATACTGTGCTAAAGGGGTTTAGCTTTACACGATAGTATGAAGCCGAATGGATCTTGCTAGCTAAGAACTAGTGTATGCTTTGTGACCCAGTATTGATGTGGACATACAGTGTCACTGATACCATAAATATGTATTTGTCGTATCTGATTATCAGCTATTTAACTATTCCTAGGGCTGAGGGCCAAGCAATATTTTTTCGTTACTTCAAGGAATCGCACAGCCTCGAACTCCAAAAACATAAACGAATTGTCCTGCAAAATCGAAATAAACACTTTTGGTAGTTCACTTCGTAGCACAGTTGTACATGTTGAGTTCAATTTGCACAGTGGAACGTCTCAAAATTAACATCTGCCTACGTTCGACGCAATTACAACGCTTCTTAGTTACCGAACTTTAAAAATGAAATACCTGACAAATTGTTAATGAAAACGTGCGTATGTTATTTAAGGTTGGTACAGTAAATATTATGTTGGAACAGAGATACGTTCATTGGTTTCATTGTTCCCGTTTTCTCTTCCCTCGTTATTTTTACATGCTACAACAAGGCTCTGTTGCAGAGATAGAGAGGCTCCCTTGCACTATCTCTGTATTCTTTACGCTTTTCCCCGACAAAGTATCATCTTTTCTGATCACTAGCCATTTGACAGTGAGAAGAGTCTCAAAAGCTGGACGAGTCCTTCAACAGCAAAAATTCCTGCTGAGAAGGAATATCTATCGAATCGCTTGACAGAGGGGGGGGGGGGGCAAGGTTGCGGTGGGTGCCTGCAAATACATAATACATTTATTTGTTGCTGAAATTCGAGTGCAAAGCTGCATTTTTTTCAGGTAAAAAGAAACGACTTCTTTGTGTTCTAAGCTATTGGATAAAGTTCTCGCATCCACGCCTAGATATACATACCACAAAGCAAGCTGCGTACCAAAATAAGCCTAACTCAATATGATCATATATTTATGATGTCTTTTTGCACAATTGCGTTAAGTGTGAACTTATATGAGCATTAGAGTAATGAGAATTATTTGTTAGCTATTCAGTAAACTGCGTCACTTTCAAATTTAGTGTTTTAGGTCCTATTCCGGACTTTATGTGCCTTATATTGTAGGTAGTATACCTAACGCTATTAAGAAAATCAAATGTGACCCGATAAGCTAACGTTCTCTGTGAAGGTACATTTATTCACGAGTGTATAGTTTGAGCTTACTCATTCAACGAAAAACATAGTTTTGAAAAACTGTTTGCCCTAAACGTTGCCTCATTTTCATGTCCTACAATTCGGCACAATTCTCTAATTATCTATTGATTAAATATTAATTGTTGTTTCTCTAATTAGTATTTTTTTGAGTGGCGCATTTTTTGAAAGGCGAAGTGTCAGTTCCTATCGATACATATTCATGTTTTTAACAGTATCAGTGGTACGAAGTTGTCTGCAGTCCGACTTCTCGGCCGCCAAACATAAGTCACTTCGGGATACTACGGTCTTTTTGTGTTTAAAATATTGATTCAAAGTCACGGCGTACGGTTCGGAGAAAATACAGATAGATCAGTGTGTCCATGTAATTAAAGCGGTTTTAGCCATAAAACGCGCGAAAAAAAAACAAGGAAATTAGTCGTATTAATAGTATGTTTAAATAAATAGAGCAAAGGATAAAGATAGGTCTTATATATCTGTTTTAATAATGACACCAGAAATCATATTGGCTATTTTATAATTTGCAGCTTCTTATTCATCACATCAATTCGAATCTAATCTTGTACTTAATATCGGATCTTTAAGACTCCCACTAGCAGAGGCGGGATTTTCGATCTAAAACACGGTTAACAAGACAGGCAGAATAAGTAGCTTAGCAAAAATATAAAACGGTCAAGTACCTGATTTGGAGAGCCTCGATCAAATGCCAGTTATTCCGATGACGCGCTTGAAGGAAACAAACTAATGAATGGCGAGGAAAAATGAACATTAGGGTCACTATGGATTGGAGTGGATGGGGGAAAATATAAACCGTACTAGAAGGCGGCTATTTATATGAGTTTCTTTATGGTTCACATGAATGTAATTGAAAATATGGCAGCGAAATAATACGGGCAGGTGAAGAAAAAGATTCGATTTCAGTACTGTATTTGTTAGTGCCACATTTAGAGTGAATAATAAATGGTGCGATATCGAAGTTAGTATATAGTACTACGCATTGTAAGACGCCTCAAGTCTGGGTTCACGGATCGGAGAAGAAATCCTGCGGTCAGTATGTTAAGATGAATGGTGGCTACTACTCTTTTTTCGAACCGCAGTCGTTGTTATTTGCTGCTCTATCCGTCCCCTGTCTAAGTGTGCGCGTAATATTTGCTGTATGGTATACCTATAAAAAAGACACAATGTTTTTAAAAGCGATGACATATACATGAACGTTATTGCGATCTTTAGATCTAGCAACGGAATTATAGTAAGCAATGGTAACGGTTGACATTTTAAAAGCAAAAGGAAAAAAATCTCTTATTGTCAGGGAATTAAAAAAAAATTGAATTGTTAATTGAGTCATACAGAGTAGATGTTTCCATTCAAGATGTATAATAGGCCTTTCAGATTATTAGTAACTTTACTAGCAATATTTTTAACCTGTTTACTCTTGCGGAAGCACACAGTCCATGTAATATCGAATACTCCACGTTTTGTCAGTAACTTAAAACAATCTTTCATATTTTGCATAAATAATATAAATGCCAGTGCAGATGCCAACTAACGATTCTTTGTACTCTCCGCCGGTGACTCAGTGGCCCTGATTAATGCGTCAAATGCATTTGTTTTGAGAAGCCCTTCGAATACCATAGCTACGTTAAACACGATTCTTGCTTTTTGACGTTTGCAGGCCTAAAGAGGTTTTAAGCATGTTCTTCATGTGCTGCCTTTAAGAGAGCTGTGCGTTGGGAACATCCAACACGGCACGAATCGCACATAACGCAACGAAGAGAAGTTATGAGGTTATGAGTGAAACTCAGAGGGTTTAATTAAGTGCATTTCTTATTGTCACTTATTACTGTATGTGTTGTGTTCATGTATTTTATTGATGTCGTTTATTGAAACACTTCCTAGCAACAGGTTATATTATGTTCGTGTGCGCCAAGTTTTTAAAACAAACATTTTTACCATATGCAAACCTACTCATGCCACCAACAGGTGTCAAAATTTAACCTAGCCTGCCGTACGCTTCTTAGTGTAATAACATATAAAACATATTCAATCTACCCGCCGTACGTTTGGTACCGTTAAACGATTGCAGAGTACAGTTGGCTTGGCGCTCGAACAGCTGTTTAAGCACCCTTAAGTTTTGGCGCCAAAATACCCAAGTTGCGTTATCCACCACCAATGTCTCCTCTCGACGATTTAGAACCATCCATTAACTCTAGCACTGACCATTAAAATATGCGTGATACATACTAAAATATGATTCACTGTAATCAATTTAAGTTAATTTAGAAGACAGTCCAAGTTATGTTATGGAAAAAAAATTCACTAGCTTCGTATAGTCTGCGGCTAGTTAGGGGCCACCTTAGCACCTCGTTCCACCGGCGTATCAGAGTGTAGCATGTGTTCGCGCCACGCAGCCGGTGGGCGTGATTGGGGAGGAGCTCGGAGAGGGATGGGTGGTCCTTTGGCCGTGAGACAGAACACGATGGATGCATTGTTGTTGTTCCGGAAATTTAAAGCGGGCGACCGGTCACCGAATCCCGCGGTATTTTCGGCGAAGCAGTTGAAGAAGCTCGTTAATCAGCAAATTAAAAATGATTTTGTTTACTAGGTATATGATATAAACTATAGGAAAGCGCGCCTCAGCATAGCTAGTTCTTCAGTTCACCTTTTGTTTGTTCATTTAAGAAACTATTGCGACTCAGTGAGCAGAAGCTTCCATAACCACTGCCATATTAATCGTTGGCTTTATGCGACACCCTATAACTACTTCATGCATGCGCAAGAGTTGTTTAATGAATGAGTTTGATGTAACTATTTTAACAAATATTGAAGTTATGGTTTTTTTAGTTTTTATAATAATGACTGGAACATTATGGGCGCATGATAATTCTAAAACGTTGTTAAAGAAGGTGTTCCAGGCTGGCATATACGTCAGTGCAACAACAGAGTACAGTTAAGCTTTGAGTAGTGGATGTGAGTTCGCGACTATTTTTTTTGCTACTTTGCGCCCTTGACTTCAGTCACTGGGTGCTTTCTTTCTCAGAGCACACCCAGAACTAGACATAAGAGCACTGATTGAGCTTAATAATTGACCCAGATCTTAAGAGAATTTTAGGATATAGCATTATTGATTGTCATAACTCACTCTTTACTAGTTCATCACTCCTGTTAGGTCATTTTGATTGTCACTGCACAAAAAATTTGCCTCGACCTCATCTTCGTTTATATGCGCGCGCAATCTCTCTAAGAATTAGGTAGCGTCTGCACATATGATAGGATACTTGCGAACAAATGAAAACGACATACGTACATTTAATTAAAGGGAAAAGTATTGTTCCAACGAGCAATCTGTAAAAAGTCTTATTTAGATTTAGTATTTGACTTGCTCAGGAAACAAAGGACACTCATTACTTCTGAAAGGTGTCAACGAGGAATTGTCGAGATAATTACCTCTAGGCCGCTATTCTTCTATAGTAATATAATTATTGTATGAAAATTTCGTAACGTTTTCTGCGTGTAAAATCGGGGATTTCTTTATGGAATAGAGGTAACGCAAAAGCTGTTGTTCTCAGGAGGTATAGTTGAATGCATTTACGCATTATCTGCACACTCTAATAAATAATAGTTTTATGCCTGGTACAGCCGTTAAGTATCGTGCAGCCGCTTTACAATATGATCGACATATTAGAAGCCAAGAGTAGAGCTCAAAAAGAAGCTACCTAAGTTACTTTGCACAAGTGATTTTACATAGGTAAGCTCTGGATCTTAAAACCAGAGGCTACTCTACTCCGTACCTAACGCCCTTCTGTAAAAACAGTGAACAAATAACGCTGTCTTCTTTGTAAGTGCTAAAGGCTTTAGCATTGATGTGCCTGCGTAGTGGAATACTAGCTATGGTGCGACAAGGACAAATTATGGATGCACAAAGAAATTAGCTGCACTTAGACTTCAATAAATTTGATAAAATATCTAAAATCCTGTTAGAAAGAGTTCAGATTTTGTATCTCGTGCTCTTAAGCTCGATGCTTTGCGCAGTCCGACACTACTGTTATTTAAACAAGCTACGCGCATCCAAAAAAACTATTTTGGTACCTACAGCTAGATCAAAACTACCTCTGAAACTCCCTTCACAGAATACACCTAACTTATGTAGCTTTTAAGCAAATTTTCGGCTCCCAATATCCATTAACTTTAGATCAAATTTTTTTAGGCACTGAAACCCGAACAAATAAGAAATGAAAAATGAAAGCCCGCTAAATGCCTTGTTCATGGCTATGACGCTGCATGTAGATAGAGCTACGGCATCTCTGTTGGGAAACAACCAAACATAAAGACACTCTGCTTCGATAACCAATGCCTATTAATATTATTCCGTTTATTAGTTTTTCGTCTTATTTAGCACTATTAATTATTCTATGTCAACAAGCCCTCGGAGTCATCTATTTTCAGGTGTAGCATCAAGGACTTTCCCTCAGTAGGAGCCTAATCAGAATGGGTCTTGCTGCAGTTATCAGAGCTTTTTCTACCAGACCTATGAAACAACATGACATAGGTAAAAGTGGCTATTAACCTTAATAATAATTCTTAATTTTTTATTGTCCTTTCGGCCCTCACTTTTCCATTATTTGTTTCTTGACTGTGCATATCTGGCAATGATTTTTGCCAACGCTGAGAGTTAAATCGGCGTTACAGCTTCTCTTAGTTATGCTTATAATGGTAATACACTCAAAGGATGCACAGTAGCTGTCTAAACCATGCCACTTGACAGCGGATTTCTATAGACGTTGTGCAATATGTATATTATTTTATATTAAATCAGAGGATATTATATGTAGTTCCCCATTTTGGAAAATCGTTAATGCAGACATGCATTACTGAGATCCATAAGTAGGTATGCATGATTCATGCATAACTATGTTTTGGTACGGAAAACGCTTATAATTAACCGGATAGCTGAAGACTGTACAATTTTATTTCCACGCAATATCGGCTGCAACTATAAGTAAATACCAGCTAGCATAGATCTCATTTTCCGCGATTTACGACAGTGTGCCCAAAAGCGGTCCCCCACCTATTGTGGGCACGGCTTCGTCCCAAGGCCCACTTGCTACTTGTTTAAGCTTTTGTAGATGTACGAATAACTGAGGCAGAACGATGCCCACTGCGATTACCGCCCCTGCCCATACAGCGAAGAGAGCCGTCGGCGGTGCTAAAGCGCCCAGTGCACAAGTCGCTCCCAAAATATGTAAGAGTGTTACGAAGTGCTGAAAGGTGAGGCTTTTTGAAATGTTAGCAGCGACGACAAACAGGAGAGCTGCGGCGCACATCAAGCAAAATACTGCGCCATTCGATTGGAGCCTCGAGGCCAAACAAACAGAAGATAAGATTTGCGAGTTCAACGATACAGAAATGCCCCCGGAGAGTGGTGAATACTTAGGTATTCCACTGCCGTCTCCATTTGTGACACCATTATTATAACCGTTGGTGATTTCACTGCGTTTTGACGGTAGAGAATAATCCGCCACGAGCAGATGCAATATAGACAGCAAAGACGATAATGCGTAGACGGTGTCGGTCGAAACGGTTTCCGCCAGACTGCGAATTACTGGACTCAATGCGAGTAATAGCATTGTATAAAGCAGCACTTCTTTAGCCTGTGTGTACGAACCACACAACGAGGTAGAGGATGTTGAAACGAGAGCGATCGCCAGTAAGATCGTCAGTAAAGATAATACCATCATCAACGTGGGGATTGAATGAGGGCTACCGTTAATTAATGTCGATAGCTGCTGCCTCGCAGATTCTAATTCAGTCCTAATATGAGATGTGAAAATCGCTTCTGTTTCATGCTTCTCCGATGGTGACAGCGTCGGGAACGGTTCTCCCCGTAATACACAGTAGTAGCTAATAAAAACTACTAAACGACATAAAGCTTGCACAAGACGACAGCCTACCTCTAGAGCTTCGGCACGCTTTACGACAAAGCGATTTTCGCTCTCGGTAGCCATCTCATCAATATCTGTCGTTTACTGGATCGTCAAAAAGTTGTACCCTAAATCGTTTTCTTTGTACGACATTTTTAGAATCACACTGCCTGCATAAGAAGTTCTGAAGCGCGTCTTATCTACTAATCTATCTGAGAAAATGGTGGATCAATAAAACTTTTCCAGTCCATTACTAAAAGTCGCTCATGAAGAGGCTAATTGGATAGTGGATCTTTCTATTTTTGTAGACTGTTGCTTGGAGTGTCCTCAGGCGCTGCCATCGGTGCAATTTGTTTGAAATAATCCAGTTTCAAATATAAGATAGTCAAAGTTCCAGTCATGAGGAAACCAGACCAAAGCATCTTGAAGGCACCAATCTTCCGTCGTCGATGACCGAAGTTATAATGCGTCCTCGCTGAGCCTTTGCATAGCACTGGAACTAAGGCTAAATAGAAGAAACACTTTAAGAATAGGGTTAACTAAACCTAATTAAAGAGGCGAAAGGGGATGATAGCAGTTACAACAATCTGATATTAACTATAAAAAGTTAACAACAGACTCAAACATTGTTAGAATATGATTTTATAACTGATATATACAACTAATCATTTTGCTGATAATACTAACATGGCTAGCACCCAATATTTTACAGCACCCAGCAATTTATAATATGAAATATAAAGTGAAAGGTTGCTTTTTTACCTTTGTTTTTGACATCGAAAAGAAGCAAAAACTAAAATATTGATGTTATTGTTGCTCAAAACGACGTAATTTGCGATCTTCATCTTTATGTCAGTTTTTACTTCCTTTCGTACATTTTGGCCAGCCTCTTTTGCTGTGCTGTCTGATTTAACAAAATACTAGTAACGAATTTTCAATGTAACTAGTGATACTACTATAGGTTAAATTCTTATAATGTTATCAGGCGTATTTTGCAATATAGACAAAGAAAGAATTCGCTTCCGGGGTCATCAGTTCGGGTCTGACGTAATATGTTTGTTCTCTTGTAATAATTAAATGTTCTTGAGTAAACGTCAGCAGCAGTCCATGTTTATGAGGTCTTACGGTAAAGCACAGGTACGGAACATTAAAACGCAACTTTGTTAAATTTGGAACTTAATTTGTACGCATATTTAGTGACGGAAAAGCTCGAAAAAAGATTGTGTTTGCTTAAACTAAACGAAAGGCTGAAACACAAACCCTGTCTTAATCAGGCTCTACAATATTAGTTCTATAAAAATGCTATCTAGGTGTGATATCTATACTGTGTAGCAGCTGATCAAAAAACTTCGATGTTTAGCACAGTCGAACATTTTTTTTCTGTGTGATTACAAGCGAACTCGCCTGACTCCGAACTAGTGAATACTATCTAGTTGGTATAACTTAAAATCTAACAGTAGTTATGAGTGGTAAGAGTCAAAAAGGGACTCCTCAAGTGTGGAATTGAAAATTATGAAAAAGGCGCGGCACACCCCCTAAGTACCCAAACCGTGATCAGGCAATTGGAAACGTGCATTTAAAGCATTCAGTGTATCCTGTGCGTGCACCTCAAAATGCAAGAAATACATACAATTTAGTAAAAAATGCCGCTTTCCACTGCCGGATGACCCTTTCGAGGAAATTAATGAAGAAACCGAAGTTGCTATTTTTGTGAAGACACTGGTTTGACAAATAGTGAAATTGTAATCGACGGTGGACAGTCTGATCATAAAACAGGAGCAGTTATTCGTACGCAACAAACACCGTTAAAAAAATTGATAAGCTGTGGCGAGAAAACGGTCGTATAACAGCCAAATATCACAAAGTACTCGACATTATGAACGACGAGGCTTAATAACGAGGATGCAGCCCCATGCCCGCCAGTACTAGAATACGTAGCCAATCGTGACGATGAACACTAAGATTTCAGTATGATAGCAAGCAAAATAAACTAGGTGGATTTAAAATAGATCATCGTAGAAAAAGTAGAAGCCTTGGCAGGAAAAAAATTTGTGTATCATAGATCTCCTATACTGCACACCGCATCGCTCTATGTATGCACTGAAAGGATGTTCGCATCAGAGCAAAATGCATCGGCACCTCACTTTATCTCGTATGTACCATGTTGTACAAAAAAATAGCTTAAAATCTATTAAGCAGACCGTAGTTGTTTCCAATTCGAAATACCTGATAGTCACATAGACCGAATGTTCGACAACGAAACTCAGAATGCTAGTATGACAGTAGAAGAATTCTCAGGTGATTTCAGAAACGACAAGATACTTGAATGTCGATCGAAGGTTTAACTAAATAAAAACCAGTCAGATGTAACGGAGAATAACTTCACTGTGAAGAAAAAAATCGACACACAGCAACAAAAAATCAAATTGTGCGTTTACTGCAAAACCTGATGCTATCATCAGTTGCTTCACTGCGACCACAACTGCTTAGAAAATTGCACTGGTATTCATTACCGAGACCCGGTAGCGGCAAATTTGAATTTTTTTTATTTAAAGACCCTAGAAGTCAAATTGGTGGAAGAGTTCCAATGCTGATAAATAAAAAGAACGGCTAAGTTTTTGGGTTAACGCATGCTCAGAGACAATAGCGTTCGACCTAGAGCTTCATGCAAAACCACTTAAAAATAACCGGTCCCTACTTTAGCCCAGCTAGCGTAACTTCCCGTCCACATAACCGAAATCAAGTTACCATTACATGAAGAAAAGCTAACCGGATAATAAAACATTTTTCTTAAAGACTCTAAACTGTACATATAAGTTATGAACAGTACATTCTCCCTGGTCTAATTCAAATATGCTTCAGCAATGTCAAACATAGTCTTAACAAAGGATGAAGCCATAATCCTAAAAATGTGAAAAAAATTGCATAATAGCAGTACGCGTAACGTAAAATATGATGCTATAATTAATTTGTTAAAGCAAAATGCTGGGAACATATATGCTTGGATGACAATAGAGCACATCGCTTTTTTGATAATGTTCAAACGAATACCCGCAGCAGTGAAAACACTCAAGTCAAAGCTACTCATAAAAGGCACACAGTAATCACCAATGTTTACTTAGCGAATAGATTGTAACGGTCATCACTACTCTGTGGTGTTCTTTGCATTCCTTTATTGAATGGAAAGCAGACGTGCTTTACAGTAACTTAGATTTACAAATGAAGTGAATTGCGTAGTGCGTGGCGACCCTGCGGTACTCAGTATGTTTATACTTCAAAAAGTTCTTGCAAGTCCAAGAAGCCTCCCTTCAGAAGGGTTTTGTAAAAAGATCTTTTCTCACATGTCAAGAAAAGATTCTTACGAAGTATTTGAAACATCAAGGCTATATGCATTACAAATGTATGTTTGAAATCTCCCTTAGGAACAACTTACCTGGCAGGTGCGGGTTCGAAAATTTGTATAAATTCTGATTATTATTAGTATCCACTGTTTCACATAATCTGTCACACCACCAGTTTCTTCGGCGACAAGAGGAACTGAAATTACGGTCTACAGCTAATGCACTTACCAATGAGTTTACGAAAAATAAGGAAAACTATTTTTACGAAATTGATTTCAATATGCAGCACTTCAAGATCAGTTATTGTTGTAGCTACAACAAGTTGCTTGACCCCTTAACGTATCAAAACTGCATGCACCCCCTACCCATGAATGCTTTTTGATCATTGATCAGAATTTTCCAGTACTGTGCACTAACGTTAATGACACTGGCGATGAATGTATAATGCAACATGTTTTTGCTCTTTAAGTTAATTTGTCATTTAGGGTCGCTGTAAGCTAAAAATATCTTTATAGAGTAGAGTGTGGTCAGAGGTTACGACAGCCGCTCTACAATTAGGCTTGCCTTAGACAACAAATGCAATCCAGCATAATGCTAATACAACATACGCAGGATATTGTGGTACTACAATCAATCTGGTAACAGTAATGTTCTTAATAATAGAACTCATTGCACTCGTGTAATGCAGAAATTATAATTAGAAGTTAGTGGCGATAATTGTGACAAAATTGCTATATTACATGACAGACACCTGTATATTTAAAATTTCGTCAAAATCAGTCAACAAAGCATTAACTAAAACGGAGAAAAAACTTTTGCTATTAGTTATGATACTTGACTTCACTAGCCCGTAATAAGTTCTACTAGATGTGTTTGATGTTAACAACAAAGCCTAACGGACTACTTTCTTGCAATGGTCTAATATCGATTAGGATTAGTATCTGAAAAACCCGCAGATGCCTTTATGACGACTTATCAAGTCCGTTGATCAAAACGTTGTTCGAAATCGGGAACTGATAGAGGCCTAATTGACCATATCCTGATAAACGCAGTGTGCATTTAACGTTTGTGTAACTAACTACTGATGGCTTCTACTCCTATGCGAAGTTTTGCCCACCTTTTAGGCTGCTTTGGATAGCATGTCTCTAGCTACTAGCTGAAGGACACTGCGCAACGTGGCGTAGTAGCGTAAATGGCATGCAAAAACGTCCGTTCTGATTTCGGGAGAGCTCACTGTGCACAATCGCCCACAGATACCTTTGTGACATCAGCGGCTTACTTATCAATTCTTATAACGTTATGCTGGAATTCATTATTCTTCATTCTTTAGCACACACAGTGTACCAAATTTTAAATTGCGCTACATTTCATTTCGTCTTGAATGTGCGTTGAGGTCATTCAAGTCGCAGTTACACATTTACGTATTATATGAACAACTAGTAACAATAATAATTATGTAACAATATTAGTGCTTTACATCAGTAAATTTACCTATGACAGTCTTGGACGAGTGGCTAGCCGAAGTAGCGACTGCCAGCATCTCCCTTTTTGGAAGGCTCACTCTTTCCAGCGTAACGCGATTCTTCTCCGTTCCTTAGTTTACTTGGCTCTACTAATCTCGACCTCGAAACGCTAATCATTTGCTATTGTTCAGATACTGAACTAAAACATGACGAATACCGGAAAAACAACGTTTGATCTATGTGTACTTTCGATCTTATGAGGGGGAGAGTTTGTTGTTGTTTCGCAACAACAATATAAGCTGAACGTAGCACAATTTCTGATTCAGTGGATTCTTAGCATGATAGCTTTCGAAGTACCGCTTATAGTCATTGAATCCTGTTGGTGCACCGGCAGAGCGCACGCGAATCTAGTTCGGTAATGGCTACATCCTCGAAGCAGCTGTTGATTCAATTTCGTCGATATTTTACTGGCTTCAGGTTAATGTCTCCTAGAACAAACTCCTTCGTGCTGTTTCGTGCCGCATACTCACTAGTGGTGCCACGTGGGTGACTAAACAGGTGTTCTCCAGGCCCCGCCTCCGGCGCGAAGTGGGCCTTTTCGCGGTCGGGCCTAGAAGTGTCTGCTGCCGCAGCTAATGTAAACTGGTGAACCTTTCTCCCTAGTGGCCATAGGCTGTAGTAACAGAGGTAATTATAGTGGTGATATTGCTAGTGCTATGGTGTGACCAAATGAGCTAGCATTAGATTCTACCGTCGTGCTTAATCAGGGACCAGTAAAGTGACCAAATGTGAACATGAATTAAAACACTGCCTGCATTTTGATCACGCTAGTGGTGACAGCAATATTTTGCATAGCTTCTATTACGGTAACGGAACATCACGATTCTTTGCATTGACCGCCATCAAACAGCTCAACAACGACGCCGACAATAGCCATTATCTAATCAGCCCACCAGCTGAAGGCGGAAGAGGAGTGCAAGGCGCGTAGGAACCAAGTTACACACCTACCCACCACACAGACCAACCGGACATTCAGACGGACATCTCTATTTCGGCAGCAGCCGGAGACAGAGAAGACAAACATTTTCCCACTTACCCATTTACTCACTCGCTTGTCGCTCGCATTTCACTCACTTGCATCGCGTTTATAGTGTGTGCATTTCATTTGCTACTAATAGCAAGCAGACATCAGTGCTTTGTGCCATCGGGATTGTTCGCTGTTGATCGTGCAGCATTTTTTTGATGTAAGCGTTCCTGCGCCCTCAGCTGGTATAGCTGTTTGTGGCTATTGATAATAATAAGAAGAAGAAAGCCAACGTTTCTGCTACTGTTGCTGCTGGTCACAACGGTAGGCTGCATAAAGCATAATAGTGTGAATAGCGTAAATTTCGCGTGAATGGTACCGTAGTTTTTTGAACAAACGTTCGTAGTGGTGTAGTGCGACGGTGCTGCGATTGGTAGAAGCCCTAACTGTCTATAGCGGGGGTAGCAGTGGCGGCCCCCCGGCTGTCGAAGTGAGTGGCGTCATTTCGTTGGTCTTGCTGTCGCAACAGCACAGCTTATACGTCGTTCTACAGTGCAAAAGTGTGAAGTAACATTGCTTTTAGATCATAGCATAGCGAATCATTGACAGCTGTGTGACTTGTGTCGCAGTCAAAAAAACGCAATAGTGCATAAACCACTTTCCGTGTGCGCTCCTTGTCGAGAAGAACGCAGCTAAAGCGAAAAAAAAAAGTAAAAAACGACAACGCTTATTCAACAGAAGTGATACTGATAAATAGTGCGGACGGCGAAGACACGGTGAAAATTTGGATTTGCTGAACACACGAACTTCGCTGATCAACTGACTAATTAACTCGTCTTGCCTTCTCAGCAGCAGTAGGAGCTTTTCGATAGAGAGGGAAAAAGATTTCCATAAACACCTCATATTAATTCAAAATGAGCTAGATGGGTAAGGGGTAAGCGTTACTGCACCACCAGGCTAGGGACAATAGCAACAACAACAAAAACAGCAGCAAGCTACATCTGCTGCGGCTGTAATTACCGCTGCTTTAATAGCTTCCGTCACAATGTTTAAAGGTAAGTTCACTGGATTGACTGGTTGAGACAAAACAACTGAATCTTGCATAGTTGGCTGAAACCTTCTTGTTACCGGTATGCAGATTTTACGATTCATGCCTTATCTATCAAATGCGCACCATTTTATGTGATGGTTCTGGAGTGTGATGTGGAAGATTGTACCTTTTTGACTAGATTCTATAAATCGATTTTCAGTTATATTGTATGGTTATACCATTAGTGATTGGAGAAGAGTGATTTGTTTGATTAACATGTGGAACCTATTACACGCATGAACAGTTGGCGATAATTATATCTGTACCGTTTGATTAGTCGATTTTCTAGTTTTGTTGACCTCAACGAAACTCATAGAATAACTAGCCAGTGTGTGATGTTTGTGAGCGTAAGTTTTCCTTCTTCCTTGCACATATGACGGACCTAGAAGTGTCGAAACGGTAACTAACAATGCTGCCTGATCTAGCTTTTTTTAGTTACATTACTGTTGCTCGTAATTTTAAATTAGACTTTTTTCCTGCGTTTTCGGGGAAAAGGCACCATTTCATGTTTCCTATGCGCACCGCTGATTGATATCAAGACCAGAATCTGACGCTTATCTATAAACTGCAGCAACCTAATGCATATGTGTATCGAACAGACATTTTTAATTAGTTAGCGCTGAATATTCGCTGCTGTTCTCAATGTATATATATAAGGGAAAGAAGACACGTATTTTGTTTTTTATTTTAGAACGACGTATTTTTTTCCATCAGTTTGGTCTAAAAGTTTTATCGCGGTATGGTAAAAGCCCGGGTGAACGAATAGTCACTAATGAAGCTATTCCTGCGATACCAGCCCTGTACACAATTCATACAAATAATTATCACTAATTGGTAGAGTAGACTGTGTATTTATTAGGTACCACTCCTTTTTGCTAGCCCTGACAGTTGGTACTGATTCCTGGCGACTTAATTTCATTCCGAAAAGCGGAGTGTTCTGATCTACAAATTCTCCGAATGTCACTGGCCTGGTCAACCGCGAGCCCCCACCCCTAACTGACGATAGACCGGCAACTTCACTTAGCCTTATTTGCTGCCATCTTATTCGTTGATCTCGTCAAAGACTTCAGTCGGTGATGTTGGAATTCCGTCTGGCATTCATTGCCGTCTGTTAAATGCCAGCCAGGGCAGTGCCCAGGTATAATACTTACCCGCGTATAGAAGTAACAGCGAACCTACAGCAGGCGGACGAAGGTGAGATGACCGACCGACTGGCTAGCCAAACGGTCCTTCAGCCAACTGGACACTAACGTTTGAATGCTGGGTTCATTCTTTCGTCCACTGCTACGTAAGTGTCGCCTTTCCGTCGCCGTCATGACACTTGCCAAAGTAGCGCCTCCGCCAGTTACTAGTGTTACGGTCAAATCCATTTCTGTTACCGCTGTTGCTCGCACTGCCAACATTCGTTGATACCATAATCACCGCTGTCACGGTAACGACGATGACTTCTTTTGCTATGAAACGCGGCCAGGAATTGCTATTATCATTATTATGGAGCGGACCACGTCGACAAGCTACTCTTCACATGCGATTAGTGCATGGCTACTTGATTCTAATAAACTCTGCATACCTTCACTTTAATTAGTCTATCCAGATTGCTAAATAAAAAGAAAAACTCGTTTTTTTATTGTGACTTTTTCGATCAAAGAAAGCTTTATTACGACGATTAATAATATAACAGTAATAAAAGCTTGGTTTCTGTGTCGATGCTGAGCGGCCTCGTTTTGTATTATTAAAATTGATAACTAATAATTGTGTGTGGTTTCACACTGTTTCAATCGACACATTTTTAAGGCCTCATGCAGAAGTTTCTTAGACGCTCTTTCTGTTAGAGACATGCGTCTTCTAAAATGCGCTACCGGATTCACCTCTGCAGGCACAGAGAAGCCACACCAGGCTTAAATATGTGTCCACTCAGTAGTCGAGTAGCCTTGTCAAAATAAGGCTTTTTGTTGTTGCTTCTTTTATAATACGGAGCAACATAAAACAGAAAATAAAAGATACTATGGTAAAACATGACGAAAGAAATGGTACCCCAGGAAAGTGTTATAAACAACGTACCCTGTTATAAACTAATTTACCTTCACAGTCCTTCGTTATTGAGGCTTGGTTGGGCCATAGAAAAACTGAAAAAATAATTCATTAAAAATACGTAGTTTCGTTACTCCTTGTGCAGTGCTTATCAAAGCTTAGGGTTATGACAAATTGTTTTGCTCTGTTTTGCCGTTCTCTTTGCTACTGATCTACATGAAATTTCATGATGAGGCAACTAGAACTCTATACTTATTTATTTTATTGACATTTTTAGTGTAAAAACAGGCTGCTAAATAGAAGTTGACGTAGAAGGTTTCTGGAGTGCTTTAGACTTAGATTCTGACATTTTTTTTATGAAAAAACAACATTTACTGTTACCTTGTTGGATGCTGAATGGTAAACTATTTTCCCCTTAAGCTTTGTTAAGCGAACAGAGACTGAGAGACAACAAAGTATCTAACGCTATCTTCGCTGTGCCCTGGGCAAGCCTATGATTTCGCATGTTCTCTTCTATGCATCGTCATGCTGAATCTAAGCGGTACCATTTCAAGGGGTTGACGCACAACCAAACGAGCGGTCTAGCCTTACATACGTATACTGACACTGTCTTTTTAATTTCTCAATCGGCTACATAGGAGGGTGAGGCCATATTCAACTATTCATTTTTGTGCTATCAATATAAAACAGTTCTAATTTTCTATTCTTCGTAGAAAGCGTGAAGTACTTACTGCACCGTGATTTCAAATAAATTATCTAAAACTAACGTCAAAACAATTTGAATGTCGCACTAGGAATCTATCCAGTGGTAAGCGAGATAAATCTGAAGCATCGAAACTTAGCAAGGTGCATAATATAACTCAACGCACACTCAACAATTCTCCTGTGTCGTGTTAAGCATAGTAGAAAGTCCCGTCGGGGTTTCGCATTCTAAGATATTTTCAATATAACTATCAATCTAACGAATTTATTATGGATTTATTAAGATAAATCGACCTCGACACGAAGTAAAAACTGCTGAGTTATATCACTAGCATAATTTAGGTATAAACAGCAAGAAAGATTGAAGCTATGTCATCTGTTTTCTTTTCTGCTTGGAAAAAGACATGTTTGATCAACATTCTATTGAGCTCGGTGCTCATGGTAGATCTACGTAGTAAATGAGTGGTAACGACCTCGTGGTTTAGCTATTACAGTCGTAAATGTTGCTTACAACACTGGGCTTAATATATTTACAACCTGTCATTGTTGTTTTATTCTGGCAAGTGCGCTTAGATACGCCAATGTATTTATAACCCGATGACTTGTTTCGATAACGACACCTTAATGCGGACATCCTGCTTAAAATTGTACATTTGCTTGCCATTTGTTGCTGTTCGGATACAAAGTAATCATCAAAAAGAGGTCGCTATCTGGAACTGTTTTGTGGATGGATATGCTTCAAACATTATACTTTCGACAGAATCACCGGTGGTGTCAGATGTGGCAGGTGGCTAGGTCACAGTAGCTCTCCTGGTATTGAGACAGCGCTATATTTTTATGTAATGTAGAGGTTCGAGCAATAATTTGAATCGTAAACGACAACAATCGCCACAATGACTAACTGTGGGATTAGCACTATTATTTTGTACGGATACGAGTTTGCAGTCCATAGTATTTCAAGCGAGCCGACTGTATCGGCCAATGTGCAATATGGCCAGTCAGTTCATCTGACAGCAATTGCGCATAAAACGAGGTGCCTCTGGAAGTGGCGCATGCGCAGTGTGTTATCTACGTTGGCATCGGCCAACGCGAATGCCGGGCGATGTTCAATTTCTTCTAGTTTTCACATGTCTTATTGAGGAATTAGGCACTGATCAACAAGTTTTCTTCTTATTTAGATAAAATTGCATCACTAGCACGCTCGAAGACATGAGTAGCGCGCCGTCATTGTTAGTGTTCGTTTTATTAGCGTCGTATTACTATTTACCATTGAAAAGCCGTAAACGGTTGTCGGTAAACAAAAAGTGGTTTATGATTTTGAAATCATGATTTGAGAGAAATCTCTATTGAACGGACACAAATACGTTCATGAAATAATTGACGATTTCAGTTGTTTTTCTTAGATTATGTTACTGCCCCTATGTTACGTTCCTGGTGCTTAATAAACAAAACCCCATTAAAAGTACTCCCAGTGCTGGAGTATTGAAACTGAATAAAAAATGATCCGAATAGATGTTTCGAATTTTACATCCGGAATTGTGCTAGCATTGTGTCAAGCGATGGACCTACAGACCGAAATAAACATGTCTATTACAAGGTCAACCCTAAGGCACAAAGGTAATGAACGAGGTTCCTCTAAAAAGAGATGGCACCGTTTGCACCGAATGTAGTTACTCAGTAATTGACAAAGCGGCTAGTCACACGGCTGTTTCAAAAAATATGTAGAAGAATATAAGATCGTGTATACCATAAGAGACCACACATGTATACAGATACAGATATTTTTCAATAGATACTGTTATTTTAATTTGCCTTTCGAAAAAGAGATGCGCTAAATTCTCATGGGCATTATTATTATTAACTAAACTACATCGTTATTATTATATGCTCTTGGTCCTGCCAGTTTAGAAACTAGCGCCGAGATTCATTTAGATATAGTAGCCTCGAGAAGTTTAGTTTTCCCTTAGCAGGTACTGTTCAGCTATATAATGCCATATAATTCAGTAATACAGTATCACCGCCGGCAATTAGATAGAGGTTTCTCGTCATCAAACTGGAAAAATTGCGAAATCTGAGAGCTTATGTCGAGGTGCTATATCGAAGCTATGTCGAAGTGCTGCGCTAACTATGAACATGAAAATCAATCGATAACGTAAATATTATTTAAAGATACGATTACGAAGTAGTAGAATAGGGTGTTTCACCGCGACAGCGTAGCGATATCATAGATGAAGTATACTAAAACGAAGGAAAGAGCGTTCGTATCCTACACAATCTTCCACTTCGACAGCCTTCAGTAGTTGTTCTCGCCACATTTAATGATATCAAGAAAGTCTTGTGCAAGAATATATGGTAGCGTGAAATAAATTAAGGATTAGATTATGCAGGATGGTGCTTCTAGAACAGTAGTTGTCACGTTTAGGAAACTGGCAAGTCCATTGGAGATAACATCTACAACGAGGATGCCCTTATATTATTCAGCGTCATATTGAACAGCCAATTTGTTTCCAGTTTTAAAAGCTGTTGTTTACGTTGCTTTTGATACACTGAATATTAAGAACAGGATCTTATAAAAATCCTACATAAACTCATATAGACTTTAAAATAATTTGTTTGCTTTTCTAGAGCGGGTGTAGGCCTACGAGGCTACCAAACGAGGCCCATTTGCTATGTTAGAGTGCCTGTTACGTTTGTCATTTGTTCAAATGAGGTACTTGATTTACCCTGTTCATAAGACCGATTAGTATGATAGAGGGAGAGCACTGCCCTAACGTTTCACTCATCGGAACGTATCAACTAGTAATACTCTAATTAGCAAGATGCCTATTGTTATTATTATCATTTGTAGTTGTCTAAGTCATTTATGAAGGTGGTATAAAAACCTTTAAATATCAATTGATCCTCAGTATCCACTGCCTCTATGGTTCGCTCATCATAACAGTCGTCTGTGAAAAACCGTACTATATTGTTGCCCTTGCCGTAACCCCCTGAGCTGAACATAAGTTATAGCCGCTACGAAAAGCTTCTAAAATAATAGACAACGGAAGGTACGACTGGGTCGTTTATTCTCGTGGTGTTTATACCGCACTAACGACGCATATATATCATTAAATAATTAATATTAAATGAGGCCTTAAATATTATTGAAAGCAGTAGAAATCGACTTTATTGAATAGATATTCAATTAGTCAAACATAAATAGTCAATTAATATAAGCTTAACACCAGTAGTTTTAGTCAACTTCGGACTAAAAAGAAGAGGTACTACATTTGTAGTGGATGATCTTTGTCTAAATATGGCGTGATCTTCTTTTCCTCTTCTTGTTTTTTAGGCAGAAGCAGCAGCGGAGGCGGGGCAAGTGGTGAAAGCAGTGGCTCCAAAAGTCTTCTTTTAGAAACCTCATTCCGGTTCCATCCAGGACAAGATGACATTAAGGTTTGTATTAACATCCACAATTAAGCCAACCTCAATCATTCCTGTTAGTCAATTACCTAAATTCAATCTGAACACTTTATATCGTGCTACACAGATAGGCACGGTAGTCGACTTACAATAAGACTTTCGCTTACAAGACCGTATACGTACAAAAACAGGTTTTTCAATAAAATATTTGGCATACAAGCGTCGTTTCTAACGATCATGTCTAATTTTTTTATTCACATTAATCACGTCTTCAAGAGTGCTTATTTAATCATTTCTGTTGCAATTATGTGAACGTTCTCTTAATAATGGCGCAAGTGAGCGAGTTGGCGCTATCATGTCAGGACCTATTGGGTTCTTACTCAGTCACGTCCCATATGGAGTACTACAGGGGGTTGGGATCTGGGCTGTACGGTGATCACATGCACTCATCCCAGAACATTCTCAAACAGTCAGTCCTGCACCACCCATCTTGCTAGACGTGTGGCCCCCATTTAGACACTTCAGCTGTTTACGACTGCACAAGAGTTTACATATCGAACATGCAGGTAAACTTCTTTGGTGGTGCGCCTCTTTGGAGTAAGTACGCCTGTTCTGGACAATGGAGTTAGAACCTGATCATTGGTCGAAAATTTGCTTATACTCAAACACTCGTTAGAAACTGCTTCTTAAAGTTCAAAAGTTTTCTTAAGAAAAAAGTTTTTACAAAATTATATTAAAAAATCATCGTAAGGTAGAAAGACGGGCGGCTAAGAGAATCAAGTGGGCCGCAAGCTTTTAGTGGGTTAAGTTTAATTTTTTTCACATAAACGATTACTGCATATACCTGCATAAAATTTCCTCACTAACGACTTTAACAAAATGAAAGAATACAGAGAGGTGCACTTGCCGATGCACTTTCGCAGTATCTCTTTTTTTTTTTTTGTTTGCAGAGATTTTGTTTTAAAGCTGGAACGCGCCTTTGCTTCTTCCGCAGCCGTACAGCCATTTGGTATACTGTACATAATGCCAAAACTGAGAAAGTTTATCACCTTTTCAGCGTTTCTTTTCTCGTGAAAAAAGTGAACAATAGTTGATCTTCCTTATAATTGCAAACACGGGCACTGTTCTCCGTCATGACTGTTTACATCCTCCTTGGAATGAGCTTTAGTCTAATCATATTAATTTCGGATGAACACGTTTGTTAACCCACAAATAACCAACCGAAAACAATTCTGCTTTAAGCAGACTATTTTAAATATGCATCGATAATGCAATCTCGATTTTGATGCGCCTGTTTGCAAAGGGGTGCGCCGATCCGTGTCAATGGTGCTAACAGTGAATCTCACAATATGGGTTGAGATCAAATCACGAAATAGTGAGATCTGGGGTTACTTCCAAGCGCGTTTTATTTATTTTTTACAAAGACTGCGTTGGTGCCGCATCTTAGCATGAAGTCAGCAGCGATTCCTAATATCTGGTTATTTATGCCATACATTAGAAGCCTAAAATGTGGGTATCCCTATAGAGCTTAATAATCCTGTTGTTCGTGTATTTTGCTTTTGTCGTGCATACGATGTCGTTGAAAACAAGAAAAAAGCTACAAATAAATGGTCCTTCAATCCTTGCATCGATTCTCCTGCAGTGGTCCTTTAACATGGCCCATATTACCTAAATTCGTAGGACTTATTCCATAACAAGGCCATGGTGCGCAGTAAAATAGCTGTGTCGCGGGTCATACGGATCACAACCAGATGTAGCATTTACAGCACCGTTTTAGTCAGAAAGCAGTTCTTGCAAGTTTTGAGTCTTAGGTGGATGAAACCCATTAGACGTAACGATTATGTGCATACGACTTCTTCTTTATGTGATCGTGATGGGTTACAACCACTTAGTGTATTCCTATTCTTTTAGATTGGAAGAAATTTACGTCAATCTTCTTAACGGCTCAGTAGACAAATTGCTTGATGGAATGCCTAACAGCGGTGGCGGGCGTAAAACTTTTAACAATAGTTAATTATGCCAACGCACATATAACTTAAAATTAGTGAAGTTAAAGTATCGCTAAAGAGATCATCTGTTTCTTATTTCAACATTAGTAAGCCCTTCATTATCTAATATTTATACGATATGAATTGCTAGTTCTCTATACTGTAAAACATGGGACCCCTTAGCATGTACGAACAGCAGAGCGAATAACAGCGAACGAACAACCGACCTTCTACCCTTATGCGAACTATTTGCACTATATAAAGAAAAAATAATAAACAAACTTGAATGCCGCGGTATTATTATTTTATTGCAGAATATTGTTAGGGGCCTGAAGAGTTCACCTGTATCCTCTTCGATGACACTGCAGTCTTCCTTTTCGCCGTTTAGCGGGGTGAATTCTAGCGTGGGACCGGCAACGCCTCTCCAACGCAAATTCAATGCCACATTTGCCGCTACAGATAACCAGGTGAGAGTTTTAGCATTAATCCTTAAGATGAACTTGGCTTTTAGTGTAAGAGTTGTCGAAGTCCTCATATGACGCTTGAGAGTAAAATTATGGTGCATTTTCTGCACACCATTAATGCCCAGTTGTGTCTAACCCATATTGATTCACGTCTTAAAGATATTTGTACGGGTGCTAATTATTACAGAGATGACTTAGCTACGGGTATAATGATAATCACGATGTGCTTGGTCTGGCACACATTTGAATCTCAGTATTTTTTTTTTTCAAAGACACTTGACACACATTTGCTTCGTAATGTGGATTTATTTTACAACCATTACAGGTCTTGACTTAACCAATGAAGCAGAGGTTTAGCTTGCTCCATATATAAAGTACACATCCTGTAAGCGAACTAATGTTTTTTAAATATTTTCTTCTTTATAAATATAATGGTGTCTTAAATAACAGTTCCATACATACATATAAAATTGTAGAAAATAATGATTGATAAATGTTGAAGTCGGATGATGAGGATGGTAGCAAAAATGAATTTCGTGAAGACGCCTTGCTGGCATCATCAAGCCTCTTGCAGTCGCCAACGACTGAAGGCATCGTATTTAGTGAAGTTGGTGCAAGTGGTAAAACTACAGTGGAAAGCACAGACTCTCAGGATAAGGACAGTTCTCCACCACCTCCATCAACACCCCAGCACAACGCTGTCAAGGATCTCCTCGTTAATAGGTATATGTTTACAAAACCAACACTTCATTCTTTTAGGACACCATGCTTAGTTTCACTGGAAGTCTTATATATCAGCCTGTCTCACTGGCTGGTTTAGAATCGAATATTTGTCGTACTGGGAAGTTTTACGATAGTATATGGAGATGAATATATGATAATTCATGGTGAATGTTTTGAACGTGGCGTACCACGTTGGCGAGAAAACTGGATAAGATAAGACTTTACCCGAAGCAGTAAGGTGGATAGTGAAAACCTTCTAAAGCTAACAGGGTGAAGATTTATCATTTATGTCTCATCGTTTTTCTCCCGTCATACTGATTACTTCAGGTTCAGAAAAGGTTCTAAGGATCAAAAAAGTAAAGAAAGTCCGTCTATTGAAAAGGACAAGCGCGAATCGCCATTTATCCAAAGTATGGAAGCGTGCAAGGACAACCATGGTAAGGCCAAAGAGATCAAAGACAGAGAGGTTTTAGCCCTTAAAGAGTCTGGGAAAGATGGTGGACAGGAACGAGATTCAAGATCACCATCACCTGGAGATGAGGCCCGTTTAGATACTGCCAAGGGAAGTAACAAGGAAAAGGAAGGTTATCAGGAATCCAAAGACGCCAGCTGGTTCGGAGGTGAGCGTTAGTGCGTTAGTTTTGTGATTGATTTTTAAATAAGTCCCCGATTTCCCTTTCAGCTGCTTCATCTTAAAATACACTTTTTTTCGCTAACCTTGTGTAAACTGCAAAGCAGTTTTGCGTTTTTGATATGAAAGAATGTATCATTATTATGGCGTCTTCACTGTTATAGCAGCTTTCTAAAAACTTTTGTATTAGAAGAAACAAATTTAGGAGGTATATACGTTTCTATTCTAGAAATCCCAGGTAGTTGCTTCGTTTCGGCTACGGTTCTGACTGAAACTTCGAAATACGTTTGTAAGGATGAACTCATAAGTATTTTTATCAAGGAAGCGCTATCACTCGCTTACGTTGAGAGTGATATTCGTTTATTCTTATAAAAACTATAAAACAGGACAAATTGGAATAGTCTATGAAGGCTATAGTGTTCTTATTCTGCGAGCAAATTAAGCATTAAAACTTTTACACGTAACGAATAGAAAATTTGTGCATCGTAAGCCAACATGATGAAGATAAAATTCTTAATAGTGTATAGCAGCATTCAAAAAGACAAGACCGAATTTGCTATTCTGTTTATGGGTTTTACTTCTTATACTATTTACTAACTATCAGAATATAGCTCAGTTCATATTGTAATATGATAACGAAGATCAGTATACTTAGAATAAAATCGAAACTGGATTTATTTTTCTTTATTTTATAAGACCTGTGGGCCTTCCACTGTCCTATTTTCAAATTTAATAATAACTATAAAAACCGAATTTTGAATTCTATACGGACAACGACATTTATGCAGGGGGAGTAGACTAAATTTTTACCTTTTCCATGGGTTAAATATCACTTTCATATCCGACACAACTAAATCCTCTGCCCACTTTCTAATTCCGTTCTTATCGTCATCAAAATCTGCCAAAGCAACTTGGCACGCTGTACAGAATTATATGGAGACTCGATTTAGTAAGACTGCCCGAAAGTAGTAAAGATTTAGTTGAGAAATGGTATCTGTGGCCCGAAGAACGTCTGCTTTGGTCGGCCTGCCGAGCTCGACGAAAACTGCCAATCACTTTAAAGCTGGAAATTTAAAAATTCAAATATATACTGCGCAAAGAGATATGCATGATTAGATCCCCGATGGCATTTTTGAATCTAGCAGCAAACTGTTTTCGAACAGTTCGGCAAAACATAAAGGCCCCGCCATGCGAGATATAATTGTTCCGGTCTGGGTAGGCTGCGTATTGGCCTCGGCGGAAAGCCAAATCAATCAGGCGCTTAAACTTCCCTCTCGCGTAAAAATGCGATAATAACTTTGTGTCATAAATCGGAGAAAAATGTTTTCGTATACAGACAAAATCTACAGTGCTTGGCTAGAAGCACATAAAATAAACATTGAGACAAGCGAAAGCAATTTAGGAGAATTGTGAGGAGTCTGTTTTACCACTTAATAAGACATCTTTACACGCTACGCAGTTGTATAAATAGTTATTTTTCTTTATAATATATTTAGCCTCTAATTATGCGCTTGGCCAACTTTTAGTATATATTCATTTTACTTACTTATTAGTGTTACTAGCTCTAATTAGATAACTTTGCGTCGCCACATCTCTATTCTTTTGTGTCGGAATGTGTAGGAATCAAAGGCAAAATTGTGAAAAGATTTGAGGAAAAGAGAACGCGTTCTCAATCGGTACCCATTGTAGCCAAAGCTATCTACAGTCAAGGAGACGCAGCAACAGGTGCCGAGGTCGACTCCGTGACGTTAGGCCATCAGGGAGAAGTTCTCGAGCTTGGGGAGGTCGAACGAGCCGAGGAAGCCGATCCCGAAAGAATGGCATTGGAGCAGGTACTGTAGGATCCATTTTGCATTACCAGGAACATTTGTATTAGTACGCGCTTCATCCTAATCGTTCTGTATTGGCCTACGTTCAAAAAGCTCGCTAACCTTGTCGTCACACGATAGATTTAGCCTGCGCTTTGTGCTATCTGTTCCAAATCTGCTCATCTAGCCTTAGTTCAGTAAAAGATATTAACGCAATCTATTATAAAGCATTGGTTGACAAAAGATAATCCCTGCTTAACAGGTAAGCTAAACGTCAAAACACGTGGAAGCCAACGTTGGCGAGCGCATTCATAAGAAACAATTATTACATCAACTGTTAATAAGATCCAAGAGGTCGTTATACGAACCTGTAAAAATCTTCGTATTCTTTTCTCTTTTTAGAAAAGCTTGACAATTTTTACATTTTCAAGCAATTCGTTCATAAGGTTTTTTTTTTATGTGAAAGGATTGGAGCAAAAACGTAGAAGCATTTCATATTAGCGACGTATGTCTGATGTACATGCAAATCGGTTTATTATTGCTTTAGGTCTAAATGAAGCTATCTTTTAATATCACGTGACTAATTTGTCATTTTCGTAACGATTCATGTTCATTTTGCGTCTTCTACTGCTTCCTATGTGGGCATTTTCATATATAAAACGCATTAAAAGGTCGCGTCTAAGTTCCGCTGAATTAAGATTAACTCAGCAGTCATCGAGACAGGGGGTGTATGCATACACGTACCGTTTTCGATACTTTTTTCAAAAGTAAATTTCCGAACTTCTTTCAAAAGTATTGAAAATGACTTACTACTACTTCTAGTTATGCCAAGCAAATAAGCTAGCGCAGGATCGGAAATTTTTTCATTAAATCCTGCAGGAGATAAGTCAACTTTTTCATGCGGAACAACATGCGAAACATATCCATGATTAAAACGTAAATAAGAACAGAGAGCAAGATTTCAAATGAGACGGAGAGAGAATTATGCCTCGTAAGTACATTTTTTTTTTTAATGAAACTTCTACGAGCGTTACTTTACCAGTAAATAGCTTCGAAACACCTCACTAGTACCAAAATTAAAGTTTTCTTTCTTAACACTTCGTAGGGGCTTATAGACTGCGAAGAGGGATTAGATGTACTTCAAGAAGCCAACGAGGATGATTCCTGGGAAAAGGTTGGTTATACATACTAGTGCAGACGTAAAGTCACACTTCCGTCATCTCATCTCAATATATCAAATCTATACAGGCCCTTTATGCACAACAAAGGCAAAAAAATACGTTTTTCTTTCTATTTAAACATGTAATAGAATACATGAAATGGTGGCCCCGGCAAACTACGCTAATTGTGATGATGCGTGCGTAGGTGAAGTTCCCATTGGAAGAAAACGATACTTCTCGGCAGCGGGCATTTTATCGCGATTTTGCAGCGGTGAAGGCACGTTGGATAGCATTGGATTCGGCGTACATTGCTGCGAGGTTTCCGGATGTCATAGAGGAACTGCGGAACGTATCCATGCGCACGGTTGGGGTGATCATTCCTCTTACATTGGCCATCATCGTGCTGCCATTGCCTGCTTTTGGTAAGGTAAGTTGCGTACATTTCGAAAGGGGTAATCATTATCAACACAGTAATAATCTGGACAAACACGTACATTTGAGCCATCTTAAACTGACTCAGTCATATTAGATAGCACGTTGCATACCGCCATATTTGAGTTTTTGGATTGGTTCTATTTAATCACGTACTGGAGAAGCACGAATTGTTGTTTTTCGCCACAATAAGCCAGTAGTAATGTCTGGAAGCCGAAGTATAATAGCTCACAACGTATAACTTGCAAGCGAATCCTACAGTATTTGATATATGAATCCCATTTTATCTGCTATCCGGACCCTGTACCGGTTATCTCCTCCAATGGTGCGCTTAAGCAAACTCTCCTCCTTGGGCTTTTATTGACGTCAATACATTGAGTTGTTTCAAAACTGGGTTTAACTTGTTCTATATTTGTAGTTTCAGTACAACAGCTTAGGCGAGGTTTCGTAGATTTGACGCGAAAATTAGACCTTACTTAGCGTTGGAGCTCGACTAGTTAACCTAAATCTGGACTGAGTTGTCTTCTGCTAATTTGAATCTTCGCCTGTCCAGGGTTTCCTTGCTGCCTCGTTAGCGTGGTTGGCAGTCTGGCGTTTGAGTGCGTTATTGTGTCCACCAGCTTCTACGAGGAAGGTTAATTTTCCCCCGCTGAAAGAGGATGCTCCCATGCCACCGCCGCTTCTGATGCCTCGTATACATGAGATGATGAATGCTAGTCGCGAAGGATGGTTAAACGCTTTACCCGCTGGTGAAAGCTATAACGTCAGAACGCATATAGGAGCCCACAGCCATTCAGTTCATGTTCGACTAGAAGGTAAGTAGGTTTATTATTTTTTTTTTGTCTGTAATCGTATTTCAAATAAAGAGTGTCAATGACTGGGCGTAGAACCGCTTCTTAATTGGTTTCAAAAGACAAGGCAAGACCAGGTACGAACGAATTGCGCAGATCGAAAAATGATATACACTCCTTAGTATTGGTTTCTGCTTTTTGAAGTGATTGTCTTCTCATAACGTTTTTTCTTGATAAGTCCGCCATCGGGAACTGATCTATCTGAACGTTTAGTCTTAAAAAAGTCAAATTATTACTAACATAAGAATTCTTACGAATCTGAATTAATCCCAAGTTGAATTCTACCGACCCCACAATTTCCATGTTCTGTTTTCTTCGTACAGTGACTCTGTACATTGTAATTATAAGATCAATTTGCTATTGTTAAGTGAGTACGTTGACGGCCGTATGAAATAAGATATTAGTCTCAGTATTTCAAAGCTTGCTCATTAAAGCATGCCTATTGGAGATTCGTTAACGACGCAGCGCTGTTGTATAGTAGTGCCATTTTGCGTCGCCCCTTGCCAACACAAGGGGTTTCTTGTCAATCTAATGGCTTAGATTTGCATAGCGATCTCTTGTAGTTTTTTCTGGGATCAGAGTAGATCATAATATAACATTCCCTTATTATCTATCCATATGAAGAGGTGTAGCTTTTAACCTTTACTTGCTGTGTCGTTAGGAATGTTAAACGTCGGAGCATTAAGTGCATTAAGACATATTTTTATTTAGGAACGATGCTACGTATTCGCGCTCTAAAGGAAAAGCTTCCGCGTCACGCCATGTGGAACGAACGTCGCAAGGATACAAGCTCCGTCGTGTGGCTAGGAAAGCAGTGGTTTATTGAGCTTGAGGGAGCCACTGTCCGATTGCAGCCTGAAGGTGAGGGTACTTGAAGATTTGAAAGTTAATACTGCTGAGAAGATATTGGTATTTCCATTGTAAGTTGAGAATTCTATAATATTTAAAATAGCTTTTTATTTCAGCATAGTGAAAAAATATCACATGCTGTGTGTAATTTTTTTTCCATAATTTAGGTTTGTCTGCATCGAAACTATGGGATAAAAAGTATCCGATCGTAATTAGCACACCGGCGCGACAAGGCAACGATGCCAAGGAGGTGGTATTATTCGCCAGAACATGTCGGGACAAGGAATATTGGTTCCGTTTGCTTAAAAGATCCGCAGAACAAAGCAGTGCTAATACAACCGTTACTCAAACATCGGGACCTGACAAAGACAAGCCGGTCACTAGTGATGATGAAGTACGTTTTTATTTGTATAAAAACTATCTTAGACAAGAAAAATCAACTTTACGTAGATTTCGGGATGTTCATCGTTAATATATCCTTATTTTTTTTTTCACTAGAAATACTACGTAGCGCAGATTCCTAGAACAGAAGCGCAGGAAAGCGGAAGCTTTTTCTCATATTCTCGTTATGTTAGCCCGCTGTATTGCTATTGTGCTGCGAGACAATGTGATTTATTATTACAATCAATATATAATTAGACTTCCTACCATTTCAGGGGAACGAGAAATCATCGGAAGAAAGATCTACGTTTTCGAAACGTCCGCTAATGGACTTTTTGGTGTATATGGACAATCTCGGTTTCAGTCATAGCAGTGGTGTTGCATCTGGAGGTACACCGAATGTGGCGCAACCAATACCTGGAACAATCGAAGACCGAAAACACCAGCTATCCGGTCAATCCTGTTGTCCACCACTGGTAACGTGCTTTCATGCTTATTTTGTATCGCAAGGGAAAAAGGCTTGTACTAATATACTTAAGTAAATTTAAGAGATATATTTGCGCAGTGATGCTCTGTACATAAATCTACGCATTGATTTCTTCAACAGCGTGTTTAAAAGTGATAACTGATAAAACCCTACTTTGAAACTCCGAAGTGTATTTAGTAACCTACATTAACGGCATTTAACTTCCGTACATTCCTCTAACGCCCATTAAACTCAATTTTTTTCTCGATCGAATCATAGGACAATTCGTGCTTATATTGAAAAATTTTCTAAATCTAATGGACTGGGTGCCGTGCTTGTACCGTATTTTGAGAGATCGACGTGTGTAAATATAAAGAAGATACACACTTTTTGTGTAACTAATACCAACGTGAACGGGTATAAAGTACAGGTACTTGGTGAAAATCAGGTCGCACTTTTTGACAATTTTGCATGTTGCATATTGCAGTCATTGGCGTTCCGGGATGCAGATACGCAATGGCTGAACGTGGTCGCTGGCCGATTGTTGTTCGACTTTTTCACACAACCTCGATTTGCTGAGGCAGTGCGTGCCAAGTTCCAGGAGAAGCTTTCCAAAATCAGAATGCCCCTTTTTTTGGAAGAGTTAACGATTACTGACGTCAGCTTAGGTATGTTTGTTCATCAGCTCCGTAAAATTACAAATCCTGATCTTGGTTATCCTTTAGAAGCTCCACAATTTAACTACTTGATTGCATTTACTGTGTGATGTGGGCACTTATTTACTGTTTGCAAGTAAGGCGGTAAAGCTAACAATGGGACCGACATCCCGATCCATGGTAACCTACTTACAAATTAATTTGTTATTAAATGAATTGTAATTTCTGGTTGTGGGCAATTAAATAATTGTTTCTGAGTTAATTTCGATTTTGAGAATAAGTTTTATCGTTTGTTACTAATTATGTTGATAGGTGCGCGCACACCTCTTATTCGAAGAACTTCTGCGGCAGTGCACTGCCCTGACACGGGTGTTTGGCTCGACCTTGAAGTCGCCTATAATGGATGCTTTCAGGCAAGTGGTCACACCGATCAATTAAAATTTTACCTTTTGATTCTTTTTATAATACTGACTTGTTGTAAAGCATTTCGTTGAGTTGTGTGCGGTGCGACGAGTAAGCAATACCCTAAACAATACCCTGCAGTAGAGAATAATTGTTACACCGACCGTCATCATATATTCAGTTCGACTTCGTCAATAACTTCTGTTCACTGTCTTGCTCAACAGCCACGGTAAATTTTTATTTCGCTCAACAGGTAACAGTACATACAAAGCTAAACCTGATGAGATTAAAAAGGCAGGACCCTCTCATGACACCCGACAATCGTGAGCAGGAGATGCACGGGTTTCCTACAGGGGAAGCTCGTCCAACTTACGATGATATTCCCTCTGAAGATGACGATGATGATATTAGTGAGGGACTGAATCAGCCCGGTATGGAAGGCTCCGATGTGTCGTTGCCGATTACTCCCTATAGTTAGATGTCAAAATATGGTCATCTATTTTTTTAACATACTAATTTATACCGAAAATATACTTGAGATTTTAGGTATCCGTTTTGCGACTATATTTTAAATTTATCAATAACTGTTGGTACAATGCAGTAAAAGTTTCCGATCCGAAGAGAAGTTACCAAGGTGTCCGCTCTTTATCGATTGACTTGGATCTTGGGTTATTAACTGACGGCAGGTAATACAGAGTTGGAAGAACCTCAAGGCGCAACCTCTAAAAGAATCGTAAGAATGGTCGATCGTATATGGCAGTGGCCAGTCTTTCAACAGGCCACTGACTACGCTTTCATCCGTAGAATGATGGAGGATCTCTCAAACACCGACTTAAAACTAACAATTCAGTTGAGCTCACTTGCCGGACGGCTCGCCATCAACATTCCACCACCGCCAACAGATCGGCTTTGGTTAGTATAAGATTACACACAAAACTTCTCATCATTATTTTATTATGTTAGCTTTCCACCTAAAAGACACCATATTTCACGTAGAGAGCGGGTATAAACTAAAATTATGAAGTTTAGTTGAAGTTTAAACCTTTAAGGGAAGCGCCATTCAAAAAATCACATGGTCAATAGCGAAGGTCGTTAAGATTCAAGGCGCAGCTACGGGTTGTCGTGGTCTTTCTTAAGCATTTATTTGAATTTAAAACACTATTATATAATAAGGCCTCTAGGTCTTCAAAGTTCGGGGGAACGATTTTGGAATAGCTGTTCTGATCTAAATACGAATCCGCAAACTCGAGTGCTCCCTTATATTGGAAGCATTCTTGCGAAACATATACATTACATATCACTTTACTCGGCTATTCTACAACTATACAGGTACGGATTTCGTAGCGTGCCCCGATTGGAACTGAAGGCAATACCGCAAATGGGAGAACGACAAGTATTGCTCGGGATCAAACTGGCTGCATTTATTGAAAGGGTACTATTTCAGGTAATCGATTTCCCCACCTAGAGCGTGGAAATGCTGCCTGATGTATTACAGTGTATTGTAAAAAGTATTAGCGTGAAAGATAGCGTGATGTTTCGTTAATTTATGTAGCAAATCTGGATCCGTAGTCCGTGAGCGAAATGACATTCACCATTATTCTTGTGATGGGAAGAAAACAACTAGCTAAAATATATACCGTTCAAAGTGGTAAAACAAATACTACACCTGTATATTCAATAACAACCGGCGTTTCAGGAATTCCAGAGGGTTCTGGTGATGCCAAACATGGACGACCTACAAATTGACATAATGGAGGCTCAGCCTTTGTGAGGCAGTAGAGAAGTAGAACAGATGCTATCTGTTACGGCAGCGTCAAAATAAAGTTGATCGATAAGCAGGAGTTTCTACTGAGAGATGGCACCGAAAGAACACAACGATTGATGATGTATAGGTAGGATTGGAGTTACATGATTCAAGTACACTACAACATTTTACCGAAGCAAACTTTTGCTGGAGTTAATACGCACTCAATTTCTAGTATGAAAACTCCTTGGCTGGGCTAAGGACAACAAAAAAAGGCAGGTTAGGTTTATTTTGCCACAAACGCATCTTATGCGTTTTCTTTTTTTATGCTTTGGTAGTCCCGATTAGGTCGGATGGCGTTTTTGGCACCCACGCCCCACACGTACTATACATTCACCCCAAACGTATGTTTTTGGTTTCAATTTTCGCAGGATAACGCGCCCAAGAGACCTTCAGAAGAATGATTCCTTGACTGATGTTGATCATTACTGAATTAGAATTACATATTCTCCCAGATAACTCATTATGGGGTAAAATGGCTATCGATAACCTGTCAAGTTCGTTCGAGATCTCACATTTTAGTGGACCTCAATTAGAAAAGCCTAGCTCACAAGCTGTCATTTGATAACAAAACTAGTGAAATCCTACCTTGTTGTTATATATTGAGTGCAGTCACTTCCTGGAGATGAGGCGACACACAATTTCCTTATGTAGTACCATCGTCCACTAACTGAATGCACTCATCCTAACCTATAATTCTATTATTTTTTCCAAGAACATATAGGCATCATTTCTATTAAATTTTGTTGAGCCTGATAAAGAACTGCTTGCGTGATGAGTAATAGTCTTTATGTGAAGGTATTGAAGCAGTTCTAATTTTCGTCACAATTTCATTATGGATCTTTCGAGACGCTAAACGTGTTTGTCCCTTTTATCTGGTATGTCAAATAAGTCGTTTTTGAACTATTTATCACATTAAATCAATGTTGTGTTCTTTAGTAGTATTATTACTATGAGGCTGTCCTAATAACATAAATTCTTAGGCTAAAATATATACTTTGCTGTTTAACTGTTCTTACATACATCAAATTAAATCTTCTAAGAAAAAAACTTCTATTCTAAAAAATGAAATAAAATTAGATTTGCATATAAGGGTTGATACGAAGTTGAAAGATTACATAAGAACTGTCCACCACAATGAGATGCGGTGTAATGTCTATATGATCTACTTCGAAGATAATAATAAAAAATATGCCCAGATAATAGTGTTCAACTAAAGAATGCTAAATACTTGTCGGCAAACATGTTAAGTTCAAGTTTAGACGTAAATTGTTGTCAAAATATTAATGGCACAACAATGTGAAGTAAGGGAAACGTAGATAGATAGGAATTGAATCAGTTCTCGTGTTAAAAGTTCCACTTTTTTTTTAAAAAGATATTGCAAAATTCACATTTTGATAGAATTGTCAGTGGTTTCTGTGGTAAATAAATAAAAGTTGGTTGCGTAAACATTGGTTTTGTAGAAGTGAACTCACGTGCCTGCAAAAGTTCGATGATGATTCAAGTGGAATTGCTAGCCGTTTTGCTTTTGGATGTTTGATATCGTTGGTTCAAATCGTTCAACTGAAAATGCTTTTCATTCTAAAAGTGAATGTGAAAAACAAGGTTATTTACTCGTTATCCTAAATTTTTGTTCCCTGTAACTGTTCATGCGAGCGCGTTAGTTACTATCCATTACTTTTTTCAAAACAAACCCAAATTTGCCATTTAGGTCATCGAAGGTGTTTCACTAACTATTCGTATTCTGAAATTCCAGAGGGGCAACCAAGCTAAACTAGATTAAACACTAGATTCACCTTACGTGTTGAAATGAGCTGTGATGATGCACTAGAACCATCTTAATAATAAACAGTCTGATAAAAAAAAAAACGAATCAAAGGATATTTGCTGGTAATGATTATAAACATCGGATGTCTGAAAGAAGAAAGACTATGTACACACCAATGTTGACCATCGGAGAAAATCCAGATAAAAAAGTGAATATGTTTGACTGCATAGTGATCATATATATCGCTATATCACTCAGCGACTCGATCAGCAATTGAGAATAGTTATGGTTATTTCAGAAACGCTAGCACCGCGTGTCGTTGTCCTGCATACATGCATAATGACAAAAGGGAATTCACATTTTTAAATTAATTGTATATCAATATATCTTCGAAAAAAATGGTACGACATAGTAGGAACAACCTTCATACATATCAACGGAGAACTTAAATGGATTCTCAGGGAATATGTCCAACAATTGAATTCGTGTCTTATATTGCTCAGGAATACAGTATCGACTATATATATATCAACTGGTAAATAAATGCCAATATTGGCTGATTTATTTTCATATCTTGACGCACGTGCAAATTTTTTATATACATTATGCTTTCTACTAAAGTCAACACTATATTTGCAAGGCATAATTTTGATATCTTTATGAAGATAAGCTTGTTTGATTAGATAATCAATGACACAAACGTACAAAATATATCACAAGGTCTAACATCCAAAGGAAAGGTTTGCTTCTATACTTTCATTGCTTTCATTGCTGACAATCGCTTTAGTATTTTCTTTTTGCTCCAAGCAAACACTGAATTTTTAATAACTCTTTCCATAAAATGTAACTGTATGATTGTAATATGTAAAAATTCTAACACTCATTTTTAGCTTTACAGTTGTTTCATAGACTTGGCTTTTAAAAACATCTCACGATAAAATATGCAGCAACGTTAAGTTATTTAAACAGAGTAGCTATGGTACGAGCATTTAAGAAGCCATACACGTTCATCGAAACAATAAGTGTTAACATCTAGGTTTTAGGAATAAATTTCCTACCCAAAGTGCGCAAAGGTTGTTATTCCTACCGTGAGTATTTTTGTATGCTCATTCATGGTAGTATTATTTGTTCGCTGGTGTGGTCTGGTCGAAATAAGTATCGATTGAAATATCACGTTGCAGCTGCTATTTGGCCTATCCAGTAAACGTACGGCGGTTCGTATGGTGTTTAGGCATACACTAAAATGCTATTGAACTGAACGCCACACAACACACGCCAGGTATAATAAGTCCGGTTGTTGCGATCGACGAGTGATTGAGGCGTAAGGCAGACGCAGCTTCACTCGTTTTGACCTCTCCACAGAATAAAGCAAAAAGGACTCTCAAAAATGTAGCACGCCTATTGCGCACTGCACCGTGGTAAACACTGGGTCTTAAAACAGGCCTTTATGAGCTCGGTCCTCTAACTAACTTTCTGTGAAGGAAGAACTAGATTTGTCCTTGTGGATGGTTTTTCGGCTTTCTTGCGGGTAAAACACTTAAATCAAAGTTATACCATACTATTTAACAAAACAAAACTTCAAGATTCCTACAAACTTGCGAAATAACTCACCCATTCAAACTGCCCAGCGTGCTCTGACCCCAAAAAATGTCTCAGATGTGCTAGACACATGTCGTAGGCAGCTCCCGTAGTGGCAGAAACTATCTCGCGAGATCTAAATGATGAAAAGTGACGGAAAAGCTGGTGGACCCGACTGCGGTTGCAAAGCAAGACTCGCTGAATAAACAGAAATGCGAACAGACTGCTATCTTCTCCGTGTGCGTAGAACATCTGTAAAGGACATCATCCAGCATATTAAAAACTGGCTGAAGAGGCCGGAGACGCAAGAACTCACAGGGCACGGCCAATTCCAACGTTAGCTGCATCAAATAGGGAAGGCCTTTCCGGCTACGAGCTTGCTATGCACAAACGGTGTAGAGGACGCCGTAATCTCACACTTAAGCACTGGACTTACTAGGGCAATCTTTTCTAATGCCTGGATAAAAAGGCCTTAACAGGAGATTTGAGATTTTGGAAAAGGTGGAGGAAGATGATGTTATGTTGTTTACAAACAAGACAGAGAGGCTCGAATACCATTGTCAGGAACTTAGCTCCTTTGGTGCGCTGGAAAGTGACCCACGGCTTATTGATGCAGTGGCAAACGAAATTCTCTTTGCCAATCTGCAATACTTCTAAAGAAAGATACAGGTTAGTTCAGAGTGAAACACAAGAGAAAAATAGAGAAATAATGGTACGTAGTAGAGCTGGCGGAATGCAATTTAGCAGTCAGAACTGAGCTCGACTCGGCCCACATAAAACAAACTTTGGCATAGTGATTTCAGGGCCTACGTAAACAGTATCATTTAAGATCTATTAGACGAAAATGACCTACTCGTATTTCATAACACTCTTTGTGCATTTCCCGAATCCTTCGTTCTTACGTATCCGACTCGGGCGAGCTCGTTCCTTCCTCCTTCGTTGCCTACGCTATTCATCAGTAAATCCGACATTGAGGATAACATAGTGGTTAAATTTATGTACCATAATGTACTATTGATATTATCAAAAAACACGATAGAAGTACCATAGTGTCAAAGTTTATGACGAATCCAATACTATTTAAAATTTAATCTGTGCTATAAACGGTATTTAAATATTAAACATTTATAGACAAATACTAGTCTTCTTACTGCTGCCCTACAGTTCTGTGTACATATTTTATTTCTTCAATAACTGAAATTTTACTCCGAAGTATTTTAAGCTCTCAGGAACTACACTTATTGTTAAAAAAAATGTCTTTCACTCAGAAGTTGATAATCGCCTCCTTGTTAGAGCTGATTTTTCGTGAGCAGTTCAGTTTCAGCCGACAATTTATGTAACCACTTAAAAGCAAGTGGTTTGTTAGACAAGGGATAGAACAGCTTTACAATGGAAAACTTAACCTCAGTATAACTAGTCTTCGTGATTCTCTAGATATGAACATTATAAGGCATTTCAACTGTATAGCATTATCTCGACGTCATATAAAGGGTAAAGTGAACCCGGTAATGTACTTTTACTAGCAATACTAGAAACCTAATTTATTAACACCTATTTTCTTAACTGGAAAGAGTTTTAATTAACAGAAGATTTTCGTGAAAATGACATTTGTACTCATTTGTATAAGCAGTACATGTTTATTATCATCGACAGTATCCAAGTCTCAGTTTCAAAGCCCCAATAGTGCGCACCTTTACTTTAGACACTAAATTAACAAAAATATGCGTTTTCACAAGTCGTATGCTAATGACCAATAATGTATGACCAAACCATGTAAACGGCATAAGTCGGTTGTAAACCGCTGCCAATAAAGTTATGAGATGCCGAAAAGGAAATGCTCATATTGGCTCCCAAATATCCCGTCATGAAACCTAAGCCTTTTAGTGTCTTGTATATTTAAATAGAATGGAGGTCTGTCGTAAATTAGAAATCGAGCTACGATGTTGTACGAACTTAATTTCATCGCACATACAGTGATTTAGGTGCAGTTCTAAATTAATTTTAGAAATAAATTCTAAAGCATATATTAATAATTAATAACGAAAACGAAAAAGTACTATTTTCTTTTAGATACCACGTTCATATATAACACAATGGTATTCTAGTAAGCTTGAATTCATAAATAGCTTACCATAAAGATGTCCTGCTAAGTGCCAATAAATTGAACAAATTTTATCTAATGAATAACTTTATCTTTAAATATTGGAAATATTGGAAAATGCTAAGCATTTCACAATCTTTTTCCAAAGAATTACCGCACAGCTATTATCGTGCTACAGTAAAAAAAATATTCATAAAACGTTTCGTCTATACAATGTATGGAAGCAGGCTAAACAAATGAGAACAGCCTCATATTTGTGTGTTAGACAGAATAGATTCATTGTAAAATGATCAGTTTTTTTTTATTCTTTTTGTAACAGCTAACGCACAATATATAGATAATATCTTATCTGACAGGAAGCAAGTATAGTTTGTTCTGCATAACTGCCATGACTCTTTGTATATTTGTATTCGTGTTTGTACCCAGGTGTTCTGGACTTAATTCAGCCGGACCATTACACTGTTTATCAATCACGGAGGGCTCAATTGCTTTTGCCCGCCTATATTTTGTGCCAGTGACAGCGACCATCAGCTCCTGGCGAGATTTTTGCAGTCAGGATAGAGTGTAGCATGTAATTGCAGCTACAATCCCAACGATGAATTCTGAACAAAAGGGCATTGCAAGACGCACCTGCTGAAAAGATAGTAGAATATGGCGAAGGCAATCTGTCAACAGCCTGTGAATATTACTGAATTGTGACTCTAGCGATTTCGAGTACAAACGCACTCAGAAAGCTTTCTTATAAATCAGCCAACCAGGATATGTTTATCGTCATTGTTTTCCCACAATCCTGGTTTTTCTTCCGTTTAACACTTGAGTAACATTGCCACTGTCTATGCTGCCAGCCTCTTTGAAATGTACATTCTTTGGCCCAGTGTGATCTTTCAGAGGACCCTATTGCGTGATCCAGCAGCTTAAATATTCTTGATTAGGAAAATATATACCACATGATAATACGCCGTTGCGATATTCCACTCGGGCGGTACGACACTTCATCTACTCTCTGTTCCGTAAGTCTTGTGGAGCTGCAATTGATACCTCTATGTCTTGATCAGCATCCCGTCGAGCAAAATACCTGTCACGAAAATTGATATTATGGATGGCTGTTCCGGAGGATTCCTCGAGCTCACCATCCTTTGGCTCCTTTATCTGAGTTCACAGAAGAATAAGAGATGTCGTTATGAATTAGCATACCTGTCTTGGTAATTATCATTTTAATTATATTAAAAATTTGTACAAAAGAGAATAAATATTTAAATTGTTGGCATTCGTAGAAGGATAAAGACATCGATGCACAACGAAAATCCTTATGCCGAAAATTCTTTACTCAATACCCATCTAATAATAGCAATAGCAGAAGAAACTATTAAGCTATAAAACGACAGTCTTTGTTGACAGCGAACCTTTTCGTAAGTGAGCAGTATTCTTGATGAGTGACTTGTCAGTCTTTGTTCAGAAGCAGACACAAACCGCAGACAAGAATGAAATGGGAGCGCTGCTGAAGGAAGCTCCCTTGAAACCATATCGCCCCGATCATTCCGAATAGGTTCAATTGACTCGTTTTTCAGTTGTTGCTGCTGTTCTTCCTGTAAAACCCTCAAGAAATCTTGCCGGTACACTGGCATCCAGAACACAAGCCGCCGACCCAAATTTAGAGATGAAGCAGCGAAACGCATCAGGTCAGATATCACATCCGGTAAACTATAGCTTATTTTTGAAGGTATGTGCTGACTTGCTCTGAAAATATCCAAAGGAGCATATGATGGAATATATATCTATATCTATATATACACATACATTCGTTTCGTGGAAGGATTCCTTTACCGGAGAAAGCCAAAGGAAGTGAGGTAAGATTCAGCAATTCATAATCAAGATACTTTCGTGTATTCTGAATTGAGTACAATTTCATGCATTTTCAAACAGTTACTGTGTTAGTTTTTTCCATTTACTTCGAAGAACCAATATAAGATTTGTACAAAAACAGAAATCACCCAATCGCCTGTCAGTCAGCGACTGCACATATGTATCACTTATCATGGTTCCCGTTGTGCTGACCGTACCCGTTTTAACAGGTGCTGAAAATGCGTTGCTTTTCCCTACAATGTGAGATAACCGACAATCACTGATAAGAGCCAACACCTGAGTTAAAACCTTATGGTGATAATAGCACCACAGTTTCTAATTTCATAAACTGATTTTTTGACTTCAAAATATGAGGCTTCTTACAGATGTCCGGGGACGGTGTAACCAGGCACTTTGGTTCCAATCCGTTCGGTACTTTCTCGAATCCCGTATGGAGGATCGGTGAGAATGGCATCAAGTAATGGCAGTGTTCGTAGCACGGGTCGGGAAGAGTCGCCCACAATTACGTCCACGTATCGACCTGCGCGGCCATACTGTCGAAGATTAGCGCGAACACTTTCGCCTTCCTTTCGTCGCTGCTCGTTATAGCGAGTCGGCTTTGCGCGGCCGTGAAGCAACATGAAATCGATATCCATTCCTGAACGCATTTACACAAAACCACTTCTTTCAGGACATTTTCTGTTTAATTGAGGTGGTCGAAGTATGAGCAGACAAGTGAGCATCTCATAAACATCGTTTGTGCCCTCTTTTGTGTATCTGAGTTTTCTTAACAGTAAAATAGAATACCATGTTTATCTGTAGTTTCGGCTTCAAGGTGCTACAAGTACTCGAGAAAAAACAGCTTTCGCGTTAAGTTCAACATAAGGTTAAGATGGAACTTTAAACGTAACATATTTCTATTGGCTCTACGAATGTTTTTGCAGAACCAAATGCTTCTTACTTTATGCTTCGAAAGGTATATTCGTTTTCGTATGCTGCTGTGGCTTCAATACATACCAAGCACATAAGCATCATGAATGGCTGCCGCCACAAGAAGACTTGCAGATCCAACGAACGGATCGTAAACAAAGTCCGCGTAACGAGTCTGCGCCAAGTTCGACATGACGACCGATAGCGTCGGATCCATCGACGTGTTTGCTATGAACTCACGATTTTTAAGAGACAATCGTGTGACCAACTCCCGCTGGCCCTCGGCCACCTACAAAAATGTACACAGTTTCTACTGATATTGCTAAAATCAATGACACGCGTACACAATAGGCAGTACATTAAATAAAGAAGGAAAATAATGTCAAAGTCGCTAGCTAACCAATAACTATATTACTGGTGACTGCCTAAAACTAACAACGAGAACACTACGTACTGCACGTTTTACGGACCGAAATCTAAAGGAAAGCTGCAGTTCCAAAACATTCTTGAAACAATTTACCTTGATTACTAAAAATGCCACAAGGAAATATTTTCAAATTTGATCAACATTTATGAGCTTCTGTATTCCATATTCTAAGGTATCAACCGCGAATGAATACTAAGCTATTTAGATAACAGTATAATTAATTGCCTAATTGCTCCAGCTGCCGGTATGGAATTTCCGATATTTTAGGTACATCTTTCAATATATTTGACGCGATAGGCTATAAAGCTCAAATTCAGTAATGTAATTATCGAATCAGGAATTGTAGGTAGTGTAATAACAACTTTGAGGAGTTTCAAAACTTGTTATTACTCGTAAAAAGCATGTAACGTGATGTTAGCACACAGATTATATATTAAGATATTATGAAGCAGACTACATAATTGTTGTAGAAGCCGTTACTTCTCACTACGACCCCCACAATAAGGCACATAAAATAGGAAATAACGGGGTGACATAACAAACCTGACGACCGAAGAAAACCTTGAAAGGTTGGTTAGGAACACAGTTGTTCTCTTGACCATAATACTCAATAATATGGTATGTCCAGATGGGTTGCTGTAGGTCTATATCGCCGGTGAATGGCAAAAAATCGAACAATTCCATCTTGGCGATTTTATCGCAACGCGGGATTTTTCGTTTCCCGAAAGCTTCAACCTCAAACTTGAAGGTGTCATTGTGCTGCAATATGTACATGTCGATTATATAACAACCTGCTTTGCAGTGACGTCAAATTTAGTGTATTACATGTTCTAAAGAAATCGGACACAAGCCTAGTATATATACCCTATTTTTAATAGCAATTAGTCTCAAAAATGGAATGAGCTCGGTGATACTATTGGTGAATATTGATGTCTGTTACGACGACCAACATTCCGGATTCATGATATTCAGTAGTGGATCGTCATGAAATTGCTAGTCATACACATAATATGGCTTGAAATGTTTTCTCTTTACACTGCAAGTCAAAACTGTACACACATGTCCTTAAATTTATCCGCACGCATAGCTTCATTATTGGTACAATTCTTACGACCCCTGTTAGTCGTTCTAGTTAACAAAGCTGCAATCTGTGCCCTAGTATACAGGCGTATGTAGTTTTGATAAGATGATCGCATTTTTATGGATAAGTTAACAAACTATATGTTACATATTTCGAAACATGTTTATATTTAGTGCACGCAAAAATCGAGAGGCTCAGTAGCAGTAAGCTGTACAGTGCACCGTATTAACAATAAGTTCTAAGAGAAAAAAAACGAGCGCACGTCATGCCATATTTATGAATAGCTTAATGAAGAAGCAATACAAAAGTTTCCGTAATCTTTAATAGCAGTGAAGGCAATGACTACAACTAACAGGTTCTATTTGTTTTTCACGAAGTTGGTCAACCACGTCTTGAAGTGAATCTCCTTCAGCCATCAACTCGCTAACATGCCGTATAAGGATACTTTTTGAGCAGATATTCACGAGGTGTTGTTCATCTTCACACTTCACAACCATCCACGGGCGTTCCACCGTATTCTGCGTGGCCTCGTTGGAGCTACATATCAAAGACAGTCACAATTAAAGACCACATAATCAAATTAGATCAAACGGTCCTACCACTAGACCTCAAGGCGATCTAAGGTCCTAGGGCCTGCGGAAACGTATTGAAAAATATGGAATTGTTTCAAGAGACCCACCATGTCCTAATGTGCAATCCGTTTTTTCTAAGCCAACTTAAATACGTTATCAACGATAGGATAAATAACATTGTAAAATAAAAGCATTTGAACATTGTAGATAAACAGATAAAGCTGAAATGGAATCATTGCGTCGCAGCTAGGGGAACTCGAAGCCTCATGGTTCAATTCAACCCTGTCACCACTCCGGCCCGCAGAATTTCGATTACTTTACACAGTTTCTTTACAACCCACTATTAGCTTAAGATGTATCAGTATGAGATACTCAAGCAGAGATCCTAACGTACAGTGTGGTGCTTAGAATTACTGAGCGCTAGTAAAAAGTAAACGATCATGTGAGGTGCAATCATACCTATATTTTAGCTAAAATAGTACTACAAAAAACATTGAGTACGCTTAGCAATGTTCTTGTTAATTTTTGCTAGCTCGTGCTTATCAGAAACTGCCATATATTTAAGGGGCACAATTCGCAAAGAAGTTTACAGTGATTTGACAAACTTTTGAAAAACCGTTATAATACATGTCAGCAAGCCCTCCTAATTCTTAACTAGTTAAAATTAGCATTCACGATATTTACTTGCTAGTAAAACACATTACAAACCCAATTAAACGTAAATTATTACTTTTGCCTGGCCGTCAGTTTTAAGTGCCTTGGTCCGTAAATTGGCATTAACGCTGGTTGTTATTTGGGATGGCAAAGATATTATTAAGGAAAGAATTAGATGAGGAGCTCGAGTTTAACGTCCGGTATCGCCGCTAAGTCATGCCGAAATGAAATGCGTCTATATCCAGTGGGAACGTGTTTTGTTATAAATGTAGGGGTACTTAGCGATGAAATACTGTGGACTTCTGAGCAAATATCTCATCTCAGAAAGTATGTTAAAGCAATGCGCTAATTTTCGCGTATGTAAAATAAAGACATCTGAGCTGGTTAAAATGAATTTTAATATTTCACACTGCTAATCAACAGATGGATTAGGTAGTATCACACGGTCGTTTTTCAATAAATGGAGTCTGTATTTATACATAAGCATTTAAGCACGTAGTAATCTTGGTTTTTTTCCTGTCACTAATCTGCCAATTCGTACTTCACTTTGTCCGGATCTTCATCATATCCTACTGAGATGGAATAATTCAGCACTGCGCACGTCGGTTGATTTTTTGAGCCAGACTAATAGGAAAAAGAAAATATAAGTGGATGAATATGTGATATAATCGGCTTCTCTGTCTTCCATCATTAGAAAGCCGGTAGATCGGACCACCAACTGCACTAATTTGGCTAATGAGGCTCCATAAAACGAATTTGGAAGTGCCGTCCCGAACATGTTTGGCCATACGAATGTATATCGGTTATAGGTGGGTTAAGACACGTGTGTATATAAATATAGTTTTCAGCAATGTGGACACACGTGTGATTCGAACAAAAGCACTTAAAATGTGCTGTTTAGGAAATAACAACACTCACAGAGTCAGCGGCAATTATGCGTTTATTTTGATGGGACTTTAAGGAATTTAAAAAAATTGAATTGCTGTTGATATATATTGTAATTGCTTCTGAATACCTTTTAAAGCTACAAGCCCTTACGTATTGTACCCATACATAACCTACTCAAATGGATAATATTAGCCTCCTACGACGTGACCATAACGAATGTCTTCTTTAGATATCTTTACAAGATAACATTTAGAATTTAGACTGATTATTGATACTCACCAGGCATCATTTACCAGCCACAATCGGCGCCCCTCTAATCGACGTCCTACAAATTCGAGTTTCGCGCCGAACAATTCGATAAGTGACTGAAGTTCAGCATGACGAAATTCGATATGTTCATGCGCAAACCATATGAGGTAAAGTCGAACCTTTGAAGATCCAGTCGGTGTAACGTTAGGCGCATTGGCACGGCTAGATTGATTGTCCACCGACCCAATTACTCCACCGGCTGCAGGGAAATTGGCCAGGGACCGGCGGATCCAGCCGGCCACCTTACTCTGTGACTCTAAAATGGTGTTACTTAGGAGCAGCCTAGGAAATCTTAAGCACCTCGGTCTCACCGAGGAGAAGAACAGGATAGACACCGCAATACTGGCGCGATTCAGGACACCCAGCTCACTGGAACATCGACCCGAATTTTATCACAGGCTAAGTCGCTATGGCGCCATCCCGGTGCACAGTTCGCCAAGACGATATTCTAAAAGCGCACGTGAGACAGTGCGCTAAGGATCTCCTGCCAAAACAATGGAATAACTCAACACTTTCTGATTTGAATTTTAGGCGCGAATATACGATGTGAGTAGGCATATGCTGCCTGTTGGCATCATGCACCGTTTATAAGGACTGCGAAAGAAGTGGATAGCTACATTGCAAGGCCAACTAAGCGTTTTACGTATTTAAGGATTTGACCAAATACTGCCATTGTTTTTAACTAAACTCAAATACACCCGGGTAAACATCTTGTATCGTCAGCCGTGTTTGTCAACAAATGGACTCACTGATGTTATGAATCGTACTGAAATTGCGCCTCGTTTTGGTGCGCTACCTGGCTTCTATGCTAACGACGGTCGAAAATAGTAAGCAATAGTTAGTTGTGCAGCCGGCGTTGGTTATTTTTGTGACTAGTCGTATTATTATATGCGAACGTAAGCGTCAAACATGAGCGCACTTCAAACTGACCCTGTCACGAATGGAGCGTGCGGTGTTGCTCAGAGCACCTCCTCTAAAAAGAAGAAAACTAAGAAGACAAAAGATGACGACGTGGAAACACTTACAGAGATGGTTGAACAGCTGCAGGTTGACGCGGGGGCAGAAGGAGATGGCGAAGATGCTGAGGATATTGAAGCTGGGGAAGATAACAAGCTAAATGCAGCCGACAAGAAAAAAAAGAAGCGTAACCGCAAGAGAAAAACTGCCGTTGGCAGCGGAGTTAGTGGCAGTGGTAGTGGCTCGGCAGAAACAAAAACACAAACCGAACCACCCACGATACCCGTGAAGGAGCTCTATCCTAACGAGGATTATCCAACGGGCGAATGTCTTATGCACCCGACGCCAAAGGACATGCCGAGTAATGGCCAAACCGCGAAGAATCGTTTCACGTCTGAGGAGAAGAAAGCTCTTGAGTTAATAAACGAACAGGAATATCGTGAAATTCGACTGGCTGCCGAGGTGCATAGACAAACCCGGCAGTATATGCAGCGTTACGTAAAACCAGGTATGTCAATGATACACATTTGTGAAACCTTAGAACACACAGCCCGAGAACTCATCCAAGAGAACTCACTGAAAGCTGGTCTTGCCTTCCCAACTGGCTGTTCGTTGAATCATGTTGCGGCGCATTATACGCCAAATGCTGGTGATGCAACCGTGTTTAATGCATTGGACGTGTGCAAGATCGACTTTGGTACCCATATCAATGGGCGAATTATCGACTGCGCTTTCACGTGGACGTTTGACAACAAGTACGACCGACTCCTTGAGGCTGTTAGGGAGGCAACATATGCCGGCATAGCGGCTGCTGGAATTGACGTCCGTCTTTGCGATATTGGCGCAGCGGTACAAGAAGTGATGGAGAGCTACGAAGTGGAGATCGATGGAAAAATCTACCCCGTCAAGTGTATCCGCAATCTCAATGGTCATTCGATTGCACCATACCGCATTCATGCCGGAAAAACGGTGCCTATCGTCAAAGGAGGCGATCAAACTCGTATGGAAGAAGGGGAGGTATTTGCTATTGAGACTTTTGGGTCAACGGGACGCGGTGTTGTGCATGATGATATGGAAGTATCCCACTATATGAAGAACTTTGACGTTGGACATGTTCCTCTGCGTCTCAGCTCATCGAAACAACTTCTGAACGTGATCAATGACAACTTCTCGACATTAGCCTTCTGCCGGCGTTGGCTTGATCGATTGGGCCAAACCAAGTACCTGATGGCCCTCAAAGATCTTTGCGATAAGGGCATTATCGATCCATATCCGCCACTCTGCGACGTTAAAGGATGCTATACAGCCCAGTATGAGCACACTATTATTTTGCGACCGACTTGCAAGGAAGTCGTTTCGAAAGGAACGGACTATTAGGCAAACTGGCTAACCGATTCTGTCCGGTTGCTGTTTGATTACTGACTCATTGCTTAGTCGTCTAGCGATACTAACTAAATGTTAAATAAAGATATATTTTTTTTTGCTAATGCTTTGCGTATTCATACATTTTTATCTTTAGGTAGTAATGTAGGGATAAAGATTTTTTTTGTAGTCTGCATATAAAAGTGTTTTCTCATATAATTTTCTCATGCGGTAAACTCCTAGGGCCCTTCCAACTAATCAACAGATAACAATTATTTTATTTTTGCTGACAACGGCCCCCTCCATTGAAGCGCAACCCAGTTTGTAACACATTCATGTGACAAAATACAGAAGCGGATCAGCAATTAGATACTATCCTTGCGAATGATACCTAAGCAGTTTCTTCGCTTCAGCTTACACTAACCTTATCTAAAATCAAGAACAAGGTCTTATAATAGGTTCCAAATCGTTCAAAATCGTGCAATTCAAGCTATGCTTTTATTTCGTTGGTCAACATTAGCCTCGAAGGTTCACACAGCACTAAATTTTTAGTATCCGCACAATTTGGGTTCTCGGCAGCCGTCAACGCCTTCGAAAGTCGTTGAAAGGGGCTACACGGTGATGCAAGGATTTAGTGGACCTCCAAGCTTTTATGTAGTAAAAACCTGACATATAATAGAATGCGAGTCTTAGGAATTTGTCGAGGCAATATTGTATTTGTGTAACACTATCAAACGAGCAAAGAGGCAGCTGTAATATCAGGAGCCAACATTCCACTATCAATTAAAAATTTCTAATAATCTTGCTGAATTCAAAACTAAGGTTAAAGGCTACTACCTAAAATAGCAGTTTTTTAGATTCTAGTTAAAGGTACTTGGGTAGGCGACGTGTCGAGAAAATGCCACTCGACTTCGTATTTTTCAACAAGTGAAGCATGGAATTTTTAATAAATAAATCATATTCCGTTGTGGGCTTAGACTAAGTAGTATATAAAAACGTCTTCCAGGTAAAACCCTTATTTCCTATGACATGTTACAATATTCGACATTAGAAATATCGATGCGTAGCTTTTGTCAAGTTTCGTAGCCATTATGCGAATGGGCAGGATTAGCAGCAAATAATTGTTGAATCAAAATCATATACTGTAACTTAGGTTCTGTGTGGTGCGAGAGGATCGCATAACGCTCTGTAAAACTTTTATTCATCACTACAACGATTACTACTAGATAAGTCAATTATTTTGTTTAACAATGGTAGCTAAATCTCCAATTTGTCACGATTCTCGCACAACCAACTTGTGTAAATAAAGTAAACATTTTTTATTACTCAATATGGATCTTTCAAAACACTTGTTCTCTTGATAATCAACACACTCGATGTAACGTATTGAAGTTCACTGACGATATCTACATAGTCTCGAGAACAAATGTTTGTCTTGCATCACAGAGGCTAAACAAGAGTCTTTAGCTTAACGGCTAAATTGAAGCTTTGCCCCTAAGTTATACATACACGAACTTTATTTTTTTCTGTACTTCTTTGCATCTTTTGGGCAGTTCTATAAACAATGTGTAAACATCGCTTTAGCGCACGAAAACACTATAAATAGCGTAGCCATACGCCATACAGTAACTTGGATCACGTCTTTATATACGTAGGAGTCTGGCATTCCTTGTACCTGGGAAATCATCAACATAACAAATGTTTTCTTTCTTCTTAAAGCCGAAAAAATGAATATATTCAGTAGAGTCGCATTTAGTAGATTCTGTCTTTACAATTCATTAATCATTCTAATTGTCACGTATATTGTCGTAATAGTAAAATACAGGCAATGTACAGTGCGGTGTCTCTGAATCTCTTCTCACATGCCTGTGGTATTCGTGATAATAGCATCCATCTACCTACTTTTACTGACTACAGAAGGTCCAGCTCTGCTAATTTATAACTTTTAAAATGGTTCTTCAAAAAATACAGGTTGCACTAATTTTTTGTTAGTCTCCTGGAAAGGTATGCGTAAAAGATAAAACCACATACTTTTCCTCCAAAAGAGAAAAGTTAGTTTTTTTTCCATAGAGCGTAATATTAATTTGGCTGATTGTGAATCGATGCGAACCATTTCGTACTCATTTTCCAAGTGTGAAAACCATGCTGCATTAGCATTTAAAAAGTCAAGTTGGCTGTTAGCGTCGTCGATATATCATTAGTGTGAAAACTGTGCTGCCTGGACAAGTACGCTTAATTTGTGCTGGGCAAGTGTGCATAACGTGTGTTGCACGACAAACTGTGTTCAAACTATACTGTGGAAGAAATTATCACGTTTATTGTGTCAATCAAGATTATAGCCTAACAACTAGCCGTGTTAAACCAAATGATCATGGTCAACAATATCCGCCGTTTAGCCTCGATTGAAATGCAAAAAGGGCGAGCTGATGACGCAGCAGAAGACGCCAATGATAGGCGTGGGACTAATGTTGAAAACCACAGACAATATAGAAAAAAAGCCAACACTAAAACATTTCGGCGGATGTTAGTAAGATGGAGAACATTTTTAATTGATGTAAGGTACGCTTCTTTAAAGGTAAAATGGACATTTTTCGTTTTATGCAGGGAAAATTTGAATCAAGTCATAAAAAATGAAACAACTGAAACAGCATTACAGCAAAGGTTTTTCATCGCCAGTAAAAAATACCAGACCATTGGCTATTTTCGGTGATTTCGTTTGGTATCACTTAAAAGTGTCATCTTCTTAAAGAAATCTACAGATTTTTGCTAATCATACAAGGTACTGTTCACCATTGAAACGTATTATTGAGGACCAGATCCTATCACTGCTTCCAGTTTTTCTAAATCTACTGCACAGATCCCCAAGACAACATTGCGCATACTTATAAATTCTGAATCGACAAGAAGAATCGAGAAGAAGAAGAAGAAGAAATTCCGTAGCATCGTTTAAAACTTGAGAGTTCAGAGAGACAACCGTTACGTTCAGTATTTTACAAAAGCCAAAGAATGTACAAAAGATTTACCAGAATTGTGTATTATTATCCCTGATCGGCGATAGTTGCACGAGCATAAAACAGCATAAAATGCGTAAGCAGGGGACGACGTAGGAATCATTGTGAAAGTACGGCAGGATCAGGAAAAATATCGCCACATATCGTTAACTACGTTTGCGCAACCTTGAATTTTGGATCCTAGCCTCTACAGATTAGTGTTAGTACATATGATTTAAGGTCCCTATCGTACAACCCATTCTCCTTGATAAAGACAGTCGGTGCTCGAAGAAATTCGCAAAGCCATACACCGAACGTACATTGCATAACGAAGACGCACTTCTCGCATACAATCAACATCTTCTCGGGATTAGAGATTTCGTGCGTTAAGAAGGGACAAAAGTGTGAAATTACGTGACAATAAGAGAATAAGACGTTTCATAATTTCTAAAAACCCTTATTGATACTCTAACGTTGAAATATGCTGATTAGTCAAATCAAATAAATATATTTGCATACATATATATATAATATACATTTAAAAAAAGTGACAAAGTTATCTTTGGGAAAAATGAAATCGACAGCGGCCGATACATAAAAACAGATATGGTGCCAAGCGGTTGCATAAATGCTAAGCTTCCCGGTCCATAAGCAATATCAACCTATCGGGTGATTTCATTTACACCTATCGCAGGAGCAACGAGTATTTTTCCAAGAAGGCGAGTGTATATAACTAATTGGTTCTGGTTACATTGAAAAACTTTAATAAGAAACTAGAAAATTTCAATCTGCTAGCTTCACATTAGCAACATCCAAAAAGCGAAAACATCGAAATTTTACAGGGAACTTAATATGGCATTACGGATCAGAATGACATCATGAACGTCCACGAGTAAAATACTAAACTCTTTAATGGCGTAAAATAACGGTTCAATGATTTTCATCGACCCTCCAGAAGGAATAGACAACTTTAGTGACCAATTTAATTCTAGCCGGCGTAAAGAGGTCATAAAAGTGGTCATTGCAATTTTGATGCCAGAAGCTGAATTCTGCACCCTGATTCAGATTTATCATTCACGTCATGTAGGGTAAAATGTGCATCTTAATAAAGAATTCAGGAACTGGAATCTACTTTATGTGATAGCGCTCGTTGCCTGAAACGAATGTTAACTATTACGCGAGAGGTTATCCAAGCTATTTATCGACGCTCGGTAATATATGTAGCTAAAACAAATATTTTAGAGATTACTTAACGTGATTTCTACTCTAAGTATGATTAGCCATCTGCCTCTGTACGGATGAAGTAAAATGTATTTAATAGCAAAATGCCCTGCGGGTCTCTTTCTGTGCTGTCGTTTATTTTATTAAGACTGTTTCCGTCTGTTTGTTTGCCGGACCTTAAACGACCCCTTAAAATTATCGGATTGCCCGGACTTTTGTGTAGGTCATTGGAGTTACAGCCTGGAAAAAAACTGCGCAGCAGGTACAGCTAGTCGGCCACATACTATTATACCATTTAGGAAATCTGCTTTTTGCCCTTAGAGCTTGTTGTTAATTTAGTTAGTTGCGAAACAACAAAAGAAAGTTAATTATCATTTTTCGTGTTTAAAATCAACACCAAACTGTGTTGTCGATCAAGCTGTTAGCTTATAGTCACCGTATGAAATAGCTGACTCCGACGTCATCTCTATCGTAAATATAATTAGTTTATTAAAGGTAAAATAATAATAATAACAAAACAGGTACATGGTGAAGCTGGCATGTGGTGCACTAGTCTTTATACGAAGCTCTTTCGTTAATTAGTTGTTATGAGTTAAAACAAAAACAGAGAAGGTGGTGGGCATCGCGTTTGCCAAGTGGCGCACCATATGGCTTCTGCTCAGTTCTAGTGGGCAATTTCTTTAATGCACTAATCAGTTTTAAGTTATCTGTCTGTATATATTTACACCAAAATATCGTTTGATTCATTTTAAAATTTGATATTTTTTTCCCGAGCTTAATGACTAAGTTTAAATCTGTGAACTATTAATGTATGCGAGTTAACGAGTGCTGTTACATGAAGTGAGCTGTAATTATGTCCTCAATCTAAAAGCTAAAGCAAAACCGTATGTTGGAATAGGC